CGAGTGGTCGGCTCCAGCACCTATAGATTGAACGAATTACCACGCCATGTTGTGCTGTGGATATTATTAGCGACAAATGAAGATCCCCTGGGCCGAAGGTCAGCAAGCTGACAATGCAACCTCGCAACCTCGGGGTTTGTTTACCAATGATCTGCCTCTTGCTCGCGTTCGGAAGGATGAGGATGGGCACACATCACTCCCCTTTCCGGTCCCCAGCGGCCGTTGAAAAAAGCATAGAGCTTTGCATTATTGGTGGAACCCGGATGTAGACCGCATTTTGAACTGACACAGTTCTTATTTCTCACCACGCGAATGGCTTGAGGGTTCGCCAATGAATGAGGTGGAACAGGCCTCTAACGGGTATGCTTCCATGCATGGAAACCCGGCTGAGGTGTGCCACGCTGCCCGTTAACCAGAAGAGGGCCCCCTCCGCCTGTGGGGTTCACAACAGCCTAAGCTGGCTAAGCATAACTGGGAAAATAGGGGTGTGTGAAAGGATTTCTAGGTGTGGGCAGGCTTGTCTAGCATGGTGCGACACTCACCAATGAGTACCATAGAGATATCGACTGCTGCACTTTGAGGGAGCTTCAGTCAATCGTTAGACCCGAGGATCAGTCAGCAAACCCAGCTGTCGATGGGAACGCTTCTGAGACTGGGAGACTATGCGTAGCGTAGTGCTTGGGTCTGCGACCACGCAAGGAGGGTAGTCGACGAAGAACCAGGGGATCGGACCGTCAGCAACATTGACTTATTTGATTGTTGAGTAAATGGGCCGCGAAGCTCAGTGCGTCCTGTCAAGGCCCTCTGATTGCTCCGAGTGTGGGGTCAATGGAAGAGCGCAGGCACTCACTAAGAAAGCCACTCCATGGTGAAACCACTACCGATTTAAGGATCCAACAATACAAGACGATGCGGAGCACGTGGTTCACGGGGGGGCGCAAACTGTGGGTTTTACTTGGTAATTACCAGAGCAGTCGGTATTGTGACCATTGTGACCCTGTATGTGTTGTGCTGTATGTGTGTATCTATCATTCCATCTACAGGGTATGGATCTTCAACCCTCGAATTACTTGTGGTATTATCCCAATTGACGAGTCAAGATCGTTGCGAGTTATGTTAAAGATTTGCTAGCGTCACAACAATTTTGGGCGGTGGGGGGGTTTATCGCAGTCTGTATGAGAGAGATAGCACAGGTCTGCCAGGCCCCACAGCTATTGAGTCTGCATTCTCCGTCCATGGCCGACAAGAGCGAGCAATCAAAGTCTTATCGGATCAAATGCGGTCGTGGCTGCGATCGAGTCTTGGTGTCGCAACAATGAGATTGTCACCCGAAATTCTCGCGTGAACGCAAGATACATGTCACCTTCCGGAATGTCTGTGACTCGTTCATTCCTCACGGCTATTCCCTTGCATTGTCTCGAGGAATGCGCCAGGCCGCTTTACAGATAGGCAACACCATCTCACGTGCTTGGCGATTAGATCTAAGAGACGTGGTATTACGCCCGTGGGTTATGTGTCGAGTACGGAGTAAGACAATTAGCACTGGGAATACCTATGTCCCAGCCTCGCCGACGGCGCGATGCATAGTTCATTCAACAATGAGATCCAGATTTAACAATAGAAGCGGCGCCTTCTCGGGTAGAGCTAACCGCACTTGTGGAAGGACCATCATTGAAGGTCTCGCAGGGCAGTGGGCATGTAATATGGATCGTCTAGGGACAATGCAGCTGTGCGGATGCTGCCGCTCATCAATTAGCATTTGGATAGACACTTTCCCATGCCAAATCCGGGGTGGCTGCCCGAGATTCACTCCTGTAGATCCCCTCTCCCTGGATTATCTCCTTACGAAGACTCTGCATATGATATGTCCGGGAGAGGCGCACACTCCCGCTGAGGGTTGCATGGAATGCGCAATCTTTACCTGTTCCCGTCAGTTCTGCCATGCTCCTTGATGCTACTTTCTATCTGTTAAGTCCGCAACCGGCCATCCTCCGCGAACTGATTGGGACGGAATTGACCTGGTCCATGCCGACGGCTGCTGACTCATATCTTCCCCTGCCTTAGCGCCCTCCACCAGCGTATTATTCCTTGCTTGGCAGGTCTGATGAAACCGGAAACCTGCAATCCCGACCGACTCAGCTGCGTACTGTATTGACACAGAACAAATTACCATACCTATCATAACTTACCATAAATCAAGTCGTTATCAACCATGTGATTAGTAATTGGGCAAACTGGGCACTCGGGGCAATCGACTTGTAACTACTTACTCCGTAGGTAAACTATTGATAGGTCACTTTGGAGTCATGACAGATCATGATCTGAGTGGGATAAAGTTTGGCACTCCAAAGGTTGTTAAACCAACCTACGGAGTACCTACGCTAGGTTCGTGCGTTCTCTCCTGATACTGTTGCCTACTTGGTCCTAGTATGACGCCGGAGGTTCGCTCTTTTGACTGATTATTGAAAGGATCGATAGATGAAACCGCGCCTAAGCCCATCAGCCAGCCGATGATCGAAAGCCTTGTTATTTTTGTTCTTGATCGCTTGAGCTCCTCGATGCCGATGCCTACACAGATTGTCAATCTAACAATGTCGGATAGATAGGTCCAGACCTGTATGCTGTTGAATAAATTAACGATAATCAGCTCCCAGTCTGGGCATCATGCTCGGTGAGCCAGAGCAGCAGCCCTAACAGAGAAGGCTTCTTACGAGTATATATCTGCTAGGTGGCGATCTACAGTGAGATCTCTAGCCACCGAGATCTACAGGGCTCTTGTGTCGGCTGAGCTTAGAGCCAAATCACTACGACTCGGAAACCCAAGCTTGACCGCCTAAGAACGAGACTTCGACTCCAGGGACTCGCTGAAGCTGGCCAGGGAGACTGTCTTTGTTAGAACTTGGCAGCTGGTAGGTCGTGGTCAGCATCTTCCAAGGTTTGCTCCATGCGCTGAATAAGGTTCAGTATGGTTCTAAGGCAAATATACGTCGATCCGTGCATGGCAGCGCGGTACTCCCGTTCCTCGTGGCGTTGTGTACGAGTAGTGGGAGGAACTATGTTTGGATAGTGTGAAAGTCAAGCACAAAACACGGATAGGACTACCTGAAGGTGGAAGAGAAAAGCGATATAGGGGGCCTAGGCTGGAAAGTCATTGTCTTTGTTTGAATCATACGATGACGAAGCTGGTTCCGGTCGGTAGTTGACATCTCCCTGAATGAAGGCGCATGGTTAGACCCTCATGACATTGCAGTCTACGGCAGACCCATGGCATGGCATAGGCCATGAAACCTACAATGGGTCTTAAGAGGAGAAGCTCGAGTCAGTCGGATTCAGTGGAGTACTGTACTGTACAATACTGGTAAGTGCTGAAAAGTGCTGGTAAGTGCTGGTACAAATGGGTATGTATGTATCAGTATGGTTACAATGCTTGCAAGTTGCTGTATGGCATATTACAGTACCACCGCTATCTCCAATCGGCTCGAATCAGACTAAGAGCGGGCGAAGAATCAAGTGGTGGATCCAGGCCTCATCCACCGGAGCCACTCGTATTATTGCTGTGCCGGTGCCCCTCTCACCTCTTGACATGACCGAATCAACTACCTAACCTACCGTACGTAGTCTTAAGGAGTCTAGCTCTCCGCTCGCCATGCTATCTCCTCTCCACTGCTACCTACTAGGTAACTGACACTAATTGCATAAGGGCTTACTTATGGCTAAGTCCCTTAGCACCACCGCTACCACTTTCACACTCCCTCAAGACACTCTCACACTTCTTCTCACTTTCTCTCTTTCTCTTTCTCTTGATTTCTCACCTCCCCCGAAACGACCGGAGTTGAGTATCTTACTACTGACCACTGTCGTATTACAAGTCTTACAGGCGCCGCGTCAGGGCCATTCAGGATCCAAGAAAAACCCACACCCACCGACTAAACTGACCTTGCTAGCAAAAGCACTGCGACCCACTCCGATCGGGGTTGCTTGAATATCTCAACGAATTGCGCGACACCTCCGTTGCCTCTTCCTGCCCACCAATCACTCTTTCTATAGACCGATCTGCTGCTTTCGACAAGGACACTTCTCATCCTTCATCCTCTGTGCTCCTTTCTGGTTCTTCTCTACAATTCTCTCCGCCTCTCCCATCAGCTGTGATATGGGAGTAATGCACCTCTTCCTCCTACGCTAACTCCGATCTTGAACACCTTCGACTCTCCCCTCATTCAGCTGGAATACACCCTCTCCTTCGCTTTCGATTTCAACAACGGCATAACGATAAACATATCGTCGTACCTATTTCGCACTCGAGTTTCTCAATCCCTCTCCCTGCTGCCGACATCGTTGCGCTTATCAAAGCCTCAATCTCAAAGTCGCACGGAACTGTAGCCGTCGAATCTCCCGTTCTTGCCAACCAACTCGCTTCCTCCTTACAGCTCTCTTGCCTTCGAATCCGCTTGAGTACTGTCAAAACGCTACCCAGGACGACTCTCTACCCGTGGAGATAATCGTCGTATTTAGACCGCCACACAAGACCGATACTTGAATAATTGCGCACCTGGAACCTTTCCTGAGGTGTTGAACCAGCAGCCACGGATAGTTCGGCCGAAAATAGAATATCGCAGTGTACGTACAAATTTCCCGATGCCTCTCGCTGCTGCGCAGAGATAGCTCCAGTGGATGCATGTCTAATCTTATGCTGCGTATATAGCGACTCTACCCCTCCGCTTGTCAGACGTTTTCTTTGTCCCCGAGTGTAAGTAATTTCATCTTGCTCCAATTCTGGATGGCGGCCCTGGTTCCCCCTCTCAGACCCAGACCTGCACCTGATACATGTTTCGAGTGTAACCCACTTGACTGGTCATTCCTCGCAGCCTGAGCGCATCCCTGATTCAATTGCAGACCAACAGTCTTTGCGCGCATCTTTGAATGAATTCTTCGAAGTCGGTTTATCTAACGCAACGGTAACAGACACTTCTTTTCACATTTGTCAGGTATAATATCGCAAAATGGGTTGTATGAGTTCAAAGCCCGTAGATGCGGGAGATAAAGAAGCCCTGCAACGGAATGTCAGGATAGAGAAGTCGCTCAAAAACGACAAAAAAGTGATGGACAGAACGATCAAAATCCTGCTCCTTGGTAAGTATGCGCTTCGGCAGACATTGATAATCGATTTATTCTTAGTACTGACTAAATTTGTCTAGGTGCGGGAGAGTCCGGCAAGTCGACAATCATAAAACAGATGCGCATCATCCACTCGGGAGGATTTCCTGAAGACGAACGCATTCAGACTCGGGCGGTTATCTACTCGAACCTGATTATCGCCTTCAAAGTTCTATTGGAAATTATGCGTACGGAGAGCATCGACTATCAACTTGAAACAACCAAGGTAAGTTAGCCCTCCAGTCGATGCGAATATTCTATCCAGGTCTATTGCTCGGATATTGTAGTCCAGAAGCTGACTGTTAGTCTCGTGGGTTCAGTCGCTGGGTGAATTTATTGACAACTTGGAACCGGACGTGGGCTCCGATGAAGCATTCTCGGACCTGAAAGTTCGTGATGCTTTGAGGGATATTTGGGACGATTCAGGCGTTCAGAAGGCAGTGGCTCGAGGACATGAATTTGCGCTTCATGATAACCTACACTAGTAAGTGGTGAATGACGGCTTAGCTTCGACGACTCACCTAACCTTTTCCCCCAGCTTTTTCGAATCTCTTGACCGGATATTTACTCCGGGTTGGCTCCCCGACAATCAGGACATGCTACAAGCTCGGCTGCGAACGACGGGAATAACGGAAACTCTCTTCGAACTTGGTCAGATGAACTTCCGAATGATGGATGTTGGTGGACAACGATCCGAGCGCAAGAAATGGATTCACTGCTTCGAGGGTGTGCAGTGCCTCTTATTCATGGTTGCCTTATCAGGATACGACCAATGTCTTGTTGAGGATCAGAATGCCGTAAGTCATCGGTCTCATCTCGTATATTCTTGCATCATCTAACCGTTTTGTTCGCACAGAACCAAATGCACGAGGCAATGATGCTATTCGAATCACTTGTGAACGGCGAGTGGTTCAAGCGCAAGCCCATCATTCTCTTCTTGAACAAGATTGATCTCTTCAAGGGGAAACTTCAAGTTTCGCCCGTCTCAAATCATTTCCCCGACTACAACGGTTCGAACACGGACTTCGATGCCGCAGCAAGATACTTCGCCGATCGCTTCCGCGGCATCAATCGGATTCCAGACCGCGAGATATATATCCACTACACAAACGCTACCGATACCACTTTATTGAAAGCTACCATGGATTCCGTGCAAGACATGATAATCCAGAAGAATCTCCACACCTTAATACTATAAGGTATTACTGGGCATGACTAATATCTAATGAAACATTCTTGCGGCCATGGGATCTTCATCTTCCACCAAACCTTATTGATATTACCTTATCAGCATTACTTCCTTATGCTGTCCGCAACTGCTCGACGCCCTTCTCTTTCCTTGCCGTTCTCAGGATCGTCCTTGGCTTGCTTGGATGACTTTCCTTATCTCCACGCTCTTCTATACTGAAAAAAAGCACGCATCTTATCTTCGATTCAGCGGCGTGAATCTCCTCTTTAATGCAGATTGATACCATATACCACATAGTTGTGTCTGTGTCTGCGTCCTTAGCAACACCTTACGATTTCGTTTGGCCTTTATTTCCAATGTTTGGCCTCTCATTGGGTCTATCGGTTTCATCTCTTTCTTCAATGTATTTACTTCATTCTCTTATTCAGTGTTACATATAGGACAATATTTGTTCGTTGAGTTGACGGCAACCATGCGCGTCTTCCAAGCTTTTAGATCACTTGCAGACCCACGATAGTAGTTTGTCTTATCTTGGAACGATACAAGTTTGCGTAGCGTTGTTGTAACAGGGATATTGCTAATGGGCCCATTGCGACAACATCAACAGACCATTCTACGATTACATCCCAAACTGCTAAGGTTCCCTTTTGTGTGGTGGTCTGAATAGTGCAGCTCACCTGAGCCGTCTTCGTGCGAAGCAACATTTAACATATTTACCACCCACAGAAATAGGTATATTACAGAAGTTGGGCATTGTAACCATCTGATTTTGGCTATTCATGTCAAGTCAAAATGTGGCAGGATCTGGTCCCTGCCTCGAGATCATACGAGCATGGCCATCACATGACCTGCCACGATGATGCCTGAGGTAACCACGTCCCGCAAAACTCTGCTGAGCTAAGCAGAGATCCGCATGATCGGCTCATCAACTTCAACTTCGGTTTCGCCTCTTTCGCAGCCGCCAAGTTCGTTCACCCAGCTACTGGGACCTCACGACGCTTTGGAAACCAGAAAAATGCTGTCGTCCTCACTGCGCCGGGCGGCCTGGGCTCCCATTGCCCCTATCTCAGGCGTCACACGCGCCTCCAGCCAAACTCTCACCACCTCCGCGAACAACTTCACCGGCTCAACGCAGCCTGTGCGTCAACGGCGCTACTCCTCCTCCTCGTCCTCGAATCCCAGCGATGGCGCAAGGAAACTGGAGTTGGAAGTGAACTCAGGGAAGTCGACCCGTCGGAGTCGCAAGGACAATGTCCGCACCGGCTCCAAGCAGCAGCAGACGGCGTTTTCCCGGCTGCCCAGCGTTCCCTCGACCCAGCACCTCCTCCCGCATGGTAAGCCACCCAGCTCGAACAGATTTTCCCCTTTCCCAAAGACAAAGTTCGAGATAGGGGAAACAGAAACTCGAGAAGCTCCCAAATTCGAGCCCCCGCTGACCTTTTTTTCTTCTTTATGCAGACGTCCAGGTCGCCTCCTTCTTCTCCATCCACCGTCCCATCTCCGTCTCCACCAGCGTGCCCCCGACTTCCACCTCCGAAGCCTTCGACGCCATTTTCACCGAGCGCAAGCCCGCCGTTGACGATGTGATCTCCACGCTCTCGTCCGCCGTCCACTCCATGGAAGGCGAGGACGATCACAACCACTACCAGGCCGTCCTGCAGGAATTGACGGACCGGAGTTTTCTCCAGCAGGGCCAGCAGGGCCAGCAGCTGCAGCACCCCTCTCAGACCATGAACCTGACCCTCTCCATTGAGGAACTCACCAAGCGCCTGCGGCCCTTCCACCCTCCTCCACCCCCGGTCCCCATGCACGAGATGTCCGCCAACAACACTGCCTCCGAGCAGCAGCAGCAGCTCCTCCCCCAGACGACGACGACGAATGCCACGGAAACCTACTCCGCCGTCCTGACCATCCACGAGTCCACCCTCCCCGATGGCCGCAAGACCTACCAGGCCCACGCCGGCCCCTTCATGCCCACCAAGGACATGGGCGTCCCCGGGGGTGCACAGGCGCCGCCCGAGATTGTCGAGGCCTACATCGATGTCGTGGACCCCTCCGCGCACCCGGAGCTCAGCTACATCGACCAGCCGGATCAGCAGATCAACGGCCCCATGCAGGCCATCAGCACAAAGAGACGTCGTCGGGTGAAGATGAAGAAGCACAAGTTCAAGAAGTTGTTGCGGAAGACGAGAACCTTGAGGCGGAAGTTGGAGAGGTCTTAAAACGAGGTTTTATGCTTCCTCAAGACGTGTTTCCCTCTTGCTCTTTACTTTTGTGTCTTTGTTTGATTAATCCGGTCTCCCCTTCTCCGGTGTTTTCCCCCCACAACTTTTTCGAAAGCAAGTCTAACCTTTGGTTTTCTCTGAATATCTTCCGTTTTACTTTCTCTTAACTTGCATGCACCTTATCTCCCTCTCCATCCACCGATCGACCAATCCACCAATCCAACCGACACTTATAGACAATACTATGTGACATATTATCTTTATTCTCAGTTCTTAGCTGGTTAGGTTTGTGTAATCGTATGTGCATACCTAGTCTTTCCGGACCCCGTTATCTATATTCGCAAGCCGATGCGCATGTACCGAATCTAGGAATATTTGCCAGGAACTTGGAAAGTTAGCCTTTTCCTCCCCCCTCCTCTCCCGACTGCCTCCAGCTGAGATCGATTTCAGTGTCAGGATAAATTGATTCAACAAGTACCGACGTGACACCCATAGAGTACAGGAAGTAAACAGTAAGCATGTAAGCAACGCAAAGAAAAGACACACACAAAAAAAAGAAAACCTTTAGCCATGCAATAGTAAATTCAAATATCTACCAACCAGTCAAAGACCGCCGCCTCCTTCGCCACTTCCTCCCACTAATAGTAGTCTACACTGGCATATAATCTCCTTCTCCTGTTCCAAGGGATGCGAAGAAGTGGAAAAGGAGGGAAATTGATATACCTATCCAACAGCCGTCCCTTTTCTCAACTCACACACCCTGCAAGCGGATCAACTCGTCTCTCCACCACTTGTCGGTAACGTAAATCTTAGGGAATGATTCCGACAGCCAAGACACACACCCACACACACATCACGTTAAAAGATCATGTTTTTCTTGAGAATGGATTTCTGGATCAAATCCGCGCTTCACGGTATAAACGATTCGTAACATGGGGAACACTAGGCTTCAACGACGGGGCACCGCTCGCGCGGGTTCTTGTTCACATCTCGTCGTTGCCATCGCCGGTGCGCGCACAAGTCTCACAGAGAAGGTGCGGGACGGCGAGCATTAGGTTCGTTTGCTTAGCAGACGGCATCGATTCTCGAGCGGGAGTTCATGAGAAGGGCGACGATAAGACCGTACAGACCTGATAGGAGGATCGGTGGGGTTAGTGGTGCCGGGGTAAACACATTATAGATTTGGTGGACGTACCCAAAACTTCAGCGAAAATGAGAATCAAGATCATTCCAACGTAGAGACGGGGCTGTTGAGCAGTTCCACGGACACCAGCGTCACCCACAATACCGATGGCAAAACTTTAAGACAAACAATCAGTTTCTCGGCTCGAAATCGGAAAGCTCAAAGAACATACCCAGCAGCCAGACCGGCCAGACCGACAGCGAGACCAGCTCCGAGCTGAATGAATCCGGTGTACAGGGGCACCTTTTGGTTCAGGTCGTTGGCGATAAGAACGGACACGACCAGACCGTAGATACCGATGATACCCGCCATGACGATGGGGACGATATCTGTTATCAGCTTCGTTAGTGGCTCGGCTCCAAGTATAGACTGCAGAAGCATGGTTTCTCCTCCACAGCTGCAGCGAGCATTGGAAAGGGCTTCCAACGTACTCTTAACGATCAGATCGGGTCTGAGGACGGCCATGCCGCAGACACCGACACCGGCCTTGGCAGTTCCATAGGCAGCTCCGAAGCAGGTGAAGACGATGGCTGAGGTGCAACCCAGCGCACCGAAGAAGGGCTAATGGGCGGCAGTTAGCTATTTGTACGAGGGGAAGTTCGTTTCGTGCAGGGTGACGTTGCTCCGTTCGTGGAGGACCCGACGGTCCGCCATCGAATTTCAGCACATTATCAATGAGGGATGCGAGTAACTCACAGCATAAACGGGGCTATAACCATACAAATTAGCACAGTCCGCAACAAAGCACTGATAGGCAGGATTGATAGCTTATCGCACAAGCTATGCGTTGAGATGATGGGAAAAGGAGTCAAGCAGGGTGATTACGTACCAAAGTTCAGTGGCCATTTTGGTGGTCTAAATAGCTGTTTGGGGTGGAACAGATGCGAGAAAGCTATAGGAACAGCCGAGAAAAGTGAAGGTAGGGTAGAAGAAGGCCGCGTCGACAGCGATGAGATGAGGCGAAGGCGTAGGAGAGCTGAGACGAAGATGGAGGCTTGGAAGGCGAACACGCTGGTTGCTTCGGAGAGGCTCACCGACCACCTGCGCTACCACGTGACCGGCGGCTTGGCGCCTGCCCGCATTGCCCCAATCACTGACATCAGCACTGATCCGCGATCTGCCCCTACTCATTTACGAGAACGTACACACTGCGTGACTATTTTTTTCTCCTTTTTTGCTATAATCTATCAATGCAGACTATTCTACATCACTAGCAACTCTTTCATAAGATCCGATCATCACTTCAGCTCTAATGCCACCCGACATCCTGGAATGTCGAACTTAGAACTCGATTCGTGCACTCCCCCATTTGACTCTTTCCCAGCCATGGGTTGCACGTATGTTATAGCTTTCTCCGACAGCCCACCAAAGTAGCCAGGGACTACCCGAAGGTCTTTCTGCTCAGCAGATTCTCTTTGCAAAGGGACAGCCTCGGCGTCCGAGACAACGCCGAAATGGAAGGCATTGCCTCCAGTCCTAGATGCCGGCCAGTCTGATTGGCTAGGTTCAACGGAGACGAAGAATTGGACGTAGTCGCCAGGTCCTGCAGCCTGCGAGAGAGTGGAAAGGTCCTCTCCGAAGCCGCGCATGCCAAATGGCGGCGGCGGCGGCGGCGGCGGCGGCGAGTTCGACGAGACATTCGCCTCGCCCGCAGTAAAGAGTCCCTCAAGCCCCAATAGCCTGTCTTTCTGGGCTGCTTCCATGAATGTTGTTTCAGGATCTAGTGATAGGAGGCCCTGTTTTTTGCCCCATCCTCCTCCGCCACTCATCACTCGGTGGAGTTTACCGCCCTTCCGAATCGCCTCGATAAGGCTTTCTCGAGAAGCCTCCTTGCCTGCGGCGTAGCCCTCCTCGGACGTCTCGATTAAAGCCCAGACAGAGACCCTTTGATCAACAATGTTGTGTTCGGCGATGTAGCGAGGGAGATCCTTCTCCAGCTCTAAGGAAGCTGGCATGGGATCCTGGGAGTTTGTATCCGTGTGTTTGGACAATTGACGAAGAATGTTTCCCATACTGGAAATAACCCTCCTTCGTTGCCCAACGGGGTATAATGGAAGCTCGAAAGAGTCGCTAACGTTTGCTGCTGGTGAAGTGACAATGCAGTTCGACAAGTCCAGTGCATTGTCGAGTGTGTATCTCTTTGCAGCAGTATCATAGATCCAACGGGCTCCAAAAAGTGTATTCTCTTTTCCATTGATGAAGATCGTATTTGCAAGTCGCAGGCCTACTTCATGAATGGACTTCCCAGATCCTCCATTCGATGCCTGAATTTCGCTGGTCGGAATTGAGAATACCAGTCCGGAGTCTGTGGCTTCCATGCTTCGTGCCCGGCGAGGCGCAGCGAGCTGACCTTGCACATTGTCCCGGTTCACTAATAGCACTGATATCCCGTCAGCTTCCTGGGCGCAAGGGCCTTCCGAATCCTGAGATGCCTGTGGTCGAGTATCCGGAAGCTTGTCGACAATCGCAAAGATTGAATGCACGGTATCGGTGGACCCTGAATAGAAGTGATTGACCCATCGTTCAGGGAATGTGTGAGACGACAACTCGATCCATGATGCGAAAGCGGAGGTTACAAGAACGATAGGAACATCATCGGATCGTGGTAGAGATTCGGGGGTAGGAGGCGTATTCGAGAGGACATCATCTGGAGTCTGTTAAGAGGTTAGTTTATATCCAAAGGACAGGAGATAGAAACGCACAATTGCGCCCGGAGTCTGCGTGAGCCAAGTATGGGCTATGGGGCGGGCGCTGGAAGCTGTGTTTGCGACCGACCTTCGAATGTTGGAAGGGACACGCTGATATGTCTGGCGACGACAAGCCAGCCGTGCTGGCAATGAGCGCGGGGCATACCCGAGCATCAGCGGCATAGGAGTAGCATGGATACCTCAATCGAAATTGAGATTACTTCGACCCGCTACAACTTCATAGCATTGCAAGTCGAATGTCATCCTGGCCCGGAAATGCGGAGGGAGCGGCGGATTTTTGGAAGCTCACCGCCTAGGGACCCGGTCTAGATTACAGAGTACTCCTGATCCTGCCTCTCGACGGGGCGGAACCCGTCTTCTAGCCAGACCTGCTTGCTTCATTACACCTCTTGACTCAAAGTGTAACGATGGAACATTGCTTATGTGGACCAGCTTAGGCTGTCTTAAACTTACACTACTGCAAAATAACGACAATCCTGTCAAGGCTCGCGCCACATACCGTCACGCACATACCAGCGATCCTAGTCGAATCCTCGGTAGAAGTATGATTGGCACAATGCAAGGCCGGTGTCTATTGCACCCTTCGATCAAGACTTTTATGCATGGGTATCCCCAAATCACTATGCGGCCGGATGTGTAGATCAATCATGGGGCAATTCAACATGGGAGTTGGAGACGCAGAAAGCTTGTTTCGTTCGGTTTGCATAACCCGGGGGTGTGGCTATGACATCATTCATGATTGATGATTCTGGAAGGATTCTTCATACTCATACACGTATGTCTAGACACACGGATGACTAAATGGCAGATATGGTATAGATCGATGCTGAGCGGGCGCGTCTTTCTCTGCAACACGCAGGCCCTGCGGCTCGATGCGACTGATGTTTCTGGATATGCGAGATAATCAGGGAGAGGGGATGCGCGGCTGCGACCAGATTCGAAGCAGATGTGGGAGTGAGTGTGCTACCTACGGATTGCGATAGCTTGCCAATCTACCAATTGAAAACGTCTCGTGCAGTCACCCAGCCATATGCACCAATGCATGGATAGCACAAGACGATTGGCTTTCCAGGGACCGATGTCTTTCTAGAACTCTGGAACTCAATGATAACCTGCTCCGATTGTCCTCAGGTACAGCAAAGTTTGTGGTTGCATGGTAGTGATGGTATCAACTTGGCTAGTCCTAAGCTAGGTATTCCCATCTACCCTACAGGATGCATTCGATTAGAATGCAGCCAGCACGTTCTTATGGTCTACCAATCTCCTAGTGACAATAACCACTCTGGGTCTATGATTATTCATTGGCACAAATATGAGCATATACTTTTGATGGTATCAGAAGAGCACAAGATACGTGGGAATGACGTTCTAAGATGTTCGAAGGAATGTGGCCTAGATGACGCGTTTGGAAGATAAGATGCATGTTAAATGATTTCACTTCTGTTGCTCCCAGAATAGATCTACACAGAGACTCGATGAATATGATTAGTGCACGGATTAGAAGAAGGCAAACCTAGCCACAGCAAAGCCACACTGCTATGTACGCGAGCATGGAGAACAATGATGACGGGTGGACCATCGACCGACAGCTCATGCGAGAGTAATTATTTTGCTATATTCTCCAGTCGTGATTCGTGTGCAGGGTGGTTCGTAGGGCTGTCGGGCCCACTAGGTACTTAGTTTGCTGACCCCGGGCTCAGCGAGGGGTTTGGAAGTACTCTTAAGCGTACATACTATTATCAAATCTCTAGCGCGAGGAAGGGTGATGTTATTGCAGATGACCTCACCTCTGAATTAGCCTATAAGGAATTGCGCAGGGTTAGAATAGCTTTTTAGATATGTGTTTCGCTAAGTTGCGCCGAGCTTGAGTTCCTCAGCCGACCGCAGATGGCGAAAAAAAAGGCGGATATGCCAAGCGTATTCCAGGCAACAAAATTAGAGATCTAAATAAAAAAAAATTCTGCGGAAAAAAGGAACAGAAGGCTTTATTTGTAGGGGACACAAATTGTGAAGACCCGCGGTTCAGTATGGGGTAGGTTCACAACTAGCAATCAGCGAATTAGTTAGCCAGGCGTTGTTAAGCAGGCTGAGGAGGGAACCCCTTACTGAGCGAGGATCTTGCGACTACCGGGTGACATTCATGATGGTAACCTAATGGACCCTCCAAGGTGTGCTCAATGCATTTCAATGTCGATACAACGCAAAAGTCAACCACCCTCGATCCTTGGATGGACTGACGCTGCAATGCTCACCTGAAGCGTCGAGACCAATCAGTAACGGGGTTTCGCATCAGCCACAGCAGGCTGAGCAAGTATGACGTAGCATGCATCCCACGAAGCCGTCATACTGAGAAGATCATCTCATCGGGATGGCATGAACGAAGGTTTGGCTGGGCTAAGTACAGTACAGTGTACGGAGTCGCCAATTTGTCTATTAACCAGGAATAGGCATTAGTTAGGCCCAATAGTTGGTCTAGTTAGTAGGTACCGTGACGCTCTACGCCCTGCTCCCGAAGTGGTCGGTGCAGAGCCAGCGGGCAGTTGCTTTGCCCACCCAGAATTTAAAAGACTCCTGTGGTCCCGCTCCTTCCTTCTTTCTCCCTTCTCTTACTCTTCTTCTCTTCTCATCTTCTCTCAGATCTTCCACCTCTTGAGACTCTTCATTCGCATCAAGCCTCTGATAACCAACGTTCCACCGTCCTTGATAACTGTTCCCAGACAATCACTCCACCCTCCCATTCGTCATGCCTTTCACTGCTTCGTAAGTCACTTCCGCCCGCAATGACCCTGATCAGTGCACCAGGTAGCTTGCCAGCGGTCTGGACTTTCTATGATGCAGTTCAGCCCGGGCAGCTTCTGTAGTACTCTACCCGACGAATAAAGAACCATCGCTAACACGGGATTTGTTTTTTTCCTGGACAGTGACGTCTGCAAGATCATCTTTGCGATCATCCTGCCTCCTCTGGGAGTTTTCCTCGAGCGCGGATGCGGTGCTGATCTGCTGATCAACATCTGTTTGACAATCCTGGGTTGGATCCCTGGTATCATCCACGCGCTGTACGTTGCCTTTCCTACCACTGGTTGAGTTGCTGGGAACGCCATTGCTAACTAGCGTCTGCAGTTACATCATTTTTAAATACTAGACCGCCTGCTTGTTCACCGCCCGATCACCCGGTTCAGTCGACCAGCATTCTTCGTCCCACGATTGTATCCCCCATCAATTGGCAGCCAGCATTCCAAACTGAACGGGGGAGTGTTATCCGTGATCCACGATGCTGTCAGCTTCCATTGAATTGTTCCGCGGGCTTCCGACCGGGTCTAGCCTAATTTGACCCCGCCAATGAATCTACCGTCTGCTCCTGCGCTTTACTGGATCCCGAGCTACGCGGGTGGAGATGTCATGTCAAAACACTATGGCGATGGGGTTGCATCTCTCCCATCTTGTTTTTTCTCCCTATGTCTCTGATGTCCGTTCCTCTGTCGTGGTTCCTTTGTTTTCTTTTTCTTTTTCTTTTTTCTTTTCGATGATACCAGCTCATTGTGATACTGGGCTTTGCTTGTACTGTTGGCAATGATCAGCTTCTAATGATTAATGGCAATAATTCACATTACTTTTGAGAAACCATCGTTCCCCGCAAAAGTGTAACTGGGTGCACATCAAGGTAGCTGATCGGAAGATGGGGTGGGCTTCTTATCCCCCGACTACACTATGGCGACGATTGATGGACATTGATGAAGAGAGACAAGACCGGAGAGACATAATCTCCACATGTATCAAAATATTCAGGCACAAATCAGCGCCCAACGGTAAAGAAAGGACAATTGTTCGACTAATGCTGCATCGTGAGACCGATCCAGGGAGCAGTACAAAGACCCTGAAATCCAAGTCAGCTGACCTGACATCATCCTTCAAGTCACTCTGCAGCATCGGCGCTAACACGGCGCGTATCGCATCAACATCGCTCTCTCTGCCAGCCCCGCAGCCATTGGAAAGCGCTAATCATGCCGAAGAAAGCCCATCGGTTGACTACGTGTAGCGCATCTATGACAATATCGCCATGTTTCACACAAGCGCCTACAGGGGGCGCAGTCTCATTGTTATCGTCTCACATTTTCGCCTTGTTGCTTTGCAGCCACTCGGCGCCATGACGGAATTCCGTTGTCTCCTTTGACGCCCACGATGACAAGCCGATGGCAAAATGTGGAATGCGCGGGTCTCTAATCTCTGAAATGGGACGTTTACCCCCTTGACGCTGCCGACCTCCCCAGAATTCAGTTTATCATGTTCTTTCAATCGAGCCGGTGCTAGAAATCAGTTTGTTTGTTCGAGCACTGCATGCATCTTTTGCCAGTGCCTTCGTCTTGAAATCTCAGTAGAATGGTATCACGTTTCTACTAATGGTTGTGGAGGCAGATGAACCTCTGCAGTGTCCAGATTGATGTAAGAAAGATTGCTTTCTAATTGCATCGTGGAAACATGAAATCGACATGCTAACCTAAATTGTAGGTTGACACAAAATGTTACTGTCTCTTTCTCTATGGCTACTCATCGCAGCACTATCACTTCTTCCGTGTCTCGCTTCTACTTCGCAATCTTCTTATCCTACCGCGACAGCGTCGTCTTTTCTCAGTATAATACCCAGATGTGCTCGAGAGTGTGTTGACGAGTTCGTAATCTCCGACTATCCGGATGATGCGTGTGGCAAAGCATGGAATCTCGACTGTTTATGTCGGACGAATACAACCAGCGGCTATACCTTGGGCGAGGCTGCGTTCCGATGCAGTTTGTCGCTGTGTCCCATAAAGACCATCTTCTCCTCCGACCTCTACGACATTTGCGACTCAGTACCGGGAGCTTTGCCGCGGACCCATGCCACAATAACAGCTACAGTCACGTCGACTCAGAGTGCAACTGCGGTAGTCACCACTTCCTCGGAGTCTCATAGTGTCGCCTCTACGGTATCGTCTACCTCGGTACCTTCTCAAACTCAAACTAGAACCCAGCATACAACTTCTGTCGTTATCATCTCATTCGGCAGTCCGACCACTGTATCTGACCTCATTCATTCGACCAGTGGCACCTGGACCACCTCCAGCAGTACGACCAGTAGTAGCAACAGTACCTCGACCGCTGCTGCTGCTGCTGCCGCCGCTATAACCACTACGCACAGTAAGCTCAGCGCCGGTGCAGTGATTGGCATATCTGTTGCTTCTGGAATGGCGGGATTTTTCCTCATTGGAGTGCTGGTGTTGTTCTGGTATAGAAAGAACAAACGTCGGGATGCAGAGGCTCGAGATAGGAACTTCTTCGAAATTGGCGGAGTCATGGCCGAACCTCCAGATTTCGCTTTCCCGCCTCGGCGGCCAACGGGACCCAGGCCCATGCCCGGCGGCGGCGGCGTGGACAGGGACTCGGAAACGTCACACTTGATAACTCCTTTCGAACCCAGGCTTCATAACCCGACGTTTGTTGCAGATACACCACGACATCGGTATGACGAGGATTCGATGAGATTACATAGTCCCCACAACATCGGTTTCGCCATATCTTCTAATTCTGACGCGGAAGCATCATTAGCGCATTCTACTCCGCGGACGCTCTCGAGCTTGCTCCCTGAAAAGCCAACATACGGGCTGTATCCGGAGCCACTGAGATGGAGTCGGCAGAAACGGCCCGGCAGTGTGGGAACGCTGTTCGAGGAGGATGTCACCAAGCCACGCAGCTTCCTTGCCAGTCCTCGGTTGAACCAAGGTCCATCTACCTGGTCACGCAAACCGCAACCCGACCGGCCTCATAAAAGAGCTCCAATGGCCGGTCTACCCGCCCATCCACGCGCGATGTTGCATGGTTTCCGAGAGGGCCAAGAAGGAAAGCTTGCTCTAAGAGGACCAAACCGGTATCACGGACCGGGATATGGAAGCCCTGCGGAGACAGCCTCGCACTCGAACAATGTTGTTGGAGGTTCGACCCACCCTTCCCCAAGGTTGAGTAACGAAGATTATACCGATGCATACTGGACGGATCGTGATGCTGGTCACACAAGGCCTGCTAGAACATCACCTTATCTTGATGACAGCCCCGGGGGAGGCCGGCGTTTGATATACGACACAGACCCAATTCCTTATCACACAGCTAGCGAGGGACCCCAGTCCTCCCGACGCGAATCACGCCATTCAGGAAGTCTGCGGCCCCTCACCCCGGTACGAGAGATCAGGACACCGAACCTCGAGATTCCCAACTGGCAATACGAGACTCCGACCGGCAGCCGGGTCCCTGTCGGTCTCCCACGCATGCCGATCTCGAGGTCAATCAGCCCGGCGCAGGAAATCGTTTCCTGGCCGCGGATTGTGCGACAGGATGATATTCGGAGGGTGCAGATTCGCCGGGTTACGCCCGAGCCCGATGAGGAGCCGACAGCAGCGGCCTATGCGCCCCGTGGTCCCTGGCATGATGAGGACGGTTATGGTTCGCGATACGGAGCCCAAGCACGCAGGACGTCCTTCGATTCCGTTTCGTCAGCCGACAGTCTGAGGAGGCCGCCTGTTCCGAGGAAGCCGGTGCCAATGGAGCAGCGCAACCTGACGCCTTCGAGGCAGGGCTCGGATCTCATCCTCCGGGTGGATTGACCGGGCTTAATGCTCGCTTCTGCTCGCTAGCTCGCTCTGCATAGTGAGTGGCTCAGTTTTTCCTTCTTCGGGACATTGCTCTTTATGGCTTCTCCTCGGAGAGTATGTCCGTCTCTTTTTTTGTGTATTATAAACTATTCGATCTATGCGTATATATATATCGCGATATTGTGGGAACTGCGGAGATATTTTCAAAGGATGCTGTCAGTTGTGTATACAGTATTTGTTAGGCGGGTAGGCGGCTGGGTTCAATCTAGATGTAGTTGTGAGAGCTTGTATCCAGTTTCATATTAGTCGTATAGAGTTCTTTGGGTGTACAAATCCGAATATACTATGTAGTAGAAGATAAACCCTATACATAATCACCTTACGTCGTTAACATCAACCTCTTCAGATCATAAGATAAGAGGAGGACTACTCTATACTTCATTATAGTCTTCAGTGGTGCCAATTGCAAATTGGGATCATTGAATCAATACCCGTGACTTACAACAGAGAATCGCATTGCAACCGACACAAATCACGTGAAACATCCTCGATAATTGGACACTCGCATATACATGGTCATCGATGATCTCTGACTTAGTGGCCGGATACTCCCATGGGTATATTCATTCATGATCTTGGAAATAATAAGCTATATTCGATTACTGAATAAGAACAGTGGCCACGGAGTACAGCTGACAATCGCCGATGACCGTTCCAGACCATAACGCCTAAGCTGGCATTCCTCGATGTATAGCTTTGTCTTGGCTCTTCATTCATGGAACGTATGAGTTTGTCGGGGTTCTTCTTACTGTCGGCAAGGTTGAGACCTCACAACAAAGGCCCGGCCTCACTCAAGAGAGCCATTGTTCTTTTTATTCCATCCCACCTTGATGACGCTTTTCGAGAGGGAGCTGAGAGATGCTTCGAGGAAGCGGATGATTGGGAGTACGTACCAGGTTGATAAAGAGAAGTGGGGTCGACCTGAAAGGTCTATATAAGGATTGTCGGGAGCAGTCTCGTGCGCTTTATCTTCTCCTCACAACCCTAGAAGCAGGCTTACTTAGTTATTTTTGAAGATTTGGAAAAGATGAAGGAAGAATCGATCCCCCCCGCCGACCCGGTGCCCCCAGAGGAGATGGAGATGGACTGTGATCCGGCGTTGTGGCCTGAGCCACCGGAGCTGACCATCATCCATTCCCTCAATGAGGCCGGGGTGGCCTGTGTGCTTCTTGGAGACCTGGCGCTTCGAGCCTACGGCCTGAGCATTTATCCAAGGGGCATCGATCTGGCCGTCGCGGACGAGGACATCCGGCGTGTCGAGGAGGTCCTTGAGGGCCGGGGGCTGGCATTTTGTTTCGACCGCAGGTGCGCCCTCTGGGACGAGGCCGACCAGTACTTCCTCTCGGCGATCCACTGCCACCTCACCGCTCCCGGCAACGTCAATGAGAGCACTAGGGGGTGGAACAAAAGCGTCCTACACATCTGGGCGCGATCTGTGCTCCTGGAGAAGTTGCCGAATGGTATCCTCGTCCCGAGCAACATCACCGCCCACGACGAGGACTTCATGCTGACCTCCGATCCCCGCCTCCCCGAGCCTACCCCCGACCTGCTGGGCATCCAGCCCACTCGGTGGGTCGGCCGCTGGGGGGCGGGAGTCGTGATCCTGACGCCCAAGAGCTTCCTGGAGCAGATGTTCTGGCACGTGCTCCGGGACTTCCGTCCATACGACGCCAAGTTTAAAAGTCCCTGGGAACTGCACATGTGCAGGCTCGCCCTCTGGATTTCGAACCAGGCCCCCGGTGCCTACGTGCTCTGTCCGAGCCTCGCAGACCTCAGCTGGTCAGCCGCGCGGCAGTTTCTTGAACTGCTGACCAACCCTTTCATCGGCCACCAAGACGCATGGAACTTCTTCTTCTTCCTGCAGAGCGTGTGGCACAAGAGCGGGTTACTGACGACAAGCCCGCGGCAAGGCAGACCCATATTCCAGGCTGTGGAGGGCGGCTATTCCCTGGATTGACTAAGTTGCGGCAAAGATCGCTACTGTTGGTGTTGTCGCCTCCGGCTGGATTGGAGTGTGTTGGCCTGGTCCGCTTTCTCTGTTAGAATAATTCAATAAGAAGAAGTAATAGTACGAATGATGCTGTGCGTCCGTCATGTGTAAGATTCGCCAACCTTGTTATCCCTCATCCGAATAGCCTGCTGTGCTATTTCTTTACGGAACAATGTAGGGATGTCTGACTGGTTGAAAATGACCCCTGTAGCATATAACTACATAGTAAGTCTGAATTCACTCAACTACATGAGGAAGGCTAGTGGCTTGGTGAAAAGACCACTAATGCAAGCCCCTCTTTTCTATCTCCGGCCGGCAGGGGGAAGGCCGATGGAGGCTGCAGTGTCCGAGTCTCCGAGATGTGACCTGACCCACAACATCCCCGCGGAGAGGATATGACACACGCTGAGTTTGGGATGGGGAACCGAGGGAAAGCAAGCGAGTGCAGTGATATCAGAGTATTCTTGAGAAGTCCCAACCAAGGAACCAGAGCCATGTGAGAATCAATCGGAGGGTAGACTCGGGGGGTCGGAAGTAACGGAGGGAGGAGAAGAACAAGAAGAGGCAGGCAGAGTGAAGGAGGAGCCTCTCTCGGCTTCGATGACGTCAAGCCCGGCGATCGGTCCTGAGGCAGTGAGGCAGCAACGATCCAATCGGCAAAGAAAATGGCAAACGCATCCTAGGCAGAAGGTTTCACAATTCCACAGTTCTCAACTATACCCAAGACTAAACTTGATTGAGCACTGGCTCAGGGGAAGCTAAAGACATGTGTAACGTCACCGCTGATAGTTATAATAGGGCCTACTACTGATGTTACTGTTTTTCATGGCATGTTTGTACCACTCCACTTTCATTATTGATTGCGGGTAAAAACGCCATGTACGTACTTTGACCGGTGTCTAGAACAATAATGTACTGTACTGTAGTTACACATGCAGCTGGATGTACATAGTAACATAGTACTCCGTAGTAGTCCGTGGTATTGAGCTTACCAGCATCCCCTTCACCGCTTTGTGGCTACTCCTGCTGTATGGATTGTTTGTTTAGTTTCCATCCATCCATCCATTGATGTCAACGACTCAACCTCTTCTCAACCTCCCCTCCCCCCCCCACTTTTCACTGCTCTCCGTCTTCCCCTTGGCTCTTCCCTCAATCTCAACCGCGTTCGCCTGTTCTATTATTGAGAGTATTATGATATCAAGTCCAACGCGTGTTGAACTGTCAAGTTCCAGTGATGACAGACCCCACGATCTTCCCTCGACCCAAACCGGTCTGCAGCGGGAGGAAAAATCCAGGTGGAATGAATGAATGAATTTGCGCCGAAGAGCGAGTTTGCATCACTTCCCCCCCCCCTCTCCCCCCTCTCTACGGGACTGATGCATGTCCCTTGTTCGTTATCGTTGACTTTTCCCACATGTTTTGGCGCCCTGACCATAGCTCTGGAACGAATCAGATTCTCGGTTTGGTCCATTCACATCATCATCAGGCATGAGATGATGGGGCGGAGTGGAAGTCTGATACAACCCGCACCATAGACGGACCCTCTTGCTTAGGCCTTCAGCAGTCAGCCTTCAACCACCGGAAATGACATACTTTGGTTGCGGTGGGGTTTACATCCAGCTGCAGTGACCACAACACACAAGGAATTCCGACTCACCACTAGGATCGAGCGGTTTTTTCTCGATGACGGTACCACGGGCTGGGCTGTACTGTCTGTCCCGATTTTCACTCGGTGCCTCGAAAACTAACTACGTAGAGCGCATATCATAGATGTCCTCCAACCACTTGCATGTACACCCTTTCCTATATTAATAGCCCCGGGTCCATTGCATTTCCCTCTCAAACCTCAAATCTCTTCCTTTCATATCCACCGAATACATCTTTCTTATTGCATCCTTGTGCTGGAACCGCTGCGGCCCTTCCGTTGTGATCTTCCGTGTCCACGCCAAAATTGTGTGGGCTACTGTGACAAAACACCTCGATTCCAAATAGACTGTGTACGGAAACAGGTCCTCTTGTGCAATCTCTGCTGGCTCCTCCTCAGGATCCAGTGATCGTCTTGTTTACACATACTCAAATTCTTCCGAAAGCTTCGCAGACTTGCGACCAGTTTTTCCCCCAGGGGCATTCCTCTCAGCGATTGATCGATCTGTCTGGCCACCTCAGGGCAGCTAATCGTCGACCATTTCTTGTTCTCATCCGCGGACCCACAACGCGCTCCACCCACCCACACATCATCGTCACCCCGGGACTATCCTGTTCCACGATCCACAATGACTACTACCGACGGTTTCGGTACCCAGAGGGTATGTCGGCTGTCCAGCCTGGATGCTTCTCGGGCCGGCCTCTACGGCGGCCCTAATGTAGTCCTCCCTCCCAAACATTTGATGGCTTCTAGCGATTTTCATGATACAAACACCGCAATGGAATTGGACAGGCATCACTCAGATGTCGAAACATCGTCGGAAGATGGTTCCGTGCGCGTTGCGTCCCCGGTCCCTGAGCGACACCTCACTACTGCTGATCACTTCGCTCTGGGCTTCGACATTGACGGCGTCCTCATTCGAGGAGGAGAGGCAATCCCCGAAGCGGCCGCTGCCCTCAAGTACATCAACGGCGACAACCCATACGGGGTCAAAGTGTATGTTTCTTCCCTGCAGCACCTGTTCGCAAGATTGGCCGGGCTAACTTTTATTCTTTCAGTCCTTACATCTTCGTGACGAACGGCGGCGGCAAAACGGAAGAGGAAAGATGCTTGGATCTCAGCCGTCAGCTGGAGTTGGATGTCTCCCCCGGCCAATTCATCTGTGGCCACACCCCAATGCGAGAGATGGCCGAAAGATATAACACCGTGCTGGTCGTTGGTGGTGAGGGTGAAAAGTGTCGTCATGTAGCCAAAGGCTATGGCTTCAGGGACGTGGTCACTCCCGGAGATATCATCAAGACACGACACGACACTACGCCATTTCGCAAGCTTACCGACGAAGAATACAAGAATTCTCGGGTCATTGATTTTAGCAAGACGAGAATAGAAGCGATTTTTGTGTTTGCCGATAGCCGAGACTGGGCTGGCGATCAACAGATTATCTTAGATGTGCTCCTGTCTCAAGATGGACGTCTTGGAACCAGATCCGAGAAGTTTGACGAGGGCCCGCCTGTCTTCTTCTCCCACAACGACGTGGTATGGTCGACCTCTCACGAACACACTCGCCTCGGCATGGGAGCATTGCGGGCATCTCTCGAAGCATTGTACAGAGTCGTCACTGGCAAGGAGCTCTCACCAATCTCTTTCGGCAAACCGCAGATGGGTACGTACCAATTTGCTACCCGACTCCTGCGGCAATGGCGAAAAGAGAGCCATGGCATCAACAAGCCTCCGGGCACAGTGTACTTCATTGGAGATACTCCTGAGTCTGATGTCCGTGGAACAAATGAGTTTGACAAGACCACGGACACCAATTGGTTCTCAATTCTTGTCAAGACCGGCGTCTACCAGGATGGAACCGTGCCCCGCTACCAACCGAAGCATACTTGTGCCAACGTGTTTGAAGCGGTCAAATTCGCTATCGACCGGGAGATGGCCAAAGACGGCCAAACGCCACTGACTTCCGGGGCTGATCTGGATTCCGGTATCGACTCGGATTCAGCAGCCGCACGTCACTAGATGGGATGCTTACGCTGCCAACACCACTATCGACGCGGCGGAAGGTACCGACAAGTACAATCTGTCCTGGTCTTCCGTGACTTAGTTAAATCTCGGTTGGTCAGGGCATTGCAGCATCCTATTTCCTCAAGCATGTCTTCCTGGGGCATGATTTCCAGGATTCACTTGAGGCATGAGTTTACGATAGATCTCCTTTGGGTGCCACGGGTATGGAGTATGGATACATTGACTTGTCATGGGTTTGGAGTTCGCTTCTTTCTTTTGCTTTCTTCCATAGGAATTCAACATATCACTATAAATAATTTGAAATATTACTGAATCCTGAACCCAATCTGGTCTCATCTTCGCAATTGTTGCCTAACTGAGCTGGCTCGCCCGCCCCTTGTCTGTACTTCAAACCATCTAGTCTATGGCTAGTTCAAGACTTGGGTAACATTGCCGCGGCTACTAGACGTGTTGTAAAAGAGGGGCTTGTCGACACGGGCGGGGAACCCTTGTTTGCCTTGTTACAGGCCCGGGCACATGCACGTCCTTCCGACCGAGTCAACCGTCAGGATTGGATTTCCAGGACTCGCTCCACCAGGTGCATTAATGGTCGACTAGAGTCTGGAGGTGGAGCCCCGATGGGCGGACACGCTTGGCCTGGGTTTAGTGTATGCAGAATGAGCGCATCGATGCATGCGGGATTTACAAGTACATTCCGACCATGTGTACTTTTATGGGGAAATCGTGGGGTACATACATATATACGTATGCATTCATGTGAGCTTTGTTGAATGACAGCTGTGCTGACTTGTTGCCTGTTCGTGGATTATACGAGTACCACTGAGTGCGGGGATTGGAACTATGTTCGGCCTGAGGCTGCTCATTCTTCTCCTTCTCCTCCTTCTCCTCCTTTTCGAAGTGCAGCAACAAGGTCCTACTGAACCCAGCTAGAGCCCTACGACCAGATTACGGAGTATTAATGACCGTAACAAAGCTGACTAGTCTCAGATCAATGTCATGCAATACCCCTCTCGATCACTTGCAGGACCGTCTGCACAGCATCACTTCCAGGGTCTTGTCTCCGCCTCTACTGTACAGTACCACTCTCGCATTCGCCATACCTACCCATCAATCCAGCGAAACTCCCTGCAACAGTTGTCCACCAGGTAAGAACTAACCCGCTCCACTGATTCCTGGAGTGACGAAGACCCAATCGCGCCGCAATAACATATCAACTAACGCATTGGCATACAGCCATCGGACGTGACGGCTAGCGCTTCTCCAACAGAGAGTCCAATCGTATAACCCTCCAACTTGGGATCGACAGTCCCTCTAACCTTGAGTACTATATGAGGCATCCCCTCGGCAATACCGGAACGGCCCAAGCGTCGTGCAACCAAGCCCCCGGTCATCCTCGCCACACTTAAATCTCACCACTTGCCTTAGCGTTGGTGGGGATGGCGGGGGTGGGGGTGGGGGTGGGTTATCATAGACTTTCACTTTACCTTTCCATTGAGCCGGTCCTGGTCGATCACGAAGGTCAGTGTTCTACAATTGTTTCGTCGTTGGCCGTTCAGCAGGACTTGGCGAGGATGTGCCATGTTCACTCATTCTTTGGGGTCCGAGGTTATCCGGCTGCGACAGATCCTCCTGATCCTGAACTTCGAGTTCTACCTGGTAACGCTTGGAAAAGGATTTTACTTCATGCTAGGTCTTTAATGCGGACGTAAAGTATTGTATCGCGATTGGAGTCAGGCAAAGGAACTGAAAAGACAGACAAGCTGGGAGCCACATCTCACCGTCCGCAGCTGCAGTGTTTACTGTTCTTCACTCGTCAATTATACTACGATAATTGACCAGTGCCAATCGGATTTATGTCGCGCTACTTCGGAAATGTGACGAGTTGTCAGGTGAAAATACTGTTTTACAGATCTATCTATAAGTGCAGGTAAGCTGAGCGACATTCCGCTACCAATCTGGCTCGTCCACATCTGAGTCAATGACACGCCACAAAGAAAGGGCCCCTCGCTTGATGCCACACTTTAACCGGACGGTGTGCATCACGGCGCTGCCCATGGCCGAACAGCCTACAAAGCCATGGTGAGAGCCCCAGTTCAAGGCAGCAGAGCACCACTCATTTAAGGTGTCGTCAGTTGCTTCAGGCACGAAATAATCGTCACCCACGGCAGAGTGAAGACTGTTCAGTGCTACATCACGGTGTATGAGTTGTCCTGGGCACAGCTCCAGGAAACGGTCATTCGGCTCAACATTCAACAGCCTGTAGACGCCACGGGAGAAAGTGCATTTCAGATTTTCCAGCTCATCCTCCTCCAGATCCCAGCGGGCCTGGGCTTCGAGGCTCACCCGAAAGTTACAGGAGCCAATTGTGCAGCCCGACAACCGCCATGGTGGGCCCCATCGATGAGAGAGAAAACCCCTGCACTATCTCCTCGTTGTGCCGCGCCATGTATCTCGGGCGCCAGGATCAATGGCCAGCGCGCATTCAAGGTCTCTTGCCGATGGTTGATATGATCCATCAGGATCTTGTTCGACTCACTGAGGAGCTCTACGGTGGTCAAGACAACCCCGCGCAGCTACGGGTTCGGTGCTCGTGGGGCCTGCTCGCCGTCGCTCTCGTTGTCTAGGAGATCGTACGCCCTATGCCATACCAGCCGCTCAAATCCCGCGACAGTGCAAGTCCACTCCACGTCGACCTGGTCTCTCACGGCCGGCGGTAGCTGCTCCCAGGCTTCTTCGTTCTCGTCGGGGATAAAGACGAAGATGATTAGCGGCTTGGCCTCCGGCACACGCGACGGCATGTGATCCTCGAACTCATATTCGCTACTATCGTCATATTCGTCGTCGCTTTCTCCAAAGTCTTCTGGGCCCGTGTTGAAAGAATTGAAAGGTGTGGCTCGCAATAGCGGGTATTCCGGCCGCCCTGCCGCGCTCCGGTCGACCCCAGGGAGCTTGCTCAACCACTCAGCGGTCCTTGCCATTTCGTCCTCGTTGTTCATGGTCTGATGCTCCGGGGGTGTGGTAGCGCCAGCGAGGGCACGGTCTATTAATATACTCATGGTATCTGTTCTTCTCGCGGCTCATCGAAATCCTGTCCTGCTGCCTCGAGAGAATATGCTATGGTGTAGGTGTAGCGTAGGTGTAGTGTTTCTGAACACTTCCTCATAGCATAGGAGCTAGCCAATGCTGAGCACACGCCCTTTTGACTCGAGACTTGAAATATGGTGGTAACTGCAGCAAAAAAAGAAGTATACTGATAGATGCCGTTGAAGCCGTTTGAGCCGCGCCCATCACATCCTCAGGTCTCCTGGTGGCGCATCTTCCAGTAGCAGCTTTCCATTAACAATACCTGCTTCTTAGCGATCCATTGGTGTACTGAATAGTAGGATATGCTGTTGTTATTATGAAACTTGCCTCCATGTTTACTGTAACACGCGCCAGCGAAGGGTTGGATCCTAAGGAAGGTGCGGAGGGTTCCAGAGGACCCCGGTCTCCAAGGGGAGAGGTTGTAATAACACGATCAGTGTGCTACATTGACTGACAGACTCTAGGAGGCAACGTCATTGTCTCGATTCACCAGGACTAATTTGACAGGCTGAGTTGACAGTGAAGGCTGTACTCCTGTCATCCAAACAAGTGTAATCCCTTGTGCCTTGACGCATGTATGAGACCAGAGTAGTGAGATTGTTCGATTACTCCACTGATTCCAAGGTGAAGAAACTAAATAGCGATCAGGCCTTCCCCCCTCTTTCAAGCATTCATACTCTACAATTAGACAGAGGCCGCAACCACCCCCAGTCAATTAGGGCTGATTACGGTACCTGATTCATGGGCAAGTCAACACAGCACCAGCAACAAAGCGCAGTAGGTAGGTAGATTTGACTGACACTCATAGCGCGCCCTTTAATGCCATGTTTCTACCATTCAACCCCCAAGAAATAAGGATTGTCCGTTCCTATTGAAATCGATGGTAGGGTCATCATCGTTGGTAATGTGTCGAGCGGGAAAAAAAAAACAAGATGATGCAAAAAGCTCAGGTCGTGCCCGGGTTCGAACCGGGGTTATTGGAACTCTCTGTTAAAGTGACTTCAAAATCCAAAGTGATAACCACTACACTACACAACCTGTAGATGTCGTATTGAGCTAATTGTACCCTTATTATCAACCTCCAATTTTGACAGGAAGATTTGAGCTTGAATTATCAACTAGGTTTGTTTAGTGCTGATTTGCGATATGGTGCTAATTTGCAGTGTTCGGGGCATGGTTCCAGTTGGTCGAGGGCGGAGCTTTTGTTTTGCTTCGCAACAGGGTAGGGTTTATTGGTGTAGGTGATATTCGGGAGAAATTATTAACGGAGAGTGAAGAATGTTTGTGTAGTACTGTAGGTGTGGTTCTGTCTATCTAGTTTCCTACATACACCAAGCGACTAACTAACGCTTTCCTCGAAAAAGCATTACCCTGTATGCTGTCTTTATGCATCGAAAGAAGAATGCCACGTCTTTCTACGGTCGCTTTGGCCTCTATCCTAAATATACGACCTCCCCAAAAAACACGATGATGGGCAGGGTCTATATCTCAAACTCCTGGTCTAACCAATGCTTCACAACCACTTGACCCTCGTTGAATCCCCTCTTCTTAACCCGAATGATGATGGCGGCATGGCTATGCCGATGGTTATGGATCCAGACCGGAAATTTCCGGAAGCCCACCGAGTTCAGCGAGTCGATGATGGAGAACTGCGCCGGAGTCAGTGCCAGCGTGGGGAATTTCTCGCTCGCAAAACTGTCGGTCGTGCTGCTGCGCCGGAGGAGAGGCTCGATGTCGTCCTCATCAAGTTTGCTTTCCAGGTCCGTCGCGGAGGAGGTTGTGACTTGACGCCTCTTGGCTGCGTCGGATGTCTTCGTCGTGTTGTTGGATGTGGTGGTTGAAGACAGATAATCGGGCTTCTGGCGAGCGCCGGCGCTCTCAAAGACCTCCTCGACGACGTGTTGGACCTCGTTGACTAGGACGGGCACGCGGTAGCGGTCGAAGATCTTGCGCGAGTGTGCGCCTTCGTGGTGGCGGATGCGGCGTTGGCTGCGGAAGTTCTGGATCACCGCGTTCAATAAGAATAGGGGCACGCCGATGATGACGAAGACCGTGAAGAAGGTCTGGAATGGCAAGTTCGTGAAGAAACTGGTGACCTGGCGCTGGAGCTGCTCCAGCCAGGACGGACGCTGGGGCTGGACGACGGCGACGGGCTTGGTGGCATCGATGATGACGGGCTCGTACCCCTCCACGTAGTCGAACTGTACGTTCTCCAGGTCCTCGAAGGGGTTGATGGTCGAGATGGCGGTGGTGTAGAAGATGGTGGATCGGTCGTTGACGATGTTTGAATAGACGCAACGATGCTTGAAGGTCTTCAGCGCCTTGATGAAGATGCTGTCCGGATCCGCCAGCACGCTGAGCAGCGGGCGCCCCGTGTCGCGAAAGTTGTCGATCATGAACAGCTGCTTCCCCGACATGGAGATCGTCCGTGGCCCCACATTGTTCCACAGGAAGCCCCAGGTCCCCTTCAGCGGGGTGCGCACCCCGACGTGCGGCGAGACGAAGGTAGTGAAGTTAACGGGCTCCAGTTTGTCGAGCCACCCCCGCGCGTAGAGCAGCCCCAAAGCGTATCGTGCCACCAGCCCTCCGAGCGAGTAGCCGACGACACTCAATTTCCGGATGTTGTGGCCTTCTTCGGCGAGTCGCTCCAGGGTCTCTTCCACCTCGTGTGCTAAGCGCTCTCCACCGAGCTCAATGCCGTCGTAGGTGTAATTTCCGGAGTTGCGCTTTGCGGCAAGGATGTGGAGGCGGTCCTCCGTGTATCGGTCTCTCAGGGAGGTGGCGATGAAGTCCAGGTGGGAGGGGTTGCCCCATAGTCTGACGAGACAGGACGGTCAGCCGAATGCCTCGTTGTCTGCCTTAGTCAAAGGGTCTTCTTACCCATGGACCAAGACGCAGAGATGATCTGCCTTGCGCGACGTCTCAGCCGGCGTACGGCCGTTATCAAGCTCCAGCTCCATAGTCAATATGTGGGAATCAAGAGTGTCCTCTTGCGGTCAGGGTCAACAGGCGGTTTAAGTAAGACCTTCTCAGCATTATCCGCCAGTCTTCGCCGGACTTAGGCACGGTTCTATCGCAATTAAAGGGGCCATGTGGCTGCTTCCTTCGTTGTCCGACCGTCAAGAATAGGTTCCCTAGCAAAGGGGAGCCCAGCAAGCGCTGACTCAGCCCGATAACGAGACGTCATCGCCGGTGCCTGATGCAATGAATGGCCCAGAAGGGCCGGTGGCAGTTCACATCAGGAGTCTCGGACTGATCTTACACAGACTTGGTAAGACTGGGTATTATGCGGTCATGTTTAGATAGGCCATTGTCGTTGCATAAGCCTTCAAATGTTCCAAGTGAGGATGGTGATTGAGGTTAAGGAACAGCAAGAAGAGTGCGCCTTTGTTTGTTCGTGTCTGGTGTTTGCATCGTTTGCACCGCGGTCATCTCCAACACGTGCAGTCAGTCTAGCCTTCGGACGCTTTCCCTTTTGACAACCACTCGATATTGAGTCTCTTTGTTATTCGGGTCTATGCAAGGAATCAAGACAGACTGGCTACCTTGACTAGATGCTGAGCAATGATTTTCGGCTCGCTCGCATCTTAATTCGACATGATCTTCTGTTTCCAGCGCCAGGACTAGCCGCACTACTTCTCCCCCGCGGCTTGCCAAACACCCAGTCATTTATCCATACAAGAGAATCGCAACACCTGATTGGTCTCTGTTTGGGTGCTTGCTGTGTTGCAATCCATGATGAGTATTGGTTGTCGCTCTTTTGGACTATGATCTCTCATCTTTTCCTGTATTACTCCTTGAGCATCTTATCTTTACCCACCTCTCACAATGTTCGCCCCCCTCGGCTTGTTTAAGGACATACCTTGTCCGGAGGGCCACAGCTGCTCTCTCTTGACTTGCATGTTCTCTCACAAGGAACTCGCTCCAATTGATGATAGTCAGAAGATCGCCTCAGCTGTTACCCATCCATCTAGTGAGAAGCCCGGAAATGCTGCCTTGTTTGGGAAGTCGGCTCCCACAATGTCAGCCGCAGCAGATATGACTGAGAGAGAACCGAAAATCTTGAAGAGGGATCCTCCACCAGCCCCATTCAAAGCTACAGACGCTGGACCAAGTGCTTCGGCCAAGTCTTCACCTGCACCTCAGCCGTCGGCGCCTTCACAGCCGGTCAAACTACAGTCACTGTCTCGAAGGGTCTCTCCGCCACCGAAACCAGTATCAACGGCAGTCAAGACGAATGCGCCTACGCCTGCAAGGTCCTCGGCGGCGGCGGCGGCGGCGGCGAATTCGCGCCCGCCGAGGCAGGCTCCCCGGGAAAGTTTGAATCCCCGCATGTTGACGAAGGCGCCTGCGCCGCATGGAACCAGATTGTCTATCCTGACGAAACTGCATGCTGCCATGTCCTCGCAAAACGAGAAGATCGCCAAGGACAAAGACAGTAAAGACAAATGGCTTGTTCTCACACCAAATGAGCTCGTCACAATGGCCCTGGACGAAGAGGAGAAGACCGCCCGAGGCAATCCGAGCATATATGCTAATGTCATCAAGCTTCGCATCGTCAGGTTCATGAAAATGACTAAAGAGGAATGGACGACAGAGGTCAAGAATCACCTGAACGAGCGGTACTACAAAATCGACCCCAACGCGGAGCAGCCGAGGCCGCAGGCTCTTAGTACTGGGTTGACTGCAGAAGCGGAGATTGCCCTGGCAAGTCAACTGGTTACTCCAGCTGAAGGGCTCGAACAGTTTGGATATGTTACAAAGGCACCTTCAGCTGCGGAGGTCGAGAGTGCCAAGAAAGGCGTCGCAGGATCCAAGGGCTGGGAGAAGTGTGACCGGTGCGCTGGGAGGTTCCAGGTCTTCCCAGGCCGTCGCGAGGATGGTTCTTTGACGTCCGGGGGAGAATGTGTCCACCACCCTGGCAAGCCGTTTTACCCTCCAAGAAAACAGACGGATCATATAACCGGACACAAGGAAGCTTACTATTCATGTTGCAATGAAACGTTGGGTACTTCTTCCGGATGCACCAGAGGCAAGACTCATGTCTACAAGGTGTCAGAAACCAAAAGACTTGCTTCTATCCTCCAATTCACGGAGACGCCAGCACAACCATTCAAAGGGCCACTTCCACCAGTCTGCTTCGACTGTGAAATGGGCTATACCACGTTAGGGTTAGAGTTGATCCGACTGACCGCGGTCAGCTGGCCTCAGGGCAAGGCACTTTTGGATGTTCTTGTCAGGCCGATGGGGGAAGTATTGGACTTGAACTCGCGATTCTCTGGTGTCTTCCCTGAACACTATACAAAAGCTATGCCCTATGAGGGTTTCCAGAAGGAGGCAGACGCGACACCATATGAAAACGGTGAGGTAGAGGAGCCAGCCTTGAAGGTTGTCGATTCGCCGGCTGCAGCCCGCGCTCTGCTATTTAGTCACCTTCAACCGGATACGCCTTTGATCGGACATGCAATCGACAACGATCTAAATGCTTGTCGGATAATCCACCCGACAATCATCGATACCGTCATGCTGTATCCCCATCCGCGCGGATTACCGAATCGAATGAGCCTGAAGACCTTATGCCGAAGACATCTCGACCGCGACATACAAACTGGCGGTAGTCTCGGTCATGATTCGAAAGAGGACGCAATTGCTACAGGTGACTTGGTCAGAGTCAAGGCAGTTGAGACCTGGAAGGTTCTGAAGTCGAAAGGCTGGCAGATCCAAGGCGACAAACTAGTGCCCCCACCAGGGACAGAGGCAGCTGAGGCTGGATCATCAGCGGGGAGGCTTGGGCCCGGTGCCGGTCACAAGAGAACGAATGCTAGTCTGGGGCATTGAAACAACGCCATCGACACAAGCCGCTATACTGCAGTTATCCTTATATAGTGTGATACCCATCCTACGTCTACGTTCAAAGTAAAAAGGGTTTGAGATATAGGTTTGCTTCATTGATTCATATCTACCATTCATAACGTCATGAGTAGATCGAGCGACGACGCGAGCCCAGTAGACGAGTGTGGAGGTCGCCTTTTCAGGTGTAGAACGTCCACTGCCTCGAATCCAGACCGAGCGAGAAGCCAAGCAGGAATCCCTCCCAATGCGCACACCTATAATCTCCAACCAGACTCGTCCATCCTAGTCCCGGTGCATGAAAAAGTTGACATTCGCAGACCCCCCAATAGCCGGAGTGAAGTTTCCAAGTCTGATCATATTTTCCGCGTTTTTATTTTTGGTTGTCTATTTGCTGCTTCCGGAAGGAGAGAATTTACTCCTCATCCTCCTCACCCTCGTCGTTGACGACGTTGTAGAAGCGGAGCTCGTAGACACCCTTGGAGGTGGAGACGACGCGGAGCCAGTCACGGAGCTGCTGCTTCTTGAGGTACTTCTTGGTGCTGTGGAGAGGGAAAGATAACCGGATCAGCGAATTCGCTCTCGCCTCTATATTGTCGTACAAAGGTAGACTTACAGGTACTTAAGGTAGCGGCCAGAGAAGGGGATGTGGGCAACAACCTCGATCTTGCCCTCACCAGCCTGGGAGATGACGACCTTGTCGCCGAGGTTGCCGACACGGCCCTCGACCTTGATGCGGTCGTGGAGGAACTTCTCGAAAGCAGAGAGGTCGAAGATCTTGTCGCTCACGGGCTGGGAAGCGTTGATGACATACTACAGAAGGAAAAATTAGCTTTCTGCCTTTGCTTTGTAGTTTTGCGATCGGGGTATTTGAAACATACCTTCTGGGTGACCTTCTGGGCCTTGCGACCACGAGCCTATTTGTCGGGGAAAAACTACAATTAGCCTACTGCTCCATGATGGCGAAATCCCAAGAGATGTTCATGTATCCATGATCCCAAAGATTTTTCTCAATCAGTCTGAATTTTCCAGCGCCAGCGCTGTCATGTCCAGACGATCATGGATAGATGGACTCTCATGGGGGAACAGCAAAGCGATTTGTGGAAAGGAAACATACAGCAACGGGAGCCATTGTGACTGTAGGGGGGGATTTTCTCGCGGGGGATAGAGAGAGAAAGTAGCTGGTCGCAAAGAGGTGAGTATCCTGCGCCTGATGGGAGATGGGGGGGGGGAAAGAAAACGTCCGCTAGGGTACGGGATGGTCAGATCTCGCTGGTGAGGGTCGAGTGCGCCCCACTAATCCGCTTCGGGCATTGTGGATAGGGCTTGATTTTGTTGATTAGGGCTTTTGGTTGTCATTTGATTGGGTTGGAGTTGTGGCCTGGCGCTTAAGGCAGACGTGTATTCCTAAGGCAGAGATGCCTCGCTTCTGGTCGAGATAGCCGACGCTAGTGAACTAGCGGCGCACGGGCCCCCATGCCGACAGGATAAATACCTCTCGCCGCCCGTCTCTCTTTAGACTTTTTCTTCTTTTCTTCTCCAGCTCTCTTTGCCTTTTGGCTTAGATCAAGTGTAGTATCTGTTCTTTTCAGTTTAATCTCTGAAAGTGTTCTAAGGAACACAACATTGATTAATCTTATTTTTGTACCCTGTGGTCTGACCTCTGTGCTTGCGCATGTCGGACCACACAGTGTCATTGGGCTTACACTACCCCCAATCGACGCGAACCTTTTTTCATCAATTTTGTCGGCTTGCCGACTGGTTGGAGAAGAAAATCTATTTCTTGTATGAGCACTTTCGTCAATCATACTTGGTCGTCCATATAATACAACTATTCCTGGCGACTGTCGCGTAGATGTAAATTGAAGCACCTCGAACCTTCTTCGGAGAAGTAAAACGCTACCCAATTGTCCCCGCCCACTACTCTTCTTCATCTGTTCCACGTGATACCGAACTAGATTTCTTGTTTGTGACTGCAAACGCTTCCTCTCGAACCTCACGACCATCACCAGAATCGCATCCGTAGTTCATCATGGGTTCCGTCGTGTTGCCGCATCTGCGAACCGCCTGGCACGTCGACCAAGCCATCCTGTCTGAGGAAGACCGACTTGTGGTGCGTACCGCCTCTCCGCTACGAACGACACCCGACTGATCAACCTATGCTCGTAACAGGTCATCCGATTCGGTCGCGACCATGATGTCGACTGTAAGCTTCCTTCTTTCCCATCCTCGGTTCCTGCGTCAGCTAACCCTCCGTACCAGGCATGCGTCAAGATGAAGTCCTCTTCAAGATCGCCGAGCGGGTCAAGAGTACGTAGCTGGAGGAGCCTTTCGCTTCTCACCCCAGCCCCCAGGCACTTCTTTTGGCAGGTGATGATCACTCACACAAAGGTTCTCGGCAGACTTCGCCGTGATCTACCTCTGCGACATCGACGAGGTCCCCGAGTTCAACACGATGTACGAGCTCTTTGACCCGATGACCATCATGTTCTTCTACCGGAACAAGCACATGATGTGTGATTTCGGCACGGGTAATAACAACAAGCTGAACTGGGTGCTGGAGGATAAGCAGGAGATGATCGATATCATCGAGACCATCTACAAGGGGGCCAAGAAGGGCCGCGGTCTGGTGGTCAGTCCTAAGGGTATGTGTTCCTCCTATCGTTGACTTGCTTGGGTCGATGGTGTTCTGTGGGGGCTTTGCTGTATGGCTGACTGACTGGATGTGTAGATTATTCGACAAGATATCGTTACTGAGCTGGCTGGTTGCGTTGGCTGTGGTCTTGGGGGTGGATGGATGGGAGGTTTTTTTTGTGTCGTTCTTAGTTTAATGAGTTTATGAAATGGGTAGAGCAGCTTGATACGCGGTGAGATGCACACTATTCTAACTAGATGGTTTTTGAAATGTAGTAGATTGGATGTTAAGATATCTCGTGGCGGGGTGTTTTTCATGCTGCGAAGATATAAATCTCACAGCTCTCTCCGCCACGCAACATATCTCGCTTTTAGGAATTCCACAGGATAGACATAATGACACTCGAATAATCACACTGCACAAATTCCTAGCACTCTGACTTCAGAATGATAGCCCACCTGCTGCGATTCATTTCCGAAATCGTCACAACTGAAGTAAATAGACCGAGCGGCAGAATCTCCTTCCTTCCCTCCACCTCGAGCCCCACAATTTCTTTCTCACGGCGTTACCTGACGTAACAATCGAACACCCTTCTACCACAATTTGAACCGAGTCAATCAGCGAGAATCAAACCCCCACCAACAATTCCCTAGATCCAGAAGGAATTCAAGTCCTCAAGATGATCGACCACCAAATCTTCGAGGATCTTCAGTCAAAAATCGACGAAGAGACCGCCGTCCGCGATGTAAGAAGCGCAAGAGCTCCGCGCCAAGCCCTGCCCCCCCCCCCCCCCCCCGCGGCGAAAAAGCAACGGCAGCTGAATAGCTACCAAACAGGAATTGCATGACATCGTGCAGACGCTGGCACGAAAGGGTACCTATTCCCCGCAAGTCAAAGAGCTCCTATGGGGATATATGATGTGCAGGATACACGTCCTCTGATGATTGGTTGCAGGACGATCCACGCAAGCTATTCTTTCGCGTGCCCACTCGACGCCTGCTGGTCAATGTATGTTACTTCAATCTCTGGAGTGGGTTCTTGGGGCTTTTCGAAGGAGAAGGAGTAGCTGATGGGGAGATAGTGAAACCTGTTCTCGACGATGTGACTAAGGCGATCTTCGCGCAGAGAGATGAGGTCTCGCGTTTGAGGGTTGTAGCGGATAAGCACCCGTTCTACAAGTACAATGGGGTGTGGACGCGGGAGCTTCAGAATCTGGTGCGTCTCTCTGCGGCTTATTCTCCTCTGCTCTCGTTATGTCGCTGCTGCTAGAGGGTCGTCATGGACAGAGCCTCAGTGAAGATACGAAGGGACGGAATATTAACCACCCTGCTAGGTCTCGTCGATTGAGCTCTGCGCCTGGCTAGGCGGTCTGGAAGAGTACAAGTCGAGCCCCTCGGCTTCCTTCTTGACGATTGAAGAGGTGGGGAAGTTTCTGGGTGGTGAGTTATGATTTTCAGTCTCGGTAAGAGGGTGTTTTGTGTTACTGACTCTTGTCCACCACAGTGCCTGTCAACCTCAAGGAAGAGGATGCTTTCCATCTGACCGTTGAGGAATATCTCCTCGCGTTGATTGCTATGGTGGAAGAACTGGTCAGTGACCCCCCTCCACCCCTCTCAAAAATGCCTCTGAGAATTTGGTACAGTCTCGTCTTGCGGTCAACTCGGTCACACTAGGTGACTACACGCGCCCCATGCAGATCAGCAACTTCATCAAGGAGTTGTTCGCTGGCTTTCAGTTGTTGAACCTGAAGAACGATATCTTGCGGAAGAAAAGTGATGGGATCAAGTACAGCGTAAGTAGTTCCGGAGTGCTGCTGCTGGGATGGCAGGCTAATTGGCTTGTGACACAGGTCAAAAAGGTGGAAGACGTTGTCTACGATTTGTCGCTGCGCAACTTGATTCCTAAGGATGGAGCTACTGCTTGATAAGGTTATTTTACCACTGCGTTGGGCGGATCTCAACGACCTTGATGGGTATTCCGTTCTGGTTCATATTAATCAATACACGGAACAAGGCAGCTCGTCAGAATCAAAACGAGCATTGTATTCATAAAGGCCACCACCTAGAAGAAACGAAACAACAAATAAGGAAATGGTATCACACTTGAAACGACCCACGCAACTTCCCACGAACCCGAATTAGACTCTCCCAACGTAATCGGATTTATTCTGTTTAGAGGTTGGCCTCAGCACCCTCAGCAGGAGTCGGCGCGGCAGCCGCCGCCGTAGCAGTAGGAGCTTCCTCAGCAGCAGCAGCACCCTTAGTCTGGGAGGCCAGCTTGCCCTCCTTCCGCGCCTTCTCGATCTCCTGGACGATCGGCTCCTTCAGAGACTCGGGCTTGGTCAGACTGGCCCAGCGGCCGACCACCTTGCCGTCGGCGGAGATCAGGAACTTCTCAAAGTTCCACTTGATGCGCTTCATGCCCAGCAGGCCCGGCTGCTCCTGCTTCATCCAGGTCCACACGGGGTGGGCCTTGTCGCCGTTGACGTCGAGCTTGCCCAGCACGGGGAAGGTGACGCCGTAGTTGAGCTGGCAGAAGGACTGGATCTCGTCGTTGGACCCGGGGTCCTGGCTGCCGAACTGGTTGCAAGGGAAGCCCAGGATGGTGAAGTCCTCTGGGTACTGGGCCTTGAGCTCCTGGTAGAGAGTCTCCAACCCCTTGAACTGCGGGGTGAAGCCGCACTTCGAGGCGGTGTTGACCACGAGGACGACTTTGCCCTTCACGTCGGTGAGGGGGAAGGGGTTGCCCTTTTCTGTTTTAATTCAGGAGAGATTAGTTAATGCAAAGGAAAGTTTGGGGAAGTTCTTATTTTTTCTTTTTTTTTTTTGTTATTCTGGTGAGGGAGGGGTTCGACGAGCGAGCGGGGGAAGGGAAAAAGGACGTACTATCGACGGGCTCGAAGTCGTAGAAAGTGGTAGCGGAAGACATGTTTGCTGCGGAGGATGAACTGAGTCGCAGATGGTGGGTTGGTGAGAGGGTGAAGTATAGTTGTTGTGGTTGTCGCGATGGACGAGGACGAGGACGAGCAGTAGTAGTAATCGCAAAGAAACAGGAGCTGTTGCGGAGCGGGGAAGGAAGCGGAATGCAGGATTGCGCGGAGAACGAGGGAAGGATTAACCGTGGTGTGGTCGATGGTTTATATGCGATGGACGCGATCAATGGGCGGCGCATGGGGAAACACCTTTTCAACCGTTCGGGTTGTTTTCTGTACCAACAGTCCAGAGAATTACTTCTCGGATGTTCAGTTCATTTGTCTGGACCACACGTCTCTATCGGGGGTCCACGTTTCCGAAATCCGAATGGAGACTACCTTAGTGGAGAGACCCTACTCCGAGTTACTGACTGACTGACTTACCGACTTACTAACTTACTTCAGTGATCAGAAGCAGCAGAAGAGGAAAAAAAGAATAGGACGATGTCATCATCCTTCAAAACGGCGGGTCGATCGATGGGAATCGGGTTTGTCATCTTTGGCTGTCCAGAACATCCCCCGGCCCCGGTCCTATTGCTGCTTTGGGAGATGCACTGACATACTATGACCGCTTGCTGGCCCTATCCCCTCCCCTGCGCGGATTAAGTAAATGAACGGTTGCAGAATTCCAAATACTGTCTCTCCATTAAGCTACCTTGCTACTCAGTCTAAATGAAATGGCCTACTGGAAATGGCCCGATAGGATTTACGCAGTAAGAAAAAGTGGAGTTCCAGGCTGACGAGCGACGACCGTTTTCCGATGCCCGTGATCCAATTATTCCGCCGGGTCTCAGACTCCGCTTATTGTCAGCGTTTTCGTGGTTCGGTGCCTTGCACATTCGATTTGAAATGTATTGTTTGTGGCTGTGTTCGAGTCTTATGAAAGGTATAGATGTACATGAAGCCAGCATGTGTTGCATAAACGTTCTCAGACAAATCAACCCGAAGCAAACCAGTCAATCAGTCGTATGTCTCCGAGAGGCGAGAACCGAAGAATCTCGTGTCAGCCACCGTCAGGACTGAATCCTTGCGCACTAACCGCACATATCTTCCTGTACAGCCCGCCCCGCGGCATGCGCTCTGGACTCTAGAATCCTCTGATGACCCTGCATGACGGTTTCCAGGGCTTTCTGCAAGCCCCGGGGCCCTGCCGCAAAATCCCTAACAAGGCCCGATCGGGGCCGATGCCGGATTGCCTGATCACACCTGTTCTGAACGATTCCTCCTGCCTGCCTTTGCGTGATGCAGTTGGACCATCCCTTGTAGATAGAAATGGCCGGCCACAGTAATTCTTCGTCCCGTCAATTCACTCTTTGCTCTCCCATCCGATGTCGATAATGAGGTAACCGCCCTCGTATCTTTGCCCCCCTCCCAGCGCAAACTCATTTCGCATCTCCCATTTCCAGCACATCCACATCCAGCTCCTCCATGACCCCAAGCACAACGCCTAGACTCTCCATGAACCCGTTCACCGCGACGCGGAGCATCCGGTTCGTGGTCGCATGGTACGTCGTCTCCAGGACGGTCTTCGCGGCCTCGTCGGCGGCTTGATCTCTGTCCGGGCTGGTCAGGGTCAGGGTGCGCTTGACGAAGGGGGAGAGCTCGGCGTCGACTTCGAGAGTACGGAGGGCAGACGAGGCGAGGCGGTTGGTTGGGAGGGGAAGGGAGATGGTCCTGTTGCGGCGGATATCAGAATTTTGTTAATTGGCGCGGTGGGGGGGGGGTTGGTTCTTCGGGAGGTTGAGAGCGAGCTGGAATTGTCGCGATGGGAGCTACTTACAGGTTGAAGGGGAACTCGGTGGCGGAAATGGAGGTGCTCATTTTGATTCGCGGGACGTGTAGATGCGGTCGGGGTAAAGGTAAGCTTGGTAGATGGACGATGGTTATGGGGCGTGGATTCTGGTCGGGGGGCTCAGAATCGAGCCAGCCCGTTGAAGCCTGGGCGGAGAGAAGTGGGATGTTCGATAAGAGATGAGTCAGCTTTGATGACTGAGGCTCATTATCTTGATCTTGTTTGCCAATACTCATCTTGGTCAAAGTTGTGACGTGACGTACCTCAACCGTGATTGAACATTGGTTCTTTTCCTGGGGCAAAATAAGGATACTTGATTTACACATATACCTAGCAGCATAATTAGTTCTGCTTCTACAGCTTTTACCGGTGTAATTGGGCAGCAAGCTTGATGCTCGCATCATCGTCTGCCTGGGCTCCATCCAAGAGACGCAAGTCGACCGTTACATTGGCTCCTAAGGCGATTGACATTGGACGTCCTGGGCACCGGTGGGGGGAGAATCCCTGTTAGTTGTCGTGCCATGCCCCGGGTTTTCCCCGTCGTGCCCGTCGGGATTGAGATGAGATTCATAGATCTGTTGCATTGTTGGAGAAAAAAGGGCCTGCTTGAACAATAGCCCTTTACAGACGGTCTCTTTGTACACGATAAGATTCTTCCTTGAGCAGTACCGAAACTGGAAAAAGTGCTGAACTTGTTGAGCTGGCTTTTCGTGGAGACTCTCATCCAAGCTGGAGGGGCAGGGCGATGCTATGGCCGTTTACGGTAGTGTATGTTCATGTACCTGACGGGATATATATTGATGATGAAATCGTGATCCCTCCGGAAACAATGACCTCAATCTCCTCAATTGGTTGCGGTACGAGTCAAGTGAGGGGCAATGACCTCAGATTATTGGGCTTTTGCAACGGCACCAAGGCAGCTGCAGATGGCGGAGTCAACACAAACTATTGAATTCGGACGGCAAGAGATTAAGTTGGACTGACAACGGGAGACCATAACAGTGGCAGAGTGGCAGGGTAGGGCCATAACAAACACCGCCGGCAAGGCGGCGCTCACGTGGCCGGGCCGCTCAATGTTGTTTTGGGGAGGCTGGAACCGAGAAAAAAAATGAGATGTTGTGTTTACTCCGTAAGTACGGACGGGGTGTTTGTTTGTTAGGGGATACGACAATTTACTGGGTAACGGGACATTAGCTTAGCACTGTTAGCAGTAACCCCGTAACTTCCCCCCCCTGTCAGCTTATCTAATCAGCTCTGCTACGCCTGAGGCATGCTACGTTTCCCTGTCAACCGCCCGCACTAGACCTGAATGGGCTCACCACAACATAACAGCAGCCACTTAGCGTGCATCGCAGTTGCCCCAAACGAGTCTCCCATCGGCCTCGAGCCTATCCTCTTCTCGTGCAAGCCAACTTTTTCCTCACCTTCCTCTCTTTCTCCCTTCGTCCTCTCTTGTTATTATAAACTCGACCTTCGCCCACCCCCGCCGATCATCTGTACATCCTCTCCTACTTGGCCTTGCTGCCTCTATCCTTACCCTACACGCCAACCCACCCCGCGTCTTTATAGCTTCATCTTGTGCTTGGGAGTGTCAATCAGACCAGACCATGACTATCTAGCCCCGACATCTTGCTTGCATCCCATCTCTGTTTCTCACCAGCAGAGGTCCTTACCATCCATAGCGGCATCTTATCTATTCAAAGCGACACGTCCTATAAATCCTTCTTTCGAAGAGGTCTTGCGATTGTTTATTATCCAATTCCATTGTCGGCGCCTATTGTTTTGGTAGCCGCGTCAATACAGTCAAGATGTCTACACGCAGCGGCGATTATGGCCAGGTGATTGAGTATATTCAAGGTTCGTTATCCAACATCATCTTGGGGAAGCATTGGCGAGAGATGTGAAGGACTTCGGTGGTTGTCCGATGGCTTGCGTTGGCAGTGTACTGAGGATCATCACTTTAGATCGTCTCTACCTGGCCTCTTACGATTATCCCCCCGATGCGAGAACGCCTTTCCCCTACCCTGAACAACCCAAGTCTCCCAGCAAGCGATCTGCCAGAGCTCAGCCCAGCACTCCCAGCAGCAAGAAACGCAGCCCCGTATACTTTACTGTCGACGATGTTCTCCTGTACAACTCCTTTCATGCCGACTTCGGTCCTCTGCATATCGGACATCTGTATCGCTTCGCGGTACATTTCCACGAGATTCTGGGAGACCCCGCCAACACTGATCGCGCCGTGGTCTTTTACTCCAAGACAGACTCGCGCAGCCGTGCCAATGCAGCCTGCCTAGTCGCTTGCTATATGGTTCTCATCCAATCTTGGCCTCCACACTTGGCCCTGGCTCCCATTGCACAGGCAGATCCGCCATACATGCCATTCCGCGACGCTGGATACAGCCAGGCGGATTACATCATCAACATCCAGGACGTTGTATACGGGGTGTGGAAGGCCAAGGAGCAGTCGCTGTGTGGCTTGAGAGACTTCAGCCTAGAGGAGTAAGTGCAGCCTTACGGAAGTTTCTGGTTTTAACGCTGACTGGATGACTACATAGGTATGAGAAGTACGAGCGTGTTGATATGGGTGACTTCAACTGGATCACTCCGCAGTTCCTGGCCTTCGCTTCCCCGCAACACCAACCCATCGATGTCATTCCTCGTGACACTCCCGAATATGCTGCGCTGCCTTCTACCATTGCGGAAGTCCAGGCCTCGAAACTACCCACGCCCTTCAAGAATGTTTTGACCCACTTCTCCTCCCGTAGCGTGGGCCTTGTTGTGCGACTGAATTCCGAGCTGTACTCGCCATCCTACTTCACGGCATTGGGAATCAATCATGTCGACATGATCTTTGAGGACGGAACTTGCCCGCCGTTGCCCCTGGTACGCCGATTCATCAAGATGGCACATGAGATGATCACGCAGAAGAAGAAGGGCATTGCGGTCCACTGTAAGGCAGGCCTTGGCCGCACTGGATGTCTCATCGGAGCCTATCTCATCTACAGATATGGCTTCACTGCCAATGAGATTATTGCTTTCATGAGATTCATGCGCCCTGGAATGGTCGTTGGTCCCCAGCAACATTGGTTACACCTTAACCAAGGCTCGTTCCGCGAGTGGTGGTTCGAGGACAGCATGAAGGAGAAGCTTGCTCAACTGCAAACGGCGCCTATCACGCCTGGCCGGCCGACTACCCGCCAGCGGGCTAACGGGCCTGTCGCAACTCCACCTAACAATGGTCACTCCAAGCGTGCCGCTCTCGGGGAGATTGACCACAATGAAGGGGCTGGTACACAAGCCGAAGAGAACCTACCAGCACCCACACCCGGCCAGCCTCGCAAGTCCCACCGCAAAGACTCTCGTCACCACCCCTACTCTCGCACCACTTCTGGTAGTCTGATCCTCGAGAAAGAGACGAACAAGACTTCCAATCGCCTCAGTACCGACAGCAGCGAGAGTGAAGAAGAAATTCAGTTGCGTATGCTAGCCAAACGCTCCTCAAGATCTCCCGTGGCATCTCCCAACCAGCGGTCCGTCAGTTATTCTGCCACTGTGACCGCCAGTTATACGCTCAACGATGATGATCGGGAGAATTGGGGTGATGCAGCTACATATGCACCCAAGACGCCAATAGGCAGCAAGAACGGCAGCGGGGCGATCTCTGTCACCAAGGTTCGGACGAGCCCAAGACGTGTGACGGATAGTCGCGCAGAAAAGGGTGTTCGCAAGGCTAGTGGACGTGTTGGTAGCGCTGGAAGTCCTGCACGAGTGAAGTGAGAGCGCGATTGACCGCTGCCCCGTTCATCATCTTTGCTTTCCTTCCTCTGCTTTCAGATATCCACTTCGTATTGTTTATTCTCTTCTTCTCCGCGGGGCATAATTTGTGCATAGCCCCAAGATTCTTGTTTTTATCATCGGCTTGCATATGTGCATTGTCTATTCCTCCTGAGGGAGTAGTGTCTTCGAGGTGTTTACTGGTGTTAGTGTCTGGTGCGATTCTCACGGGTCTGGGCAGGAGCTTCCAAGGCGTTGTGGACTATGGGATGATCTAGAATTTTGACTCAATACAACAAGTTCAGTGATTAGCACATTATGATCATGACATTCGACACTGTACGAGTACAATCTACATCTGAATGACAAAATTACTTGATGACAAATGTTATAAGCGTTCACATGACTGCTTGAACTTAAAGTATCTTCGAAGGATCAATTACCTTCTGACAGCTTGTCCTTGCATTTTCTCATAGACACATTCTATGGATGTACAGTACCTCATTTCCCATTGCAATGGCCCCTGGATGAACCCCCTACCCAGCCTGATCCCCGACGTGACGTCAATTTCCCCGCACCATACAGATGCATTGTGTGACTGTGCCGAAGCGCATAGGCTTCCATCTTCTGACCCAATTAAGAAAAAAGATAATTAAGATCAAGTTGGTAAGCGGGCTATTACAGTTGCAGATACCGGCTACCAGACTATTACAATTACCTGTAATCTAATCGGTAAATATGATTTCTTAGTAGTATCCGATCACATTCACTCTAGTCATCTGTATAGAGACTTGGACAAAAGGGGGTACAGCACCCAATGACATAGTCTCGGAAACTACGCGTGCTATCTGATCACTTTGAGCTCAGGCGTCAGTTCAGGCGTCAGTTCCGGCGTCCCTGACACTGCATAGTAAGTACGGTTTCGACCAACTGCAGTACAGTATATGTGATTTCCTCTGACCGTTTATCAGTGGGTCCATTCCTATTCTAGTTGGTACTTGAAAAGTCCGAGGCTTTTGTCGATCTGCACGGCATCGAACTCTGAACACTTCATTCGTACTTTCGACTACTTGGTAGCACAAGAGACGGTACTGGAAGGTAGCAGGCTCATGCTTGGCTAGATGGGGAACCAGTGGTTGACGGTGATGGAGAGAGAGAGAGAGAGAGAGAGAGGGAGAGGGCTGAGATGGTGGTCAATTCAACCAAGAAGCTATGCCTGGGTTCGAGGCCCGGGCCATTGCCTCCCTCCCTGCTGCGGTTTGTAAGGTTGGCACCATGATTTGAAAATAGATTGTGCCGAAAGTGGTCGAGGCAGTCTTTGCGATTGACCATGGGTTCGGGAGTATGCGGTAGCTTGAATTGGACTTTGGGAGGGTCGGGAACTCGGACATGTGTCACGGGAGATGAGGTCAGAAGGCCCTGTTCGTCTGGCAGTGAGAAAGTAGCGAGCAACGCAGGCTGGCGAACCTGGGCTCAAGGCCAAGGAGGCACGGCACTGAGGGGGAGTGAGCCGGGCTGATTCGAAACTCCTTCCGCGGATTGCAGACCTGTAGGGGATTCGGTTTGTCTTTGTGCTACAATGCGAGGAGGTCTATACTGTACGGTACCGTACACTGCACTCTGTCTCCAGCAAGTCTCTGGCTCTGCATAGACCCGGTCTCGACGCCACTTTATCCTGATGACAATCCAGCCGGTCCCTCGTTGCCGCCCATACGTTCTGTCTCCGAAATCGCCCCGGCGATGCATGGGTGCCACTCAGCTGAAAGAGACTGACGAGTAGCATGGACGACACCCTTGGCAAGAGTGCCAAACCAGACACAGGTGCTCCGCCAATGCAAAGATGACCATATAATTCGCGAGCACGCAGAGCGCCACCGGCGCGCCTACATGGACCTCTGTCCAGAACTCCGAGGCTACACACGTTGGGAAGTGGCCATACGTCATATGTGTGTTATGATACTCAATCGCGATGAGAAGAACTTTTCTCAGTGTTTGAATGGCCGAGATATACATCGTCGCTTGGGGTGTCGGGAGACCTGCTACTGCGAGACGTCGTCGGATGGCGTCGAGCGCAGTCTCGATTTCCGCTGGAAGCTTGCGGTCTGGATCCGAAGGCGGCTGGGGATATAAGGAGACCCACGGGGTCAGAGCCGATAAATCCTTGTGCTGGAGAACAACACTGTGCGGGGTCCGGTGCAAAAGAACTAGAATGTCGTGTATGGTTTAGATGGGGCTTCTGGCGGGTTGTTCGGTGCAGACCTGGATCCCGAAGGCAAACGCGATCACAAAGCATTGGAAGGCGAAAAGCGCACTGACGGCGTCTGGGTTTCGGGATGAATGATGGTTTTTGGTTAGATATGGCCGAACAGTAGCCACTGCTAGATTTTAGTGATTGATCGCCAGGATGATGTGGGCCTTGCGGCGGGAGACGTCCCGTAAAGCCAGATCGAGGGCGCTGATGCTCAACAGCCCGTACTGTAGAAAGTCATACTCAGAGGCGAGCTCGGGAACCTAACCGGCCCAGATCGATGGATCCGTGTGCAGGGTATAGTGGTTCATCAGCCGTAATCGGTCTCGCTCCAAGGCCGACAGCAACTGCATTTCCGGCGCCATCGTTCGGCCCGATCTCGTCGTGGACCCGGTGGTGCCGGACAACGATGACGCCGACGACGATGTTGAGGAGAACGTAGTCGTCGGCGGTGACAAGGTGTTGCTCGACCCAGCCGGTTTACTGGACGAGGCCAAGCTAGGCTCCCCTTCCCCAGCTTCATTGTCAATTCAACTGCCCGTCGGCTGCTGAAATGGGATCAAAGTGCGAGTAGGGGGTTTATTCATCAAGGAACAAGCGGACCCTATTCTCTTGCAACGTCCATAGGTCGGCGTCTTCTCATCACACTGGATCGATAAGCATCCGGACTAGCTGCAAGGAACCGAGCACACCTTTGTCTGATTCCTTTTGCATTGGGAGCAACCATGACGGCTCTTCTTGTGGAACCGTCGTCGTCCAGGCATTGGGGCAGGGAGGGAAGTACCGGTACTTCGAACTGGGCAGGCGAAATGCGAGTCTGTCCTACACGGATTGTTTAGATCCTCTCTGAATCAGTGATGTGATGTAATGATCTTCAGGTACCGGACTTGGAGTGGGGAATTGTGGAGAAGGACACCCAAGCAGAGCTTAACTGACAGTTCTCAGTGCAAAGCCCCCACTGGTCGTGGTCAGGGGTTCGAGGAAGTGGAAAGGATGAAAGGAAGGAAGAAAGAAAGATTAACTCCGGGGATGCGAAGGCGGGATTAGAACTAAAGTCCGTCCGATATCCCCAGACCAGACTGGCACCTTGTCCTGTACTGTCCTGTACATCATACAATGAAAAGCAACTTCCCAGGTATGGAAATTTCCATGCCAGCCAGATCCCCGAAGAGACAGGTGAGCAAGTACTTAAGCAGCACATACGGACAAACTATGAATGAGTTTTGTGCCACATGCCATTCCCAACCTCACTTTCGCACCCACCCTCAATCCCCCAACTGGCTCCTCACAATATGGTCAACCTCGACGTGATCCACGCCTCCAACACCACCCTGGTGAAGAGCCAACCCCTGGTGGCCGTCTTCTTCGGCGGCACCTCCGGGATCGGCCACTACACCCTGCGCGCCCTGGCCACCGCGGAATCGCAGCACCGAAGCAAAGGCCTGCGCGCCTATCTCGTGGGGCGCAAGGCCCAAGCCGCCGAGACCATCATCGCCGAATGCCGCGCCCTGTACCCGGCGGGCGAGTACATCTTCGTGCCGGCCCACGACCTCTCGCTGCTCGGGGATGTCGACCGCGTGTGCGCCGAGATCCTGTCCCTGGAGCGCGAGCACGGCCAACCAAGCGCGAATCCGCCGCGCATCGACTATCTGATGCTGTCCCACGGCGGAGCACCCTTCCAACCCCGAAAAGGTATTTTTTTTTTTCGAGTTTCTAGTTTTAAAAACCGTTTCTCCCCGACAGACAAAGAAACAGAGATACACAATCCATATAGAAAAAGCTGCATTGCATTTTGTACAACTGGCTACTTACGCCAGCACCACAATACGCATACAGATACCGCCGAAGGCCTGGACACGACCATGGCCCTGCTCTACTACTCGCGCATGCGAGCAATCACCAACCTCCTCCCGTTACTCCTCGAGTCCCCGCTGCCCGCGGCGATCGTCTCCGTCTACGCCGCGGGGTATGAGGGTAAGCTCTACGCGGACGACCTGTCGCTGCGCGACCACAAAATCTACAGCTACGCGCAGGCGCGCTCGCACATGATCTACATGCACACGTGGTTCCTGGAGCAGCTGGCGGAGCGGCACCGCGGCCGGCTGCGGCTCGTTCACATCTTCCCGGGGCTGGTGCTGGGCCCGGCCTTCGCGAACCCGGAGCTGCCCGCCTGGTTCCGGGGGTTCTGGCGCTGGGTGTTCGTGCCGCTCTTCGGGCGGTGGGTCGCCGTGCCGGCGCGGGAGTGCGGGGCCCGGATGCTGAGCCTGGCGGCGCCGCGCTATCCGCCGCGGGGGCCGGGCGGCGCATCGGCTTCGGCTTCGGCTTCGGCAGCGGTGGGGGATCATCGGCGGAATAATGGAGATGTGGCGATGGGAACGGATGGCAGCCCGGGCGGTGGGGTCTACTCGCTGGGCTGGAAAGGTGAGTCGAATATCCAACTTAAGGCATACGAGAAGTTCGATTTGGCGGAGATGAGGGCCAAGATCTGGGAGCATACGATGAGGGCTTTCGAGACGATTGAGAGAGGAGATGTTTTCAGGGATTGAGACGGGGGGTCTTCTTGATGGCTATACAGTCGCCTCAGTGTAATGAAGGTAGTAGGTCCGGGCAAATGACTGATCAACTGGTCTTATGGTAGCAAGCATTTCTTTATCAAATTGTGGGGGCATTCATTGCGCGAACACAGATCTAGAAATAGACATGATATAACTTCTAGAAGCCCCTGCACGGCCAGCATGTTCACATCCGAAACGGAAGTAATACGGCAACAACGGCTGCGAAGCGCGAACCCGTGTCAACCCTGGAGAGTTCCGAAGCGGTATCGCAAGTTCCACCATCTCTGTATATCTTTCTCCTTTGACAACTGTCGAATCTGGTAAAACTCCTTCGCTTGCTCCATTCCGCAGCGGCAGATCGAACGTCTTCTGCCACAGTCGTTACAGAATCTGGTTCTAGAGCACCTGTATTGTGTCAGTTCTCGGAGATCAGATACCATCAGCAGGAAAACCCAAACGTACATTGTCGAGCTACAGCCACTTGTTCTCTCCACTAGAGCCTTGCAGTCAGAGCACTGCTGCCAGCCTAGGTTGATTTCCGAACATGGAAGTTTGCTTAGAGCAGGCTTCTTATCATATTCATTCCGGAGGGGGGAGGCCGCTTTACACCAAACACAGGTGAAGGTGCCGCAACAGAGGCATCTCGCATGATATGCTGTGACCCTGTTCGGCGGAATCGGTACGCGACACGTCATCTTGCTGCAGCGAGTCCAGCTGGTTGTCAAAAATTCAAGCTTGGCTTTGCCGTATTCGTAGAGTTCTTTTTCGGCCATATGCTCTTTAGCAAGACGCAGGGGAATCACGGTCTTGCAGCACGTGGGCGGGAAAAGGGATGGGTCCTGGGTAACCCTGATGAGGGAGCTCTTGAGGCATTTGACGCAATATAGATAATCGCATTCGAGCTTTATGGGCTTCGTTGAATGGAAAGGCCTTAAACAAACACAGCATCGAGGTGCGAGAAACCATTCTTGAGAATAGGTCCAAATCGTTCTCAAGGGAGCCATGCCTGTGTCGGATATCTCTGATGGGAGGGTTGGAAGGTAAATTTCAATTGTCAGATGCTCGGTCGTATACCGTTGTTTGTGGGTGGGGTTTGAGTATCGATCTCTTCTATCAAGTGCAGTCACCGGAAGACTCTGCGTCGACTTAGATTTGGTCCACCGTAGGCGGAAGTGAAGAACGTATCTGACCCAAGCGCATGCAGGCTCTAGATACTGATGAAGTTGTGAAGGGGAAACTGCGAGGAAACCGACCTATGATGGACGACGAATGGGGCGGTCGCTTAGGTCATTAGGTGTCAACTCCCGGACAAGGACTTTGGGATGCGACTAGGAAGCGCTACTTCGCCACTCAAGATGTAAGTTTGACATATTGTTGTGTTTGACTGCGGTGAATGATGTTATAATGTCGAGCTATCCCTGATCCAACGGAATCATGTTCCGGTAGTGCATCCGCCAGTAGAGAGCCGCGTGATCCTGGACCAACTAAGCGAAGAAGACACATGGGATTATGTCGTCAGCAAAAATAAATGCGTTTGTCCACAGAACGAATGCATATATGAAATGGCTCTAGTTTCTGTGCTTTCATCTCGGGCATTAGTGGTCGTTGCATGTTAGGCGTGACACGCCCTTCTGGCCGGACTGCGCAGAGCTTTCATCCATACACGAACTGCAATAATCAAGTACGCTTGATTCTGCCTTTGGGTCTCGTCGTAAAAAACAATCATATCATGGGTCTGATCCTTGCCACGGGAAATCATGGCAACCACGATCATTTAGCCCAGTTCAGAGCCCTCAATCTCCACTTGAATAAAGCACTGCTGGTCAATACCGAGTCAAACGAGGCCCACATGAGTAATGATCAGTCGACACCAAAGTAAACTCGCTTCGATAAGCGCTTTGAGCTGCAATACTATCGCCGGAGGAACTTTGAAATGTTCGGCTTGTTTTCTGTGGAGGACTAAGCACGGGCACCGGAGCTGAAGTTCGGGAACAAAAAGTGGTAGGACGAAGGTTAATCGAGTCAATAGTGACACGAGAAGTATGAGATGCGGACAAGCCAATGTATGATGCATCGAAGTACTTTATCTGAGAATTGATTCAAGAATACAGCATGTAACACAGGATTGGTTCCGAATGTAACCGGTTCAATTGCATAGAATAAGGGTATCATATCAATCATGACTCATGAGCATAAATGAAAGATCGTGAATTCAGCGAGGATGCACTGTGCGACATCATGTGACGCAAACCGTTCATCATGAGGAGAATAGGAAGAAGGTATAGCACCTCCGCGACGAGGGTAGGCCGGTGGCAGAAGAGCAGGATACATCGTTCGACGGGCGCTTTCGAAAGTGTCGCTGCGAGCAGATGATGTAAAGTGGCGTTATGGCGTGAATGGTTGCGGAATCATACCATCCAGACGAAATCGTTGCTGGAATATGTCTCTTGCACGTAATAGGCCCGGAGGCAGAGTGGGCAGTTGAAATGGTCCTGCAGGTACCATTTCTCTAGGCATTCTCGATGGAAAACGTGTAGACACTTCAATTCTCGTATCTCTTGGGAGCGCTGGACAGACTCGAGGCAAACGGCACTGTAGATTGACCGAGTGAGTAACGGTGATGATGGTGGTTGCTGGGCTGACCATACCACATGAACTGCCCGTCGGCGCCCTCGGAGGGAAGCTTGGCTCGCGACCACCAATCCTCCAGGGTACGAGCTGGTGAGACAGCGTCCAGCTTGCGCAATTTGTCGTGCGAGTCGCCTTTCCTGCTTTTGGCCTTGGTGGCAGGACGACGCTCGCGGCGATTCACGAAAAGACTCAAGCTGAGCCTCATAGTCGCCTGTCAGTAATGGAGGGCAGAGTGATTTTGGAGAAGGGAGGGAGTGCGGGAGAGAGGAAGGGAGGGAGGGAAGGAGAGGGGCATGGGGGAGGAAGTAGAAAAAAAAGACGGGGAAACCAGCAACTTACAACAAACACATGATGACGAAGGTCACAAGTCCAAGACCGATGCCGAGAACAATGGCGAGATGGCTATACAGCTGGAGTTCTGATGAATTGTCCGACAACAACCCCATCGTCCTCACCGCAGGGACTATGTGGGCGGCCGCCGGGGTGGTGGAGGAGGAAGAGGAGGAGGAGGGGAAGAGTAAGTTAGAGTACTGTCTTTCTGTCTCCGCAGGAACGAGAGAAAAGGGAAATGACGAAGTCAAGAGGATTTCATCAAGTGAAGCTTGCTCTTTGGCATAATATATACTTTATTCTCTCTCGCTCCCTCGATCGCAATTGTGTTCACCTAGTTTGATCGTCGTCACTTGGCGGGGCTTGCGTGTGCCAACCAGGCTCTATCAGACCATCATTTAAAGTCTCAATCAGCAGATGCCGGTGGAACGGAGGACCCATTCATCACGGTCGGAAGTGAAAGAGAAGTGGCCAGTCCAGGTTGTGAAACACGAGAATGAGGGGAGAGAAAGGAAACAAAGGAGAGGATGGATCACTGAGAGCGCGAGACATTGCCACCACGGCCACAATCTCTCTCCAGCCGCAATCTCATCTTGAAGCTATCCCCAAATATTTCTCCTTTTCTTTTTCCCTTTTTTTCCCCCTCATACATTCAGACATGTCTGTCTTTCATCACTTCATCCAATTCCGCGGAATTTACCAGATGCGGACCTCTCTCGCCTCTGATTGCCTTGTATACATTCCCTAAGAATTCTTCCTCATGCAGGTCAACACAAGTAGAAGCCGGGGCAGCCACCAAGGCAGTCTAAAGCATGCTGATGACCTTACTTTACTTAAACCAGGTACATACATACCTACATAAATCCAACACCGGGCACAGCAAGCATGATCATGATCGGAGCCGATCACTGCAGCCTTTGACTGGAGAGTGAAACCCCGTGACTGGGAGCCAGCCACGGCCCAAGGGTTCCCACTGGTCATGCCATGGAGCCATGGATGTCGTGTCAGGTCATGCCACGACGATCCGGTCCAGTCAGATAAGGTAGTCTCGCACAACTCCCCTTCAAGCGATCATGACGCAATCTACCACAATTATTTCTTCTTTCTCATCCAAGTCTGGAGGATGGTGAAAGATAGTAACACGACAGTACAAACAATCACCCCCCCCGCATATCGACGACAGTAAGCGGTAAGCGGTGAACGACTACTGAACTGACATACTGCGCAATCAAGAGGAAGGTCGACTTGGCAAACTGCCAGCCACAATTAAGGACGGTAGTCCTGGTCATCGATTGCTACGAGGATTGGTAACTTATTGGTTCAAGGTTACTGGCCTCGGGTCCGAGCAGCGCCAATCCTGCCCCCCATGCATGCCTCCCTTGTCGCTGTGTCGGTCGGTCAGTGATCACCCTTTTGCGGGGAAATAAACATCGCCTCCACCCATGGCTGGGGAGCCTGCGTTGTGACCACTTACAAGTGATCTGTTTCCCCACTCCAAGGATAACTGATTTCCGCGGCATCAAAAGCTTTGTTTGACAGATCAAAAGTGCTAAATTCCCCAACCCCCCTCTTTGTGTTCTTTCACAGCTTTCAACTGGCTCACTGGGCTGCTAAATACACTCACAGGTACAGTACCGGTGTTGTTTGCTTCAGCCGCGAATCAAACAGCTCTCATCGAGCGGGCTGTGTGATGCATGCACAGTGCAACATACAGTACTGTAACGCCTTGTCATAATCCTCCTCAGTAAGACCGTTCTCCGTACAATGCACAACAACCTTTCAAAACAACAAATTCATTTCTACTTTACAATATCGCTGCGTTGCCTGATAACAATTATCGGAATGATCAGATTAGTCGCCCATATGAATATCAATCAGAAACAAACCTCAATACATGCTATAGAATGGCGGCGACAATACCACAGTTCCAAACACTGGACCATCTAGTATGATATAGCAAAAGTCGAGATATCCCAAAAGTATCTAGAAGGAAGCTTTGAGGCTATTACGTATCTAAACTTATGGCAAAGAACCAATGTCCGTCAATTCTTTATGTATGAGAGTAGCCGATCAGAGCTATGCCCCAGAAGATACACCCCTCCCACCTGCATTCAAACCTCCATGATTAGACCACACATGCCTCAGTCCTTGTGCTCCACGTTTGTAACAGTGATACCGGTCTCCTCGGCCTTGTCGGCTTCTGCGACCATCTTCGATTCCACATCCGCAGGCAGGTGGCCGAGAGCACGGCCACCGAACAGAAGATCGATCTCCTCAAGAGACTTCTGTTTGGTCTCCTTGAAGACGAAGAACACGGTGGGGAACGTGATGCAAATGTCTGTTGTACAAATTGATCAGTCAAAGTAATCTAAGAAGAAGGATCAAGTGTACAGCAGCGGGAGAACGGGTTTCATGGCAGGGAAGACTTACTGAAGGCCACAAAGATGAAGTAGAACTTCCAACCGATACTTGCCAAAGCGATGGGGGAGACCTGCGCCCACAACGTACTGACGGTCCAGTTCCCCACAGCTGTCGCAAACGCCGTTCCTCGGCCACGGATCTGCATCGGCATGACTTCCGCCATGTATGTCCTATCAAGGCAATTGAGTCAGTGTGCTGAAGCAAGTCGCGAGTGACAGAAGTGCTGGAAACATGAGCGGACTTACCAGCTGGTGGGGCCGAATGATAGAGAGAAGAGCACCGTGACACAGAAGATGAAGAAGACACCGCCAATGCTATATCCTCGGTTGACTTCGCCAGTTTTGATCTGTGAGTTGAGGGCTGCTTCGCAGATCAGGGCAATGGTGATAGTGACCGTGCCAAAAAGCATAGGCTTCCGTCTTCCAACTCGATCAAGAAGGAAGACAATAAAGATCAAGTTGGTAAGTGGGCCAACGCAGTTATAAATACCTGCCACCAGCGTATTACGATTACCTGTAATACCCAGTGTATTGTACATTATTGTTTGATAATATCCGATCACGTTGACCCCCGTCATCTGGGTAAAGACTTGGACAAGAGTACCGTGCCTAAATAAAGCTTGTTAGTATCACAGTCAAGGGGAAGGGAAAAGATTTGAATCGACGCACATCAGTCGATTTCGCCACTGGGGAACCTTGAACATGATCAACCATCCTGGAGCAGTGACGGCCTTCTCCGCCTCAATCGTGGCTCTAATCTCAGTGTGTTCCCTCTGAATCCAGTCGTCGTTTGTGCCATCATAGTGAAGCTTTTTCAGGATTCTCAATGCCTCGTCATACTTCTCCTTCTCAATCAGGTATCGAGGAGACTCGGGCATGAAGAACATTCCTATTGCCAACAAGAGGGCCGGAACCGCTTGAAAGGCCAAGGGGAAACGCCATTGGAACTCGCTCGTGTCAGGCGCATGGAGAGATCCGTAGCCGACCCATCTAAGAGCTAGGTCAGTTATGCCTTCTAATGAGCAACCGAGCACAAGGGAGTACTTACGTGCTGACGATGAAACCGACTCCAATCATTTGTTGTGCCAGACCGACAATCAAACCACGAGAGCGTGGATGGGCGACCTCGGCTTGGTAGACTGGAACGGACATGGACATCAGGCCTACCGCCCATCCAGCAAAGATACGGCCGACCAAGATCATAGACAGGTTCTGAGCCGCGGACTGTAGAATGGCGCCGACAAGACAGATAAATGCACCCATCTGGATAGTGAATTTACGTCCAAAACGGTCCATTGTAAGACCACCTTGAAGGGCGCCGACAGCGGCTATATTGCCTCATGTTAGCCAAGCGCAGAATGAGAGAGCCAGGCGACAACCTATGGCCTCAAACTGAGTAGTGGTAGAAAGATGCCAAAGAACATACCTCCTCCCGAGAATGTACTATTGATCGCTCCGATGATAGCTGATGTCTGAGTAGTATTGAAGAAATTCAAAAAATTCTTCGATTCAATCACATCAGTCATGACACCACTGTCATAACCGAACAAGAAAGAGCCTGTTGCCGCAAAGGCAGCCAGGGAAATGGTGAAAGTTCGTCCCATTTCGGCGAAAGTGAAGGGGAGGAAACGGTGGGGGGAGGGGACTTATTCCATGCGACGGGATGCAGAGCGAAAAAAAGCAACCGGAGGGGAAGGGGTCGGCAACATTGTCTATATAGAGCCCATATGCGCCCAACCCCGTCTGGAATGGATATTATCCTTGACTAGCTCCATAGCCATGGGCTGACAGACTGGACAGAACCGCACAGTGGCGCGGGACAAAAGCTTGCAGTTGACCTTGAAAATCCGGGGACGGTTGACCAGACTGCCAATAGACCTCACGCCGTCTTCCCAATCTTGAGTTAGTGGCTGATTCAATTGGTGGGAGCTGCACTGGGCGAGTATAGCGCTTGCAAGCAAGAGAAGAGTCAGTCTGTGTGCATTGACAATTTGTTGGCTGACATGTGGGGGGCTCAGCCAGAATAGGGACAAATGTTGCCTCAGTGACAGGTTGGGAAGAGATTCACTATTAATTAAACCCCGCAGAAGCCAATAGGGTAATTGAAGTTCACTTCCCTCTGGCTAAATGCCTCCTCACACGCCACTGTTGGCCTTGTCCGCTCCGGGGTAGCGGCCCAGTCCACCGAGGCACGGTGGCACACAGATGTGCACCTGCCCACCCGACAGGTCAATTGTGTTCTAGGCCTGTTTGCCTGTCGGAGCTCAGACTAGATCTGCGATCTCGCTCACTGCCCAGACCGTTGAGAGGCAAAATCCACAGGCAGCGTGGTGAGGGGAAGAGACGCGCCGCAGGTTCGAATAGTAAATCCTGAACCCGGCTGATTTTCCACGTGCTAACCACTCAGGTGACTCCTCACTCCTGATCTAGCGTCTTCCCACAAGTATAATAAGTTGTCTTTTGCCTTGGATGAGGTTGTCCATCGACCACGTGGTGTTTGCACAACAGCGCCGCAAACGCATGAATTGAGCCAAGATGAGCCTAAATGCATGAGAAATAGACCTCAGACCCAACCATCTGAGCATTAGCCGAGACTGACTGTCCTACACGATGTCTAAATGAATTTGAAATCTGCTGATCAAATCTGGTTAATCCTTGCCCGGGGAGAGACGACGACTGCGCACCTCGATTGATGGAAATCTCCCCAGCCGAGCCTGCAGCCATGCAGCTTACACTACTGTGGCTATTCGCACCAATCCCCGCCGGAGAAGTCTTGACGGGCTTTCCCATATTAGGCAAAGTACCTTATTGTCGCGGACCAGGGTCTGGTAAACGACAGTCTAACCAGTTTAGGACACTGTTATTTCCCTCGTCCTGTTAACAGATTCCCGGCTATTAACAGTCTCGTATTCTGGGCCACTGGCAATAATAGCCCTCGGAAGCGAACCTAATTGCGTCAAGCTAGGTGCATGGAGAAAGTGTCACGGTTCGATCATGATGGCGTGAGTCAAATGTCAACGCGTTGAGGGTCAGGACTCAACTACAACTTCCAATCTTGCAACCAGCTTGACACGACACAAATAATGACTTCACCTGGTATTAGATGAGCTGCTTTGGCAGAGACAGTGTGTTTTTTACTCATATATGACGGCCTGCGTAGCTTCCTTACATCGTAGATGCGCGAGCAGGTATGAACCCAGTTGCTCGGTAACCTTTCCATTAGCCGATCTTCGAAGCACAGGGGATCACTTGCACCCTGTGGCCGTGAGCCCGTGATACTGTCAAGACCCAATGACATACAGACTGACCCTAGCCAGAGCAGTGGCAGACCTCTAATCCATGAGAATCGATCTCAGTCAGATCGTCTAGACGCATATTATCCGTTCAACCGAACGGTATCTGGCATACTTGGTCCGATCTAATCAGATAAGCGACTAAGATTTTTCCGGAGGGACCCTAGGGATTGACGTCATTGAGGGAGTCATCCTTGCCTGCTCAGTCATATTGTACTCAGTATCAACAGATACTGGCAATAGGGTCACTATCATCACTGAGAGAATGCTTCGAGCAAAATCATGACAGCGAGTGAGTACCTGCCGGATGAACAGGAGGGGGCGTGGCGTGCCAATTGACTCTGTTCCTGGCTTCCTAGATTGCCAACCCCGATGCGGACCAGTCTGGTTCCACCAAGGTCTCTTCCCCGCCAAAGGCCAGCCACGACCATTACAACAACCTTACCTAGCTTCTAACAACTCTCACCTAATGCAAAAACAATCCTGCATACCCAACGGAAGCTGTGCTTGTCTCAGTCAAAAAAGAAACAAAGATGGCGTCTACAGGTCGATCAAGTACCGTTCCTCCGCCTTCAACGTCATCTCCCGCTCATTCAGACTCTTTCATACGACCTAGGCAGCCGAGCCTTGACCTGGAACGCGACATTCTATCCACGCGTGGCCAGCGTCTAGCGGGCTTGATACGGCGGCGCTCATTATCACTTTATGACTCCGATGGCTTTGACGAGAGCGACCGGTGGGACGAGTCAATTGCTCCCCGGGAGCGTATGGACCGGCCTGCCTTTGAACGCGCGCAGCGATTGATCGGTGACAGAAGCCCCTTTTATCGATGGTGCGTTTTAGCTTCCAAGTACACAATTCAGGCGCTGACAGTTATCCCTAAGGCAATCTTTCTACCGCCATCCAGCCACTTTACAAGGCTTGCCGAAGCCGCTGTACGTAGCCCCTAACGTCTATAGTTGCAGGTTGCTGAGCATTCTCCAAGACGACAATACTACGAACGCAACAACGACCTCATCTCCCAATACGTTTACATCGACCGATTGTTGGACTCGTCCCTGCCCCACCGCCTGATTGTCGACTACCATAAACCTCGTGGTTTGTTGGGACCAACTTCTGCATATACCAACAATGGCAGCAGCACACGAGAGTCCGAGCCGAACACCGTTCCTGACAATGGTCTGGACCCTAGTAGTGACACCGCTACAATTAAACGCACCCCACGCAATCTCTATCGCATCCCCAATGAAGGCACCCCTCTTCTGTCACCACCGTTGGAGGAGAATGTGTCAGCAGGGCATGATATCATGCACAAGCACGAAGACTATGTGGAGAGTGGGGATAGAATAGTCACCATCGCCATCTATGTCAACTTCATCGCTAACATAGTACTGCTGGCTGCCAAAATCGTCGTCATGTCAATGACAAGCTCTCTCTCAGTGCTTGCCAGCTTGGTTGACGCAGCATTGGACTTCCTCAGCACTGCCATTGTTTGGGTGACGACCAATCTAATCAACCGACAGGACCGCTACCGGTATCCTATCAGTCGACGCCGGTTGGAGCCATTGAGTGTTCTCGTTTTTGCAGTCGTTATGATGACATCTTTCGTTCAAGTGGCACTGACATCATTTAGTCGATTGCTATCGTCAGACCACTCCGTGGTCGAGCTCACGATACCGTCTATCGCAGTCATGGCCAGTACTGTGGTTATCAAGCTGATTTGCTGGTTTTGGTGCCGATTGATCAAGAACTCCAGTGTCCAGGCTCTGGCGCAAGACGCCATGACAGATGTAGTTTTCAACCTAGCGAGTATTCTATTTCCTCTGAGTAAGTATGACCGATCTATGATCCATGTTGAATCGACCTTATTGACCACTCTTCAAGTTGGCTCATTCACCAATACTTGGTTCATCGATCCTCTCGGCGGTTTGCTCCTCTCCTTATATGTTATCTGGAATTGGAGTGGCACGGCCAGCGAGCACATCGGCCACCTTACCGGCGCCGCTGCATCCCCGAAAGATCACAGCATTTTTCTTTATATGACCATGCGCTTCTCCAAGGCCATCCTGAAGATCCAGGATCTGAAAGCATATTACGCCGGTGACAAGCTTAATGTTGAGATTGATATCGTGCTCGAGCCCAAAACGAGATTGCAGGATAGCCACGACGTGGGGGAGAGCCTGCAGTACATGATTGAGAGCGTTCCGACCGTGGATCGCGCTTTCGTTCATCTGGATTATGACCCTTGGAACATCCCCAGTCATATGAACCAGCAAGAGGCATAGATACCTGTTTGGGATCAGTTGTAAACAACCCGACCGACGTGTTCTATTGTATAGACAGATATGACTGTATCAAGTATTTATCTATTGGAGTTGTCGAAAAGTGGAATCGAGTAGGAGTATACTGTTAATTCGCGCTGCAGATGACCTGTCAGATTCCGCCCATCAGATAAGGATGGATGATAATCAAGGGGGCGGATGGATGCCCTTGGACAATCGCAGCGAGTCGCACAAGAGACAAAAGTCAAGGGATGAGGGGCTGACATGCCGATGATCAGCGCCATCTGAATGCTGTCAATTTGTTCAATAGCGCGCAACAGACGCAGGGTCCCGTGATGTTCCAACCATGCCTATTGTAGAATGTTGATTGTTATCCACGATCGCGTGGTGATTTCCTCCGCTCCGTCGTTACACCCCAAGCTTACGGGGCGGCGACTGCATCACGCGCCGTGATTGTGCACGAAGGCGAGGGAAGAATGGTCACGTCAACATTTTCATATATTTGTCAGATGTTGTGTACGCGTATGATACCGATCAGACTCAAAGTAGACTCAATATAACCTCCATGCAACGCAGAGATCATAATCAACTGAAAAAGAACAAAGGGACCAAACGCCTCGTGGTGAGCGGAAGTGGGTCGGCCGCGGGCGGCGCGAGGGCGAGAAAAGAAAGAAAGAAAGAAAGAAAGAAAGAGAGTGCCAGTGCCAGTGAGTGGAGAGAAAAGCGGAAAACGGGGCGGCCTGGCCATACCGTGGACAGTAAAGTAACAGAAAACCAACTTTACTTACCAACGCCCTCCGCCCGCGTCACACATCGCGACGACGCGATTAGATCAAGCAAAGCGTAACTTACCTACTAGTCTTTTCCGTCGTGCTTCTCGATTTGAGGCACGTTTTCCCTCCACCACCTCATTCTCAATTCCTCTCTTTCCCTTCTATTTCTTCTTCGTCTGGGTCCAATCATTCCAGTTGTACCTTTCGTTTTTCTTTTCTTTTCTTTCCTTTCCTTATTTATCTCTTTCCCTCAAACACCACCGCCTATGCCGTCATCTTAAACCTCCGCTGCTGCTGCCCAACATGTCTGATCTGGAACACATTGCTGAGCCCGCGTGTTCGTCTTCGCCGCCGGCTACTCAAACGTGGGATGCTACGCCCATTAACTATGCCTTTCTGGTACACTCTCAGAAAACATTGACCCAGAATCTCCCGCCGCGGGTGGACAACAAATTGCTGGCACGGCAAAAGCGGCGTCGCACAAGGTATGCCTGGGAACCACAGCTACACCTCAACCCCGAAGCACTTTTCAACACGCTGGTACAACTGCTAATTGTTGCGAATGTATAGTCCAGAAGATCACGCAATCCTCGAGGCAGAATATCAACGAAACCCCAAGCCAGACAAGACGGCCCGAGCTAGTATAGTCAGTCGCGTCTCATTGGGCGAAAAGGAAGTGCAGGTATGATGCGGAAGAGCAGTTCTCATACTTGGGCCACTCAGTTTTCTAATCATCCTCTCGACGTGCTTTCCAGATCTGGTTTCAAAATCGCCGTCAAAATGACCGTCGCAAGTCCAAGCCTCTTCAGCCCCACGAGCTCCTCGCACCTCGATCAAGCGCGTCCGACGCGTCGAAACATGTCCCCAGTGACGACAGCCTCTCTTCGGAAATCGTCCCTTTTAGTAGCCCCGAACAGCCCGAGGAGATTCGACAGGAGACGGTCCCGTCAACACAATCATCGGACAACTCCTGCGAGTCTGATGAAGCACTTGAGGATAAGGGTGGCCTAGAACAACCGGCTTTCAGCTCTCAAACAAGCTTGGCTACGTCTGTAGCGCTGGAAAGTTCGCAACCAGTATCGAAAGAGGCGATTGTGGAGCCAGAGTCAGCTCAGACACAAGAGGTACCAACATACGATGAGTCGCAACAGAACATCGTGAAAAGGAAACGATCAGTCACGGAGGTTCAGTGTGACCAGCCATATGTGCAGGGTGCGTCGACACCGAGCCAATTCCACGATATTAAGTCACCGCCTTCGCTGCGGCTATCGCTTTCGTTCGATGGGGAAGCCATGGTTCGGAAAGAAGGCGAATTCACACCCTCGCCTCCGAAAGGACGGAATGCTCTTCGCATCGCAATGTCGTCCGACGGGAAAGCTGTTATCAGAGCTGACGGCGAGCCCTCTCCGTCGAGGAATCGTATCTCCATGTTCTCGGCTCGGAAGCCTCCTTTCACAGGGCTTCGCAGGAGCAGTAGTGCGGTGGCTTTCAGCACCCCGCGAGCTGGCAGCACGGATGCAGAGAGGATGTTTGGAAGATCCAGAGATCCCAGAAACTGGGAGGCTTTTTTCGATACCGATGCGCGAAGTGCCCTCTCCACCCCAACGAGCTCACAAAGTGCGCCAGGGGCTGGATCTCCTGGGCTCTTCCGATCCCGGAGTCAGCGCTCCTTGACCAGAAGTTTATCAGCAAAGCACAACATGTCTCTGCTGATGAACTCAGCAGACTACCTTAATACCCCGGTTCCGAAACCGAACAGCGAGAAGAGACGGAAGATCTCTCGTACTGTCTCGTCACTGGGCCGATTAGAGTCTGATCACAAGTTGTCTTACGCGGGATCCAACCCGAAGGCCTATATGGAAGCGGCGAAAGACGGGGATGTCGACTTGCAGTGCGGTGATTCAGATAAAGAGAACTGGATCCCCGGGACGAGAGTTTCCCACAATCGCCGTCGGGTTGCATCTCATAACAATCGACGTTCGGTGCTCAAAGACACGAGTGGAAGGGACGGAAAAACCCATAAGAACGTCAATCCAGCTGGCAGGTATGCTCGAGGTTCTCAACAATCACAGCACCGAGCGAACATGTCCATTGGCAAGGACATACCGGAATTGGATCCAGAGGTGTCCGCTTTCATGAGTGGGGGCGGCGGCGCCAGTCAGGAGGAGGATCTCGACTGCATCCAGGGACTATTATCCCTGAGCCAAGGCGCTTGGAGATGAGCACTATTGTCTTCTCATTTCTATAATGACCCCATCTTTCTTATGTCTTTTCTATTTCTTTTGTCTCATATTCCCTCTTCCTTAGAGTGATTCTGTTGGAGATTACAAGCCAGCAAGCAAGCGTGTTTGCCTGTATGAATCGGAGTGATGGTCAACGTGTGGTGATTGGATTGTGATTGCTGTTTGCACTGCTTTTGTTATTCCTTCCAGGCAAATGCAATCAAGGGCTCTCTTTGTTGGGTGATGACAACCTTGTCTTGAGTGACAATGATATCCGGTGCTGTTATCAGCCTAATACCTCCAAAAATAACAATGTCATATGATTAGAGTGTTTGAGCTTGGGTGATAGGTTGTAGACTCTGCCGTAGCGTGCGGGGAATGATAAGCCCAGCAGCGATAGCCACCTCGATAGCTTAGACTAGGTAGCTGTCTGCAGGAGTGGGGATGAAGGGAGAAAGAGGAAGGGCGGGTCCGAGAGCGGGAGCGGGGAGGGCAAATTGAACAGACAGATAGGGCTCATTGCACGTGGCCGCCGCCTGCTGACATATAACCGCTCTGTCTCGCCAGACCCAGAGGTACAACTTAAATACGAGTTGGTGTACAGTATTGTTACGCCTCTTCTTTGCCACGAGTTGACGGATGTCTATCAGTTTACCCTGGGTGCTGCGTAATTGGAAGAGCGAAGTCATTCACAAGTCGGTAGGTCTAGCCAGTTTTCCTTTTGCATTCTCATGTTCTTTCTTCCTTATTATTGGTTGTTCGGGTTGTCTATGCAGCTGCGCTGCATTATACAAGTATGTATAATTTTCGCATGCTTGTGGGCTTATACATAGACCTCGAAAGGGGTCTGTCGCCGGTCGTGACTGACGACTACATTTGGAGACATGGACGTGCTAGATGCGTCATCGAACGATCATTTCATCATTCCTTTGAGTCATTCCTTGAGTCATTGTGGGTGCGCCGCGAAGAATGTTGAATGACAGCTATCTTATACATGCCACACAACACGTCAATTTCCGAATCCAGCTAACGGAACACAGTCCAGTTTACGACTCCAACATACAATCAATACGAGAGACGTCCAATCGTTGCTACAGTCGGTTCGAGGCATGCCCTATCTGACAAGAACCGTGGCCGAGGGCCATAAGCCCAGAGTGGCTGTTATCGGAGCGGGCTTCGCAGGCTTGCGATGCGCGGATATCCTCATCCAGAACGGCGCCCAAGTCGTTCTCTTCGAAGCAAGAGATAGACTCGGTGGGAGGGTGCGTAGACGCCAGATAAAACCACTACCACTTGCTGAGAGTCATTTGCTAACCCAGATGTCAATACAGGTGCATCAGAGCAAGATCCATGATCATCTGGTTGACATGTAAGCTTCCGTCGCTCTCTGATGTTGCTTTTGTATTTCATGTTGTGCTCATTTCAAGCAGGGGCCCGAATTGGATTCATGGCACTGGAAAGAACCCCATAGTCAGCATTGCTGAAGCCACAAGCACCGCCGTGGAGGGCTTCGAAGGGCACCAGGCTCTTATAGCTCCCGATGGGACCCCGATCAGTGATGATGTCGCCCAGAGGGTCTCGAACGTCCTGTGGACAATCATCGCCAAGGCATTCCAGTACAGCAACACCTACAAAGAGACGATACCTGTCGATCGGAGCTTACTTGACTATATAAAGGAACAAGTGGCACTGACCGATCTCAACGAGGAAGAACAGGAGCTGTGCGTTGAGTCTAGCAGGATGTGGGGTGCCTATGTCGGTGACCCCATCGAGAGGCAGAGTCTGAAGTTTTTCTGCCTCGAAGAATGTATAGATGGAAGTGAGCGTCCTCCTCAGAAGGTTCCTATATCAATTGTCTAGCGTTACTGATCTCTTCGTTCGCAGACAACTACTTTGTGGCATCTACATATACACGGATCTTAGAACATGTCTCCAAGACCGCACGCCAACACGCGGATATCCGGCTCAACCAACCGATCATCAAGATCGAGTCCTCAATTCGCGATGACAGCAGCAGCACCACCACTACCACCACTACCCCATCATCCAGCACACAAGTGACCATCACAACAGCTTCAGGGGAAACCTCCACCTACGACGAAGTAGTCGTCACCTGCCCCCTAGGCTGGCTCAAGCGCAACAAAGACGCATTTGCCCCATCCATCCCTCCGCGCCTCAGCCAAGCCATCGACAGCATTTCCTACGGCCGCCTCGAGAAAGTATACATCACCTTCCCGCGCGCCTTCTGGCACACCTCCCCTGCATCATCATCACCTTCACCCAGCACCAGCACCAGCACCACCGCCCCCAATCCCACCGTCAACCCATCAACCTACAAATCCTACCAAACCCCGACGTTCGCCCAATTCCTCAACCCAAGCTACTCAACCAGCCACCCGGCCGAAATCCACTGGAACCAAGAATGCATCTCGCTCGCCGCCCTCTCCTCCGGGGAAACCGCCCACCCGACCCTCCTCTTCTACACCTTCGGCCCCAGCGCGACGCACATCGTCTCGCGGATCGCACACCTGGCCCCCACCTCCGCGGAGTACTTTGCGGAGCTCCACCAAATCTTCCACCCCTTCGTCGCCCGCCTGCACAACTACTCCCCAACCGCGGCGGAGTGCCAGCCGCTCGCCTACCTGGCGACGACGTGGCAGACGGACCCGTACGCGGGCCACGGCTCGTACTGCAACTTCCAGGTCGGGCTGCAGCGGGGGGACCGGGACATCGAGGTGCTGCGGGCGGGGATGGGCGCGGACCGCGGCGTGTGGTTCGCCGGCGAGCACACGGCGCCGTTCGTGGCGCTGGGGACGACCACGGGCGCGTATTGGAGTGGGGAGCGCGCGGCGGCGGGGATCTGCGATCTTTATGGTTTGGGGACGGTGGGGTTGGGGGTCGGCGGCATGAGGGATGATTCTTTGCCGTCGGCTGGTGCGTGATTGCGTGATACTGGGAAGCTGAAAAGAAGGGGGGTCCGGGGGTTCTCCCCCGGGAAATCGTCCATGTGTTGAGTCTTTGGGGTTGTCGGTGAGGGAGAGAGGGATGTTTGTTGTCTTGGTTCTATTTGGGGTTATTGCTTGGCTTTTGTATTGTCATGTTTCTTGTAGTCAAAGTATACAGATATAGCTTAGCTGAGATACAATGCACACGAGAGCAAATTGCACTCTTTGAGGTATGTATGATTGGCAGTATAGCAGAGCCACAGTTATTTACACCTTCACCGGCCACTCCTTGGCAACCATGGTACAGCAAAAGTAATAAAGACAAGAGCCGAGCCCACAAGACTGATAGAACATGAACAAGAACGAGTGAGAAACAGGAGGGGAATCACAGGTTGGTTGGTCAATCTCGCTCGAAAAAATGAAGGAGAGAACAAAAAACGACAGCTAACGGGGTCAGGAGTAAAAGAACAGGAACACATAAACCCCAGAGACTAATTCCGCCCAGGGCATCATTTGAAGTGACCATGCGCCAATATGCTCCCACCCACAACTAGAGTATCAACGAGCCTGCGTGATCCTCAACTCTCCGCTATCCTCCTGAGCAAAAATCGAAGCACAAAAACACCGCGCGTACTAGGAAGAGGACAGAAGAGATGGGGGTATCCCTTGATTGAGCGCCAAATTGAATGAAAGGACGAGAAATGTGTGTTCGATAAGGTTCAATAGGGTCGGCTCTGGTGATTTGTTGTTCTTGAAGCCGGCCAGAGCCGTTGTCCATTGTGAGAAGGATCGTGGTTCCTGGTAGTGGCCGTGTCGGATTCGGCTGACTCCTCAATCTTCCCAAATGGTCTCCAGGTCCAGATCTTGACGACGTTCCGCCCCACAGACACTCCAGCGCTTCCGCTTATCGGCCCGCACCCCGTATCCACCAGAAGAAACGCGCGTGTTCATGAAAGGGCTCGAGGGACCCGAAGCATCGGAAGTCCCACGCCGTCGATTCGTATTGGTGGCCTCCTCGGCTTCATCAGCTTTATCGGCAGCAGCTTTCAATGCTGCGATTCTGTCCGCCTCTATGGCTTCTGCTTCCGCATCGGGAATATCCGGAATGGTTTCCAGCGAGGAGATGCTCGGGCTGCGAGATCGGAGACTGGTCGGGGTCGAGGGAATAGATGAAGTGGAAGAGGCAGAGTAGCCTGGAAAGGTCTCATTGAATCGCGAATTGAGTACGCCAGGGGAGGAGTGCGAGGGGGACGGGCTGCCCATGACCGAACCAGGCGACGATGGCGGATGGAAACTCAAGGGAGACGAGGGACGTCGACGATTGACGCGAGGAAGTGTGTGCGGGAGTACCGGCAATGTAGGGTGCCAGTCGGCCTTGGAGGGCGACGTAACCATCCTGGTGTCCAACTCCGCGTTCTCGGAAATGGTCTGGGAGACATTCAGGGGCACCATTCTCGAGTCGGATGATTCCCCCGTGTTCACCTGCAGCGGCAGATAACGCCTAGCTGAATTGTCGCCGACGTTGGCAAGCCCCCCGCGACCATTGACGAAGATATATCTGCCCCGCGAGTCCAGCCCGGGGGAAGAGTGGGCGCGCGTCATTGGAGGGACGCCTGGAACTTCGATCATCGATCGTGAACGGACGTGGGAGCGGTTGAAAGAAGCACGACTCGGAGTTTGGGCAGGCGAATCAGGCGTGAGAGATAAGGTGATCGTGACGTGATCACTGCGTTCTGGCTCCCTGGTATGTTCGACGGTAGAGCCGGACGAGGTCGAATCAACCGAGCCTGCCGAGTCCACAGGGCTTGGGGGTAGCATAATACCCTCTGGGTCTGGGTGAGACGCTTCCATATCCGTCTGCGAACCAAGAGTTGGGCTAACTGGACCTCATGCTGGTGTGCGAGAGAAAAAAATCGAAAGGGTGGTTTGCCGGGCGCAGAACCAGGAATTTGAAGGGTGAGGCGTATTGTGGAGCGGAGTAGTGGTGAAATAGTAGTAGTAGATATACGGGCCTAGGGGGGGGGGGGGGGGGGGGGGGTTGAATTTTTGCCCGAGCAAAAGCGGAGAGGAGTTATTTACTAGGGAAAGTTCCCCCCCCTTTTTTTCGCCTTTTCCTTTCTTTTAAGGCTGGACTTTTTTTGCGCACAAGCAATAAAATCCCCCTTCTTTATTGTGTTGTGCGTATGGTTTTGTTCTTTTTGTTTCGTCCCCTCTTAGTCCATGCACTTTTTGGCCCTTGTCAAGAACAGAAGTGAGGAACAGGATCGGAGTGGTGACGAAGGACGAGTAAGTGAGGAAGTTAGGGGAGGTAACATTAGTAGTAGATAGTGGTGAGGTCAGCTCAACCACCAAAAAACCAAAGAATGAATCAACGCGCGGTCGGGGAAACCACGAGTCCAGCTTGAGGCCCCACCAGCACACCGCCTTCTGCTTTGGATTTATGTCAACTACTCAGTAACTTACTTCCTACACTTCACTCTATCCTCAATTACTTAGTACGTCTGTCTCTTCTTGTTTGGTTTGAACTACGACTCAACTAATGAGATTCGACTACAACGTTATCATTCTTCACATTCATTGACGGCCCTCATCTGCTGCACTTATCTCATCGGCTCATCATATCAACTAAATACGATGACCGAGGTATCTACCTTAGCTGTTATCCGGACCCTGACGGGTTCTCGTTTCCCCTCTCCCGCCACAGTTTCCCTGTCTATGTCCTATAAGCGTGGCTTGAAATTCGATTCAGCTTGGCGAACGCAACGTCTTCCTTCCGCCTGTACCACTCTTCCTAGTTGTTGCGATCTCATTCCCTTGGTTGAAAGAACAGGAATCCGGACCAATCGGCGCAACTATTTTCACACTCCTCTGTCCTACCTTCGATGTTTACTTAAGAACGGATAATGCGCACCCCGCGCCTTATCGCAGTGGATCCTACTCACACATTCCACGTCAAAAGAGGGGAAGCCCCAGCAACCAGGAGCATCATGTCTGCTCTAGATGGAGCCGAGTCTAGGCCAGCCCAGACATTTGTCGATGTTTCCAGAGCCGAGCACACTAACGTAATGCACTCTGCAACCCTGTCAACATGTGTCAAATTGTGCCTATTGGACCTCTCCAGCAATTCCGGCCGTGCCGGAAATCTGGCCTGAGCTGTGCTGCACGGACTGTACCGCATGCTGACGGGGCCAGCCTTGCATAATAGCTTGCAACGAGAAGAGAGTACGCTTGCTGCCACGACCTCACATCTAGGGTCAAGATACGTCTGTTCAACGAGCCCCCAGGCGGTTCAGATTATCCCTGTCTTTCTCAGTCGGTGAAATTCGGCGGCCACACTGGCATATGATATCTCAAGCCATCCGATTGCAAAATCCTTAACCAAGGAAGGGTTAAGTACCTTGATCTTACACATGGTCTACCCTTCGAACTTAAGCCTCAAAGAATGTAGTCAATAGAATGATTATATATTATGGTAGAAAGGCTTTATGAGTGAGCTCGAATGAGCTAGCTAATCGGTCAGAAGTCAGGAGCTGGGAAGGGGTATGAATGCTCCGAACGAAAACCACGTTACGGTTTCTCAAGATGAATAGTTTTTTGCTGGACTGATTTCAGTGATGATCCTCTTTGCACATCTTCGAGGGCTCCTTGCGCACATATACCTCACGCACTGGATCACCCGCGTTAGCCTTGAGCTCCCACTCGCCGATCCCGTACTCGGCGGGTGCTCTTTTCACGCCACGGCCGCCACCTCCAATGATCAAGTTGCCCGGTCGATAGTTAGGGTCGCTATTCATCCGGTGGATTGCAGAGACATGGATTTGAGCTTCATTTGGAATATCACGAACCTCCCCACAAGGAAGTGGCCAGCGGATCGGCTTCCACGAGCCATCCTTCTGAAGATCCATCCGGCGGAAGGGCAGGTACTCCATCAGTTTCCAAGTAAGGACTGACATAGCCGGTAGACCCATCTTGTACTCCAAACAGTCGTGTAGCAAGCCTTCGGTGCTTGAGCAAAGGAGGGCCTCGCGGAAGTTGCGACTCGATTCTGAGGTATCTCCATTTGCATATGGCCGAAATCTGGATGGCTGGCCGTCGTCTGCGTTATTATGCACTGGGTCCCGGCAGAAGTCACTGTCGCGATTCCAGTCGATTGTTTTCTCATGGATTGGAGTGTAGTCTCCGTCGAATTCCTCACAGCATTCGAATTGCTTCAGCTTCCGGGGGTCGAACTGCAGTCCGGCACGCTGTGCTTCTTGGACCATCCACACCAAAGGAGCATGGCTCAATGGCCAAACCTCATCCTCACCAAGCTTCCAGCCTCCGCCAATATCCGCATGGCCGCCTGGAAACCAAACCTCTTGGATGTCTTGCCCACCATCCTCCTCGTCACTCATAACCGCCTGCGCAATGACCTCAGGTACTTGCAGTGATAATCCGGAATTGCCGCTGCGGATGGAATGAAGGTCCTCTGCGGATCCTGCCATGTCAGGCACCGCCAGGCTGAGTTTTCGATTGGGGCTGGATGAGGCGTGAGCACGGTATCGATGTGATTCATGATGCAGGTCTTCACGAGAGCAGTTAGTGCTCCGGTATACAGACTCTGTTTCCTCGTGGCTTCGTCTTGGGTGCCGTTGCACTCCATCGTCTATTTTCTTGTCGCCATTGTCATCATTGACGGTAATAGCGGGAACATCATTGTGATCATGTCGTTCAGCAGGATGACGAAGGTGATGGAGTTTCTGGCGTCCCCACAGGTGGGCCTCCTTTTTCTTCTTCTCAGCCCAGGGCCTCACTTCCGATATCAGGTCCTGGCGAAATTTGGCCCGACGTTCGTCGATACCGACCGCATGTCGAATCACCTTGGCGGAACTACGAGCGGTGTAAGGAAATTTGCTCCTCTGCATCCATGCTGACTCGAAGCGCGGGACGCTGTTGACGGTGTCGAACAGACCCATGAACCTGATCCTACTGATTGGTCGGCTGAAGGTTTCGCGGAATGCCTTCATGTACCGAAAGAGCTTCTTCTTCTCTTCGCGCTCTTCATCTGTGTCATCTCGTCGCTGCTGCCACTTGGCAAAAGTCTTCCATGCGAAGCGGATTAGCTCTTCGTTACCGGCCTCGAGCAATCCTATATAGTCAAGCATCTCGGCCAAGAAACGTGCAATATATGCCCCCCTACTGAAGCCGATGAAGTAGATATCATCGCCGGGAGAATAGTACCGCATCAGGAACTTATATCCGCCCATCACATGCTGGTCGAAAGAGGAGCCGATGGCAGAATCCTTGGCCTTCAGATACGCTGATCGGATCCGCTGGTAGCGGCTGTGGCTTGTCAGAGAGTGGGTGGTAACGTAGGTTCCAATCCCAGGCTGGTAGTAATGGAATTGATGACTCTTGCTGCGGTCAAGCATCTAAGCTCCCGGAAGAAGACGAACGTCAGCCAATTGATCGCTTGTGACGAGTAGTCTCATTCAAAGAGTGCCTACCGACCGGACTTACCCGAAAGATTTTGAGTACATTGCTGTCCGACTCATCCCCACAGAATTTGTTGCCGGTTCCATCAAAGCACAGGACGAAATGTTTCCGCACAGGGGCCGGGCCCATCCCCATCGATACTCCATCCATGGTCCCAAGGTTAGAGGAAGAATTGCATGCAAATGACTAGTCGCGATTGAACCGATAATTAGAAGAAAGGGGTAAAAGTGGTGGTGATTGATCGATCGGAATCACAACTAGCGAGGGGAATGCCACTGCTGTATATACACATGCGTGGGTAACGTTACAGGCAGTCAAGGCACGCATATGCCGGGATCCTGCGGCCCTACGGTGTGTGGGATCTTCAGAGTCACAGACTGAGAAAGAGAGTGCGTGTGACGCTGCTGTGAGACCGTCCTGAACTTGGATTTATGGGGGTTCCTGCAGCCCCAGGCCGGCCTCTAGCAAGAGATACGTCGAATCCAATCCAGTTTTCCCTGGGTGGATCCCAGAATGATGGTTGGCCGAGACAGAGCTGAGACGCATTCCTCCCATTTCTGCCTCTGCATTAGGTCGACCCCTTTTGTGATCATATGCAGCGGGCTGATTTGCCCCCCCGATCGCCTTACGGGCTCTCAATTTGTTCATGGTCCGGGCATGGCAGTATACTAGTTTCTTTACGGAATACAGGCCGACTCGCTGATTAGCCCAGGCAAATGTCAGCTGCGGTTGCAGCGGCCAGTGCTGACATGACACCCCTAGGCTAATCAAGAGCCCGGGACAGCCACGAACATCTAAAGTCAGGTTTGCTTACCAAGACCCTCTCAGGGCATTCAGCTCAACTCATCCTGCACGGACGCTTATCTAGCACGATGCGGATGGGGTTCTGGCGCGGTCCGGTGTCAAGTTTCCAAGGCCCCGTGCTTCTAGGAGGAACGGATCGATGACGGCGATCATCATCGGAAAAAAATACAGTACGCCACATGTCAGCCTTTCTTAGCGGCTTCCGTGTAGCCATGTGTACCTCTACGAAGTAATCCGTGGAGTGTATCTCAGAGGCGGGGCTCTCATCCGTCTCTGGCGCCCCCGCGTGAGAGACAATTGTCCATCAATCCATGACTCGTCCTGTCGACATCATGGCGAGACGAAAATCACAGTGCGTAGCGCGCACAAGACTGCGAGACTGAAGAGACCCAAGAATGTCCAAATGTGCAAAGGGAGGACGATCGTTCCCATGTTTGCCCTTGGGTGGACCGCACACTCCACCAATGGCATTACCACGGGAGAAAACCCAACAGTACGGAGTACCACAAGATCTTTCAAGGTCATGAATTCCAGTGGTGCAATCGTGGGAGGCCCGAGAAAGTTTCTTTGAACCCCACGAACCTGCTCCTCGGCTGAACCTACATGATATGGTTTCCAAAACATGGAGATGAACAGTGTTGGAAAGGAGATGCAATGACTCGCAAGAGTTGGTTCTGCTGGAGAGCTGGGCTTGTCTGACGTGCAGACGCACTTGGGCTATTCAATTTTGTTTGTTCAGACCCACAGAATCCCGATGAGTCTTGCTGATAAGAACCATAAAAGATTGGCAAATGGGCCCCAAGCGAAGGACAAAGAGTAGTGGCTATGGTCCCCACAAGTCATGAAAAGGACGATCCCTTCCGCTGTGTACATACAGTACCTGCTGGACGGACGCTAGCATGCTTGAGTGCAACACAAGGTAAGCCTTTGCTGCCAGGGACAAGAAGAAAATTGTTCAGAACTTCGAACTTCGAACTTCGAACTTCTGACAGTCCTCATTTCGCGTTTGAGCCTAAAGCACCCACCACCATGTTGACGTTCCTCGAAACGAGTAGCTGGTGCGGGCGGGAATTAACCACTGCTAGGCGATGAACCACATCTCCAACTGCGGGGCCTGACGGCCTGGGGCCGCGGCCGCCCATGAACCACTCGGCAACACCCGATCGTAACACTGGCTGGCCCAAACTCTGAACTCTGACCTTTCGTCTCTCTTTAGTCTTGCTCCACAACAACCCAACCACCTCCTCTCTCATCTCTGCAGAACATCCACTGAAGATCGCACTGGCAAACTCCTTTCCCGCGTCGCTCTGGTCGCTCTGGTCGATCTTTTCCCAATATCCTACATAACTCTGTCCCAAAAAAGGATGGCCGGCTTTTGTTTCCAGCTAGCCATGAGGCCGAGCGTGCGGCTGGGCTGACGGCCAGCCAGTCTTACCCCTTCACGGCTTATGTTGAACTCTCTTTCATTGCAATCTGTACGGCTGGCTTAGTCCTGTGCTCGGCACACAGATCTCAATTACTTGATTGGGGTTCCCCGTCACGAACTAATGATCGACCGAGGATTAGCGATTCGCATCTTCAAAAAACTCTGAGAAGGGCCTTTCGTTACTCACGACACAATTTGGGAACACAATGGCCGCTGACTTGTTTTTTGATGCACGAGCCATCCATAGCGTCCAAGCAAGAAAAAAAACCCCCTCTTGGGGCAATATTTCCCGATTGTGTAATTCGGGGCCCAGCACACGAATGCAGGGATGATGCTGAAGGCATTGTACTGTAGGATGTGAATCCCTCCCGCCCGCTCCTTCAGGACTGGTAGCGACCGCTTGAATGCTTTTCACACCAAGCTCTCTTGCATAGCTCTCATTTGCACAGTCGAGATGAACCCGATGGTGTGAACGCGTGGGTACCCTATGATCCGTCCTCCGTATGTATCTCCACCCACGACCTTGGCTCCCCACTAAAAGAGATTAATTCCCGAGTCTTGCGACCTTCAACAAGAGATCATGGGGTGATCCTAGGCAACTTCGCTGGCCTGGGAAAAGAAGACCTTCAATGCCTACGCAATTACAGCTACCACATCCCTTCGTCTGAATAGGCTTTGGCTTTCCTTACATCGTAGGGGAGATTGATGCAGCTGGGATGGGTCAAAATGCATAAATCGGTGAGGGATCGTCAGCGCCAGCAGGTCTCAAGGGGTGGGCCTCCCAGCTAAGACGTCAGATTGTCAGTCAGCTCTCGAGCCCGCACAGCTGATGTTCCTCGTTTGTCCATCAAGGTGAGACAGCACCAAACTCTTTTCTTGTGTTTGTGGTGTGCGATCGACCTCCACAGCGCCTGTCCGATCGTCGATGGGTCGCCAATACGGAGAGAGATTTATGTTATAGCGCAGAGCTTGGACCAAGAGTCCAGTACAAAGCCATCCTGCGATTGGCATTCCTAAATCATAGTGGAGACGTGAACCCCTTCCAAGTTCCAGCTTCATGGTTGTGTCGCAAGGATCTTGGCATGGACAATCCATCCTGCAGATTCTTTTTGGAGCTTGCTCGAGGATGGGCGATCTTGGATTGAGATCAACCACAAATCTCCAATCAATTGGTGCACCCACTTCCCCCGTCGATGCCGACTTGCCCGATCTAAAATTCACTTTTTCAGTTTTCCGACTCCCTTGTCCGTCACACTTCGGTCGTTCCTTCAGCAATTCTAATTGTACGGTACGGTGCTACCGGTATGCACAGTACGTATGTATGGGTACTCGAGGACTTGCAAGGTCAAGCCAAGCTCGGGCCTTGTCTAGCACCAAATACCTTGACAAAGTGCATCGTTTATTGCCACTTCCAATTGGACCGCATTGGGACACCATCTACTCGTACGATACCAGAGGTATCTATGAGTAGGTAGTGTAGGACAGCTGAACCACGTTCGAATCCACATCATGCCCCCTTTTGCATGGTTAACCTGAGGTTCCCCACTCTGCTGTGCTTCTAAACTTCAGCCAAAGCCATCCGACTATGAGTAATTTGTGCTACGCGCGGGGCCCGGGACATAGATCGAATCATCAATGACATTTAGGGAAATACGGCACATATGCAAGTGGCGAGCCAGCGACGCCTTCCGTAAATGTGTCATTAGTATTGTTGCGCTGGGATTCGATGCACTGGATCCACACATTGGCTGGCACGGTTGATCGCGGACGGACTCCCATGCAGTGTCTCGTTTAAAGTCCTTTGTTATTTCGGACAGATCAAAAGCCTGGGCACTTGCTGGCAGTTGCTTTTCTCTCTTTCTTGCACCCCTTCGCCGGCTATTGCCATTTGTCTCCAGCTGTTATCTCTCTGTTTCCACGCTTTGTTGTATTCTACCCTTATATCCTTATATCATATAATCATAATGTTGCGCCGCTTCTCCAGCACGTTCAAGAAGGGAAAGGGAGAGCGCGAATCGAAGCCAAATGGTACTCAGACCAACGGGACGAAACGCCAGTCCAAGGCATCGCCGGCGCCCAATTCATCATCGGATGAGAGCCACAGTGAGCCGCGGTACGAGAAGCAAGACAAGCACGACGACGGCCTGTCTGCTTTCGAGCGATATGCCCAGGTCCTGCATGCTTCGCAGCGTCCTCTGCCGAGTCAGAACGGCGATGGAACCTACATTGAACATGAACAATCAAGCAGCATGTTCTCGGATTTGAGAAGTCTGGGCATCAAGGATGTTGGTACATTGAAGGACCTGATCAAGAACAAAGCCAAGGGCGAGTATATCGACGATAAGACCATGCTTATGGAACGCATTATTCAGGTAAGCGGGCGTCAAATCCTCGAGCATCTGCTGAATTGGCTTGGAGAATTGCTGACCCTCCTTGCGCTTCTCCTCTTCAGCTCGTCAGCGCTCTGCCCGGAAACTCCAAGAATCGTGCCGATCTCACCAATGCCTTTTTGGACGAGCTCTGGGGCTCATTGCCTCACCCTCCGCTCTCGTAAGTCGATCGCCGACAATGGAAATTGCTCAAGAGCAGCTTGTGTCTGATGAATAATATGTTGTGTTGTGAAGGTACATGGGGAATGAGTATGCGTACCGCTCGGCCGACGGCTCGAACAACAATCCCACCCTTCCGTGGTTGGGCGCTGCAAACACGCCGTATGCCCGTTCGATCGCTCCTCTGACAATCCAACCCGGTGGTCTTCCTGACTCAGGTCTCGTCTTTGACTGCCTCTTTGCGCGCGAAAAGTTCACCCCCCACCCGAACAAGGTTTCCAGTCTTTTCTTCGATTGGGCCTCTTTGATTATCCACGGTTTGTAATTCGGCGCGCACGCTCACACGACATCGCTAAGATCCTGTTTAGATATCTTCCAGACAGACTACAGACAGCCCCACATCAACAAGACCTCCGCATACCTTGATCTCTCCATTCTCTACGGTGACACCAAGGACGATCAGGACCTTGTGCGTACCTTCAAAGATGGGAAGTTAAAGCCGGATACGTTCTCGGAGCAGCGTCTGCAAGCGTTCCCGGCTGCCTGCAGTGTTCTCATGGTTATGCTGAGCAGGTGAGTGGATAAGTTTCCAGCTCTACGGTGCCAGCACTAACCGATGCATTATTTTGTAACAGATTCCACAACTACGTTGTTGAAGAGCTGGCGGCCATCAATGAAAATGGTCGCTTCACTAAGCCTCGTCCCGGGCTTCCGGAAAAGCAGGCCCAAGAGGCGTGGACTAAGTACGATGAGGATCTATTCCAGACTGGTCGACTGTAAGTGAACCTGTGAGGAGCTCCAACTACGTTTAGCTGACTACTTCTAGCGTCACATGTGGTCTGTTCATTAACATCACCCTGTACGATTACCTCCGTACTATCGTCAACTTGAACCGGAGTAACAGTACCTGGTGTCTGGTAAGTCGCAAGCGTTTAACCCATTGATATCCTTGGTTCGACTTCTAACGGGTAACAGGATCCCAGAGCCCAGATGGAGGGTAGCAAGACTACCCCTTCCGGCCTTGGAAACCAGTGCTCCATCGAGTTCAACCTGGCCTACCGCTGGCACTCTGCTATTAGTGCTGGTGACGAAAAGTGGACTGAACAGGTCTACGAAGAGCTCATGGGCAAGCCTGCCGAGGAGGTTACCCTTCATGAGCTTCTCATGGGACTCAAGAAGTACGAAGATACCATTCCGAAGGACCCCAGCCAGCGTACCTTCGCTGGCTTGAAGCGCCAGGAGGATGGGACATTCAAAGATGAAGAGCTCGTTCACATCCTCAAGACTGCTATCGAGGACGTTGCAAGTAAGTGTATCTTCCTTGTCTAAATCTCAAAGAAGACACAGGACTAATGAATCTAGGCTCTTTCGGTGCCCGTAATGTTCCCAAGGTTCTCAAGTCCGTCGAAATCCTGGGTATCGAGCAGGGCCGTAAGTGGAACGTCGGATCGCTCAATGAGTTCCGCAAATTCTTCAACTTGAAGCCTTATGAGAGGTTCGAGGACATCAACTCCGACCCTGAAGTCGCCGATGCTCTGCGGCATTTGTACGAGCACCCTGACTACGTCGAGCTGTACCCCGGTATCGTCGCAGAGGAAGCCAAGGAGCCAATGATTCCGGGAGTCGGCATTGCTCCTACTTACACAATCTCGCGTGCGGTGTTGTCCGACGCCGTGGCTTTGGTCCGTGGAGATCGATACTACACTGTAAGTTATCTGATCATATGCTGATATCTGGTTCGCGCGAGCTAATTGCTTGTGCAGATTGACTACAACCCTCGAAACCTCACCAACTGGGGCTACAACGAGGTACGCTACGACCTCAACATCAACCAGGGATGCGTGTTCTACAAGCTGGCGACGCGTGTCTTCCCCAATTGGTTCAAGGGAGACTCCATCTATGCCCATTATCCCATGACGATTCCGAGTGAGAACCGGAACATCATGAAGAACCTGGGTCGTGAGGCCGATTACTCTTATGACGCACCCCGGTACACTGAACCGACTCCCTCTCTACTTTCTTATGACAACGTCAAGTTGGCCTTGGATTACGGGAAGGACTTTCGCGTCATTTGGGGTGGTTTGACTTCCGTTCACGCGGGCAAGGGAGGCACCGACTTCTGGAGCAAGTCTCTCGACAACGATCAGTGGCGTACCAACATTAAAGATTTCTACGAAGACGCCACTCTGAAGTTGCTTGGAGAGAAATCATGCAATCTCGCTGGCAGGAGACAGGTGGACATTGCTAGAGAGTAAGTTTCATGTGTCCGTGGAGCTGCAATTCCTGACAGTTTTACAGTGTTGGAAATCTCGTTCCTGTGCACTTTGTGTCGAAGATCTTCTCTCTGCCTTTGAAGACGAATAGCCACCCACGTGGTGTCTACTCCGAACATGAGATGTTCATGATCATGGCAACCCTGTATAGCTCCATCTTCTTCGACGTGGACCTCATGAAGTCCTTTTCTCTTCACCGCGCTGCTCAGGCTGTCTCCCAGGAACTGGGTCGACTCGTTGAGGGACATGTCAAATCCATCAACTCCCCCAGCTTCCTTTCGGGTATCATTGACAGCTTCCGTGAAGATCATAATGTTCTCAAGGATTATGGTGACCAGCTCATCAAGCGACTTCTCGAGAGTGGCCACGGGGTTTCCGAGGTTACATGGGGACAGATCTTGCCGGCAGCTGTGGAGATTGTGCACAACCAAGCCCAAATGGTGAGTCGGCCCCGGAACGTCTCTATGGTCGGCATACTGACTTTCGTAGTTCACTCAAATCATCCACTTCTACCTGACTGAGGGCAAGCATCATCTGGCTGCAATCAACCAGCTGGCCAAGCAGGACACCCTGGATGCTAATGACAAGTTGACGCGTTACTGCTTGGAGGCGATCCGATTGAACGGTAACCTGGGCACCTACCGCGAGGCTCAAACCAACATCACCCTGTCCGACGAGAATGGCCCTGTCTACCTCGAGGAGGGCGACAAGGTCTTTGTTGGTTCTGTAAGTCACTCACTTTCATCGCAATGCAGCCTATGGCCAGCAACTAACAGCCTACAGCGCGGAGCCAACCGTGACCCGATCGCCTTCCCGTCTCCCGACGAGGTCCGCCTCGACCGCCCTATTGACTCTTACATCGACTTCGGCACAGGTCCTCAGAGCGGTCTAGGCAAGGACGCCACCCTGATTGCGGTGACGGCCATGGTGCGCGTTGTCGCGCGGTTGGACAACCTCCGTCCTGCGCCTGGTGCTCAAGGAGTGCTGAAGAAGATCCCTCAGAAGGGCGGTTACTCCGTCTATCTTCGGGAGGATCACGGCGCTTACTCGCCTTTCCCCACTAGTAAGTGCATTGTTCCAAGCTGTGGTGCTGAAGGAGACTAACGTGTGTCAACTCTAGCCTACAAAGTCCACTTTGATGGTGAAGTTCCTGCTCCTCAGCGACAGGTCACTTCTGCCTGAATTGTTGACGGACTATATGACTATATTGATCCTCCTAATCTAGCCTTGCGATTTTGTTTGAGATATCCTTTTGGTTTGAAATGATATGTCTGATTAAGAATGAGGGTTTTGTTTCATAATGATCAATTTGTCAAGAGTTCTTGTTGATAGTTATTCCAAGTACTGTGCCTCTAATGAGAGGCGAGCTCTGTGTTGATAAGCTACGATAAGCATACTGTAGCTCTGCTGGGTCCGGGTCGGTTTTCCATAGTAGCGTAGCTTCCGTATTCCCAACAACAACCGACTCCCGATTGAAGTTATCATCCACGTTGATTGAGCGGAGTAGAGAAGCATCAAGTAGACCAGCACATTAGCTTCCGAAAGAGTTCCACTTTCGATCTAGCCAGATTCGCAACTGGACTGTACCAGGAGACAAGCTTCACCGCTTCTACGGCGCCTTTCCATTGCGGTCACCGCCCGCGCCCAACTGCCGCGGCGCATGCATCGCAGTCTTTCCTCCACACTTCTTGACCTTATACTGTACTTGATATACTGTACAGTCCACCACCGCACTCAATCCCAACAGCGATTGCATCTCCCTCTCCATAACAAAGACAATCTTCCGAAAGAACCAAAACAAAATGCCTCCCAAAGCGCCGAAGGGCGAATACATCGAAACCGTACCGTAACCCCGGATTCCGATTCCCCTCCCCTCCGCTCCATTCTGTTCCAAAAAAACCAGCACAGCTCCCACTAACTTTTCGAATGCAAACAGGACACCGGCAACAAAATCTCCCGCCGCAGCCTCATCCACGGCACGCAGCACATCATCCTCGGCGGGAAGACGGTCATCCAATCCGACGCCGTCATCCGCGGCGACCTGTACCGCTCTTCCTCCTCCTCCTCCTCTGCCTCCTCCGCCTCCCACAAGCCCACGCCCTCGACCTCCTCAACCTCCGGCGCAGCTTCCGCTTCCGCCTCGCAAACGCAGACCCCATCGGTGGCCATCACCATCGGCCGCTACAGCTACATCGCGCGGCAGGCGATCCTGCGGCCGCCGTCGCGGCTGCACCGCGGCGTGTACGCGTTCTACCCGCTCAAGATCGGCGACCACGTGTTCGTGGGCGAGCGCGCGGTCGTCGAGGCCGCCAGCGTCGGCAACCACGTGCACATCGGCCGGGATGCGGTGGTGGGCAGCATGGCCATCCTCAAGGATTTCGCGTACGTGCTGGACGGCGCGGTCGTGGCGCCGGGGATGGTCGTGCCCAGTTGGTGTGTGGTGGGCGGGGCGCCGGCCCGGATTGTCGGGGAGGTTGGGGAGGGCTATGGGGTGGAGGGGGCCGAGGGGGGCATGGCCAGGGAGAGGTATCGGGTTGTTGGGCGGTGAGGATTTGATATGGGTTGAAGATGGGAGAGAGGGATGCAGGGATATAGGATGGTGGCTCTGGATTCTACTTTTATGAAAACGCGCGTTGGACTAGCGATCGGGCTGTTGGCTGTGATGATCATATACCCCTCATGTATGTATGTATGTATGTATGTTTATTTGTATTTGATTTTTTTTTGTCACAATTCTTTCGCATTGGTTTAAGCCGCAACAAAAAGTAGGGTGTAATTGGTTTAAGAGGAGTGGTCTGGAAAAGCAATGAAGCAAGGGCAAGGGCTGTCGTCATGCGTAACAATAATCAGAAACGGATCTACAAATCAAACCGGTTCAGGCGGTCCTCTTTGCCCGTGTATTCCTGTCCCGCCTCGGTGCGAGCCATGTCGTTGATCCACCGCTTGTTGGGCTTGACTTCCTCCGACTTGGACAGCTTCGAGGCGAGGTAGAGCCAGTTCAGCGCGTTGCCGACCGTGCTCACTTCGTCGCAGACGTGCTCCAGCGCGTAGCTGTGCATCCGCTCGTACAGCTCGTCATCCGTGCAGAGTTGGAATAGATGCTCCGCGACCGCGTCGGTGTCGCCGACCTCCACCAGGAACCCGTTCTTCTTGTCGGCCACCTGCAGCGGGATGCCTCCGGCCTTGGTGGCGATCACCGGTTTACCCTTATGGATGGCCTCCGACACCTTGACCTCGAATCCCTCCCGCGTCGATAGCTGCAAGGCAACCTTGGCTTTCGAGAGGAGCGCGTTCAGCACCTGGTCCGAAGGTCCGAGTCGCACGACGCAGATTTCACCCGAGATGTCGGCGCAGTTGGTCTCAATGTGCGACAAGGTTGAGTCATAGATCAGCGAGCCGTCCGGGTCATCGACGGAGCCGTGGCCGCAGATGAGCAGCTTGGGCGGCTTCCTGTCGGGCAGGGAGGCCGTGAACCGTTGGTGGAACTTCTTGTATGACTCCACGACGTCGATGATACCCTTGGAAGGATCGAATCTGGCGATCTGGACAATGTATTCATCTGCAGGCAGTTGTTAAGTAGCGTTCAGGTGTAATGCAAGGTGTGCTGGCTCACCCTCGGGGAAGTTGATTGTGAGCATGCCCGAGTTTCTGCACATCGAATTGAAGATCCGGCCATAGAAGGCAACATCCCAGTCTTGCATGTTCTTGTTCAGTCCATCCAACCTGCATTGCTGATTAGATACGCGTCGATGGCATGTAGACAGTCAACCTACCAGTCGGTCGAAGCAGGCATGTATCCCACTTTCTCGGACGGAACATCTTCCGGAACGAAGATGCTCACGGGATGGCTGATGTAGAGGTCTGCCTGCTGGATCTGTTTCCACATCCAGCTCCAGGTTTCCTGCTGCGGCGATCCCTTTTGAGCAATGAGGTCGCTCCGGATCTGAATATGGCTTCGGAAGATAATTGGCCTGTCGGGGGCCATCTTCTTGGCGATAGGAATCAAAGCAGGCATTTGTGGATCATCGATGATGATGACATCCGCCCCTCCCTCAGAGGGATGGCGCAGAGGGCCACCCGGGCTAAGCCAGTAGCGCTTCGCATTTTCATCGATCCAGTCGATAACCTTGTCCCAGTCCTCTTCGCTCAAGCGCTCATCTGGAGCTGCGACTCCTTGCAGGATGTTGTGATTGGTCTTCGTGATGCGGAAAACCCCTGGTCTAGGCTTGGGCACATACCTGGTTGGTTTCACAATCAGTCATCGTTTCACACGCCCGGAGTGTTGTCGGAAGTCTTACCATCTAATATCCGTTCCCAGAGAATAGGAGAACCTTGCAAGGGCGTGTCTCATCAGTGCAACACCACCTCCCTGAGGAGTGGCACTGAAGAACGCCACCTTGGTCTTTCTCTTCTTGAGATCGGAAGCATAATACTGAACCGCATCCCAGGTCTTCTGTGTAACTGTCTTGCGGAAATCCTCTAGGTTCGTCAAACGCACGTGGAAGGCAGTGTCCACCTCCACCAAGCCCAAGAATCCGACTTGCAGCAAAGGAATATTCTCGGGTCCGAATAGCCTTGACTTTCTGTTAGCAACTTCCAAGCACGGTGGAACTGGTCGTTTAGCGCACCTGACACATTTCCGTCCCATGGACTCCGATTGTTCGTCGACACTCTTGATCTCCCAGCCAGTAGACTTACGAATGGGATGATTGGAGACATTATCGGTACCGATGCTGCTTTCTTCAGGCAAGACCAATGGGATGATATCGAGCTCCGCCCAGAGTTTGGAACAAAGAGTCGGGCACTTCTTAGCCACTGTTGTCGGCATGGCTAAACCAATGAACTTCTCAAGGCGCTCTTCGCTGTATTTGCGCAAGTTATGCAGGACATAGTCCACGATCTGTGTAGAAAGTGACTCGTCGCCTTCGGCGGTGAGATCATCCTGAACAAAGTCGAGAAGATAGGTCGCATCACGAATCGCAATGGCTACTGTGGCTCCATCATCATCGAACAAGATCGAAAGACCTGCGTAGATGGTCTAGGAAGGACCGTCAGTAAGTTGAGCGACATTGACGACCTTGGACACGATGCGCTTGTACCTTCGATGGAGGTGCCTCCCAAGAGAATTTCTTGAAATGATGCGACACTTGTTGTTCATGGATTGACGAGCGACGGCGGAAGGGTCGGGTTGCCATGTTGGTGGTGATGTTCGGGGGGAAAGAATAGTAAGAGAAACAGGAGAAATATCACTGGCGAGCACAAGGGTATCTGCGCGGTCTTATAGAGAAAAAGTCGTCCGGAAAAAGCCAACAGCTTTGTGCTACGACTGAAAGATCGTAAGACCGACCATGTGCGAAGGAGCTATGGTGGGATGACCTCACCAGTGTGGCCATGACGTATTGTATACACAAAGGTACCGCCGCCCACCGACCGTCGCCGTGCCTGGCGTTTGTTATACGGGTGATGGCAGCTCGGATGTTAAATAATCCTGGTTGATGTGGCTTGTGTCCGTTGTGAATGTGTATATCACTGCCGAATGGTGAATAGTGAATACTGTATCAATGCGGAGAGATCCGATAGGTTTCTTGTCCAACACTCCACCCGACGAGAAGCTGGGGTGGATCGGATCCATGATGGTCAGAATGTGTTTGAATCATGGATCATCAGGTATTGAGTGCTTACCTACCTGTACCTTTCCTTCGACTTTGTTCCTCGGTTGAACAATTGTCTTTCATCTTCATCTTCCTTTCTTCTTTTCTTTTTTCCATCCTCCCCTTGGCAACTGGATCCGATCGACTGATAACACAAGCGGACCAGGATGATAATTGATTGTATGAGAGTCTGAAACAGCCGAAGTGCTTGGCGCGGAGGGTGTGTGCTTAGTCATCGGATAGCCCCTTTTACGGAGGCGCTCGAGCTTTGCTAAAGGGAAAATGAAAGCAAAGCAAGAAGGAGGAATCGTTTCTCGTGAGGTGGATCGTGAACCCTGAATTCTTATTGCTGCTGCTGTTCCTGCTGCTCCTCCTCCTCCTCCTCCTCCTCCTCCTCCTACCCTCTCTTTTCCTCTCCCTCTGATCAGTCACGGTCGAATTGACTTTTACCCCTGCTGGTCTTGTCAGTGTGCCGTTCATTCGGTTTTGTCCGTCCACTCATTCATTCATACCCTCTCTCCCTACAATCTTCTGTTGGCCTCGCTGCCTTCCCTTCCCCCTCCTCTCCTCCCCTCCAGGTAAGTTCTGTATGTCTTGTTTACCTTGCGTACTTCGGCGCATTGCCAATAATGGACCACCATTACCTTGTTCACGCGGACGGAAAAGAAATTGACCCTCCGGCCGTGCTTAGCTCGCTGTCCTTCTCCCTCGTCGTCCTTCCTCCTCCACAACCCCATCCCCTAATAACGCATTCTCTCCTTCCAGCGACTGCACCTCCGATAGCTATTCTGCCGGGAAACATCCATTGAACGATCTCGCAACATAATCTTCGATACACTCTTAATCTTTTCAGCAGTCTGCGACCTTCAGCGGTCGCTTCTCGTGTGTCACAATGGGCGGTTCCGTGTCTAAGATAATGGGGAAGATTTTCGGCACCAAGGAGATGCGAATCTTGATGCTGGGTTTGGATGCTGCTGGAAAAACCAGTGAGGCCCCCTGCTGATCGCTCCTTGTCAGCCAACCAATTGTGAACATCTCTACTAATCGAGGTTTCAACAGCAATTCTTTACAAATTGAAACTTACAAACCAGGATGTCACCACGATCCCCACCGTCGGCTTCAACGTCGAGAGCGTAACATATAAGAATGTCAAATTCAACGTCTGGGATGTCGGTGGTCAGGACAAGATCCGTCCTCTGTGGAGACATTATTACTCCGGTACGATTTTTTGCACGGAGCAGCTAGTTTCGAGGGTGTCTGATGCTAACGCTGTTTCTCCGACCAGGTACACAAGGTCTGATTTTCGTCGTCGACTCCAGCGACACTGCTCGAATGGAAGAGGCTCGCTCGGAGCTTCACAAGATCATCAATGATCGCGAAATGAAGGATGCGTTGCTCCTTGTCTTTGCTAACAAGCAGGATGTCCAGGGCCGTATGTATCTTCCATTCCTGACTTCGATGTCAATCGCTAATCAGCTGTCACTTGTAGATATGAGCCCTGAAGACGTCACCCAGGCACTGCAACTCAACAAGCTCAAGGACAAGCTGTGGTATGTTGCGCCCAGTGTCGCAACGGAGGGCACCGGTATCTTTGAGGGTCTTGTAAGTCAATAATCCCCAAACCTCGGCTTAACAGGGCTAACCTTTCATTCTTGCAGGCTTGGCTCTCCAACAACGTCAAGACCCAGCCTCAGAAATAGATCATTCTCACGCCGGCCGCCAAACCCCTGCAGTCGTGAATCGGAGGCTATTCCAATGCCCCCTCTCGTGTACAGCATGCTCCATTCCACCTACACCGAATCAGTTGGCACCTCGTTTCACGTCGGCTTTGATGACAGAAGACGCAGCATTTGAACCCTGTGTTTCTTTTTCTTTTCCTCCTGCGCATGCCTCTTCCGCCATTTCATTCTTCTCTTTTTCATGATATCCCTCACTGTTCCGATGCGGGCCATTTCAATACCCCTCCCCCTTAATAATACTCCTTACCATTTCTTCTTTTCGTCTTGGCTTTGATTTTTCTTCACATTATTATTTTTGTCACCACCCCCGTGTCTTCGGCGAAGTGTAGAAACATTTTCAAAATAGAAGGGAAAAAACTTGGGACCAGCACATACATGCATTCCACACATATATCGTGTTTTAATGATGTCTTTGTTCTTGAGCTGCTTTCTGTCTTTCATAGCTGCTAGATACTTAGGAAAAAGAGAGACCCGTGTCTGATTGGCGTGTCTGACGTACATTTGACGTGCTATCCTAGGGTGCTGTTGATGGTAAGTTATTGGAGATCAAGCCACTCACGAGCAAAGCATGTGACTTGCTTCGTATCAGACAGCGATCTAGACCCCTACCTCGCAGGGAATGGTTCTGGCCAGGATCAGCCCGTACTGCAAGGTTATGGGAAATTATGGCTGTAGGTTCTAGCGAAACAAGCGGACGGGAAAGCTTCCAGGTGAAATTGGCTTAGGTATGAATGATGTTGTAGGTTTGCGAAAGCGCGATCTACATCATGGATCGGGCTTGTCGGCGACTAGGTTAGCGAACCTTGCATGTTTCCACATTGGGGCACCTCCAAGGTACTCAACCACCCGCCCGCATAAGCAAAGACATTCTACTTTTAAGATTACGGCAGGGATGATTCTTCAAATCAATCGAAAGGCTCAATCATATTTCACTAACACTGTACATTTTAAAACCATATGTTAAATAAGTGGTATCCTAAACACACAAAAGTTGTCGTCACGTTCGTTCATCACTCCACGTTCGTTGTTGAAATCGACAGGAGTCGGAGTCTGGCCTTGGGAGGGGTCGAACTCCTTTGTGGTAATCGCCCTGGGTCTTGGCTTGTTGATTTACAGCTGACCGGGCCAGATATCGTCGGCGATTTCACGGACAAGCTTCAGCTTGGCGATCATGCCGTCACGGTCGATGGCGTTTCCCTCTCTGTGGCTGGCGAAGCCGCACTGAGGGCTGACGCCGACCTGGTTGAGCGCCTGCTCCAGGGAGATGTTGTTGCCCTCGGCGATGAACTTGGCGGCATCGTACACACGCTTCTTCATCTCCTCCTTGTCCTCGAGCTGGGCGAACTTGCTGGTCACCACACCGAGGATGACGTTCTTGTGGGTGGGGAGCTCCTTCAGGGGCTCGAAGCCACCGGCACGGGGGGTGTCGTACTCGAGGTAGTAGGTGTCGACGTTGAGCTCCTTGAAAAGCTTAGTGGCGATGCGGTCATAACCACCCTCGGAGAAGTGACGGCTGCCGACGAAGTTACCACGGCAAAGGTGAACACCAATGTGCATGTCGGCGGGACGCTTGGCGACGCAATCGTTGTACAGCTTGATGTACTGCTCGAAGGTCTCATCGGCAGAGCGCACGTTCAGAGGATCCTCCTTCCACCCGGCAAGCATCTTCTCGGAGCAGAAGTCTGATGGTCACAGTCAGCTATCTGTGCATTTCAGTTATTGTTTGTGGATTGGGTAGCCTTACAAGCAAGGTTGGGGTCATCGAACTGAACGTTCCTGCAGCCAGCGGCATAGAGGATCTGCAGCTCAGCCTGGACGGCCTTGGCGATGTCGCCGAAGTACTCCTCGTCGGAGCTGTAGACATCCTTGGGGTAGGCCTTGCCCTCCTTGTAACGCAAGTGATACCAGTTGGGAGCGGCAAGAGTGATCTTCAGGTTCTTGACTTCATCGGCGGGAACCACGCTGGCCAAGTACTTGAACTCTTCGACATACGTGCTGCCGACGTGCTTGATCTTGCCGGTGCACAGGACGGTCTCACCAGGCTTGTGGCCGGCCTCGAGAAAGGCAGCGACATCAGGCGCATACGGGCGGAAGATGTCGGCGTCAAAGTCGGTCACCTCGTCGAATCCGTCCAAGCCAGGGAAGAAGGTACCCCAGAACACTAATTTCAAGGTCTGGTTAGGCCTTATGGCTTTATGTGATAACGAAGGTTCCAACAGCACGGGGAAGTGACTTACTGTGTCTGCGATATTCTCCATCAGAGATGGCGGCATAGCCGAGCTTCTTCTGCGTTCCAACGACCTCCTTGATATCCTTGTTCTCAATGACATCCAGCTCAGCCTTAGAGACTTCACCCTTCTCGAAAGCAATCTTGGTCTTCAGAAGATCATCGGTCCGAAGCAGAGAGCCCAGGTGCTCAGCACGGAAAGGGGGGTTGCGGTGCAGTTGAGGGGCCATTGTGATGCACAGACAAGATGCAATGAGCTAAGAGGCGTTAGCTGGAATCTCTCGCCACTGCCTCCAACAAGACGGAACTCACTAAGGACAGGAAATTGGTGAAGCAGAAAGAGGGAAACAACAGTCAGAAAGGCAGGAAAGGGGATGAAAAGGAGGGGGAGGGGCACGCAGCGCTTTTCAAGGCAAGACTGCGAGATCCGAAGTCCGGAGCAGGAGGAACCATCTGTTCAGCTTGTGCCCCACAGGCCTGGTCCAAATCTACTCTTAGATCCGAGTTTCGAGTTTCCCGGTTCCTATCGGTCACTCTTTGTCGACTACCTTGTTTCGGCCTTCGGCATGGAATTATGACTTCGACGGCCGGTCATCATACTCCTAAATCCTGGGGATCCCAAAAGCTCTTCGATCCCATCGATACCCTTCCTGTATCTCCATGGAGAGCATAATAAACCTGACCGTAGCCAGGTAAAGACCTCGGGGAGGGGGATCCATGAATCATAATCGCAAAAAGGGTGGCGGAAGCTTTGATCGACCGGTGTGGGGCACAGCATGGATGTTGTAAGGCCTGACTCAGCGAGGCATGCATTTTTCAGACAATCGCATGGGTTATTGAATATGTCTTGAGCATTCCGACTACACCCAGTCTGTGAGCATGACGTAGACTCATATAATAGCGTTTTGACACTGCAGGAAGTGAATTGGTTGCATCGGTTGCATTGCAAATGAAAAGCAGTGGGATGCATGTCAGTGAGTGTCTAGCAGGATGCACTTTTGTTCTGCTGGTGCGGGGGGAGACGCTAGTGCCTCGACCTTCTCCACACTTGGTCTGTTTCAGGTAAGGCCGCCTTTGCCGAGCGTCCAGAATAATTTCGCCTGTCAGAGCTCAGACGTCAATCGACTTTATCTGCCAACTTCTTTCGCAGTTGAACAACTTACTTGAAGATCATAAGGGTGCTGAAGGACATCGTATATCCATCAAACCTCTACCTTCAAGAGCTGGTCAAGTTTGCACCATCAATACTGACCGGATGCAAGCATAATACCCTATCAAAACCCTCCTAATTGCATGGAATCATGTGCTTGGAAGCTGTGGAGAATCGCGGCACTTGACAACATCTCGAACTCCCGATCTGCTATTCCATCCTCACCGCCTGCTGTATATAGCTATTCCACATGGCACTTAACCAACGACATAACTATCTCTTGTGCTGTGGGCTCGTTATTGTCACGACCATCAGTGTCTCTTACCACAGAACTACTAACATCTAGCGCTCAAACCGGTCAAAGCCCGGTGCTCATAGTGTGCTCCTGAGATGTGAAACTTCATCAAGGATCGTCAAGTTCTTTAGGCAATCGAACGATGACTTCGCAGCTGTCATGTCTCGAAAACTTGCCGAATGAAATCCTGGATGAGATTGTGAGCTATCTTCCAGTGGATACTCCCTCCGAATCCAACTTTCATCATACACCCAGAACACACTTCACAGCTTCCAGTACGCAGAACCTGAAGAATGCCGCACAAGTATCCTCCCGGCTGCTCGAGCTCGTGCGATCCAGACTCTACGCGCATTCTCGATTCTACCTCGATGATTTGTATGACTTCCTCAATTTTGTCACATCGCATAGATTAGAGCGCTATATTACCTCGCTTGTCGTGCTACTCGGGAATGATCCGCCTCGTGACTTGGACATCAATCGGTTGCTTCGACATCTGTCCAACCTCAACCCATTGCAGATCACTGTTCTTGCACCACCTTCGCGGATTGGAACCATGTTGAACACGAAGGCTCCAGAGGAGCACAATTGGGCATTTCAGATTACTCATCAGTTGTGTCAGTGGGAGCGAAGTATACCGCCTGAGTCCCCGGTCTTCACGACTAACCCGTCATCCAACCCGTTGGATATCATGGCCTATTCATCTCTCAGATTCAATGAGGGCTCCTCGCTCAGAGCGTACGCACATTACGAGTACTTCTTGTTCGAGGTTCCGTCCGTGCTTGGTAAATGGGGCACCATAGCCTCCATGGGTACCGAAGAGGAGAAACTGTCCATATCGCGCGGGCTCCGACATCTGACTTCGTTCAGCTACACCGCTATATTCCCCTTCTATAATCATGTGAAATTGGTATTAGATGCCCTGGAGTTGATGATGAACTTGCAATCATTCACCGTACAACTGGCCCCATGCTCAGAAGACTCAGCCATTGACTTGGCAAACAGAGGCCCCATCGATCCTAACGATCCATGGATGGAGCTGGCTACGGGGTACGATATCATCGCTCATTCCATCATCGAGCTGGGACGTAGCGCTTCGCTTGTTCATTTCCGCACCCTTGACTACCAAAACGAGGCACTTCGTGTTGAACTCAGCCAATCGTTAGGCGCAAAGTTCAAAGATACTGAATGGGAGATGAATGGCCATGGGGAATGGACCAAAACAGCGTCGAATGGAGGAATCAAGAACCGGTCCTCGAACACTGGGCGCATGATAGCCTAATCATCGACTTCCCACAACCAAAAATGGCAATTAAGCCATTTGCGAAGTTCCATTTGCAAAGTAAAGTCTTTTGCCATTTCTAGCATCACAATAGATAATCATCCCGGCCTGACCCTATGCTATTTGATTTGCAATTCACAATTCATCACCTTTTCATACCATTGGTGTACTTTCTTGTCCGAGCCTGTCTGTGTATTCTGCGCTCCCAAATTTTTGCATCTATCTACCGTCATTTTTTTAGAGTAGACCCCTCTTGCCGATCTTACATTCCGCCATTGTCTTGTCTCTTACGCTGTTCAAGACTCTAACGTACTGGAGCATGCTTCTGACCAGGATTTGATGCCTTACATACCAGGCTTCAACACGTGCCGCAATCTAATCTGGACCCATCCTTCGATTCCACTGTCATACACACACTAATACCTACTCATTTTACATTGCATAAAATACCTCCAGCAATCTAGTTATTGAATCTATTGCTCGCTTATTGCATTCTCAATAAGTATGCTCTACAACAATATAACCTCCGCACCAGCTGACTCGCTACGTAGCACTGCCACTCTCGATCCCAAAAACTATACGGAGTAGAAGTATACGATCTAGGACCGCCCGCGATATCGTTCACTCGGACAGCCATGGATTCCACCAGTGACTTACATGCTGCTGAACCTGCGCTTCCCACTCTGGCACACAAGTTGCTGTTATCCGATGAAGCAAGCAGTAGTAGCCGGCAGTCCGTGGACGACATAGACTCAAGTCATCCGCCACACCCGACAGAGTCCTGGAACCTCTACGCAGATATCAATGCTGGATTGCAAGCATCGCGGGGGAGTGTATTCCGCGCTGGCTCTGTGATCGGTTTCTCGCGGCTCCGAAGCAAGAGCAACGAGAATACAGAAGATGATGAATACTTAAGCCAGGTAAGAGCATGTCAGCTATTTGGGTCAATCAGTCCGTACGCTCCATCTTCATGCAAGAGCATCACGACCACACCAGGCCAGACCTCGATTCCTGGAAGCCCCTATCGAGTGCTCATCTACATCGCATCATGTTCAAGATCCTTTGGCCACAGACTAACCTTTAAATAGCTCCCTCGAGCTCTCCTCACAGCCCACTTGATCCGCCAAGCCCAAACCCTCAACAGCCCCAGCTCAATCACCGTCTATATTGTCCATCCAGCCACATTCAACGCCTTCTCCCCCAGAAGACTCCTCGCCTCCCTGCTCAACACCACCAAAACCACCACCAACCGCCAATCCCTCACGCGCGACGCGGCAATCGCCTGCCTCGACCGCGTCCAACTCTTCCCCGTCTTCGACCTCAACGCCGCATCACAAGCCATCCACGAAATCAGCTCAGCCGTAGCATCATTACCCGCTAGTTGCGAATCCCTGCCTCCCAACAAAGCCATCGTGCTCGTCGCCGGCCTCGACACCCTCGCCGAGGGCGTCGTACGCACGTCCAACGCAGCGCGAGGCGCGGCCGCCCTGACGACTGCCCTCCGGACATTAACACACTTGACCCGCACCACTAGTCCTGCAGCGGTGTCAGTGCTGCTGGTCAATACGAGTGGACTGGGGACGACGACAGCGACCGTCAATGCTAATTATGCGAGTGGCGGGTCAATCGCAATGCAGGATGAGCCCGGCAGCCGGGAAAATGGGATTCGGTCCGCATTTGGCGCGAACGGGGCGAGCCTGTTTCCGAGCTTGTTGGTGCGGATATTGGACCAGGGGCTTGATACACATATCTTAGTGTCGACTAAGGGGTCAGGGGTGGTGGTGGAGGTTATCAAGGACCGGCTGGGCGAGGGGATCGGGAAGTGGTGTGTTTGGGAGAGCATTTGAACGCTCGGTGCTTGTCGATTCAGGCTACGACAATATCGGAAGTAACGGTGGTAAGTTTACTGGGAGCATACAAGACAACAAGATGCAAATGGTCTATCATCATTCATGGGGGAAATGGTGTCAAAACTATTAGCAAATGTAAGCAGCACACACACACACATACACTCCTAGAACCTCATTTTCCTTCTATTATGCATGCAACATGTTCCAGTGGTATGTTTTCCACAGACCCAAAAGAAAAGGAAAACCAGCCATGAAGAACCAACTCCGGTTCGATTTCCTGCTTTTTTTCTTTTCCGATAAAGAAAGATGGGGGGGGGGGGGGGTAAAAACTAGGCTTTTTTTTTTTTTTTTTTTTTTTTTTTTTTTTTTAGAAAAAAAAAAGGGGGGGGGGGGGGGGGGTATCAATCAAGCACGCCGTCAAAAGGGCGGCCTTTTGGGAGAAAGGGTGAAGACAAAATGTCATGGTTTAAAAAGTTTCGGGAAGAAGAGAAAAGGAAAAGAAAAGGTAATGAAGTTGCGCGAGGCAAACAATGGCGATTAAATCATGAGGAAAGCACATCCTCAATTGTTACTGATCTGAGCATTGTCTTCCTCCGCCCATAGCCTGAGAACGGCTCTTTCCACCACGTTTTGAGCCTCCTTCTCGCATTTCTTAAGGTCCTGGACCAGGGTACTCTCTTCGAAAAGGCCATCTTGCTGTTGCACCTTTACCCACTGCTTGTGCCGCTCGCAGCGTTTCTTGATGCAAACGCCATGGGATAGATGTTCCAGATCATCCCCGGCGGGTTTCGCATCTCCCATGGCAGTATCGCCATCTGCGTCAGTAGCATCGGAGTAGCTTGACGCCAGTGCCTCAGGGGTGCCAACCGTAAGTGCTTTTGCCCCCAGCTCTGAAAGGCGCCACTCGTCGAACTCCTCATCTGACCAAGCCAGTCGGTAGTCGAAGCCACAGATGTCCTTCCATCCGCCCTTGGGTTCCTTCTGCTTCAGCTTGTCTAGAATACATTTGGAACGCTGCCGCACCAAATTCACAAAATGGCTTCGAGCCTTGAGCATCTCTCGGCGATGGACGAGGCTATCGCGCTGTTTGCGCAGCTTATCGATCATCGCGGCCTCGTCTGGTGCATATGTGAGCCAATCCACATCGAAGTCAAGGCCCAGTTTCTTGTTATCCTCGTTGGTCCCTGTAGCGGGGCCCTTCGCCGGTGCAGGGACCGAGATGATGCTCTCTCCCAGCTTGCGGAATTCTTCCGCTGAGCTGACGCCCGTGACCACTGCCTTGAGGTCTCCGGTCGTGAGAACACCACCTCTGCTTCCGAGGTCTTCTGGATAAGTATTCTTCTCGACATTGTCATATCCGCTGCCTGTGTCTGGGCCACTTCCTTCTCGAGAGGACGCGCTGTCGGGAAATGGGCTGTTCGTTGAGGATCCCAGCCCACCGAGAGCTGTCCGAGCGGCTGACTTCCGAGCGCCAGGCCCGGCGCTCACAAATAAGAGCCTAGTCCTTTGAAGCATGAACTCTCGACCATGCTCATCTGAGCAGTATTTACTGGGACTGTCCTGATTGACACGGGCAGGCTTTCTGCACTCCTTCAGCCGACACATCGGTTTCCAGGTTGTCCAGCCCTTGCCCTGCTCCTTACAATTCGGACCTATTCCTTGTCAGTCCAATACCCCATGACAAAATCATAATCCGGACATAATGGTAGTGGGGGAAAGATAGAAGGTTGATTTTGGAAGCCGACTCACATATATACCTGTCAATCAGGTCAGCGTCTCGTGGGTCAATGTTGACGCATTTCCCATGAAACCAATCCTCACAGCCACCGTCGCATCCAATCATCCAGGTGTGATTGTCCGGCTTACGACAGATGCAGAACACTTCATCATTGTCTTCAGAGTCATCATCATCTTCTTCTTCCTCCTCTTCCACTTCCTCCACAAGATTACTCTTAGCGTTCTTCTTTTTGGCTTCGGGCGCCGGTGAGCTCGCGATGGACGCGGAACCACGTTTGGCTCTTCCAGCTACTTTGCTCGTGCGCGATGAAGGGGTGTTCGATCGCCTGCTTGTAACACTCTCATTGTCCATATCAGTCAGCTTCCTTTTCTTGGCCGCGGGTTTCCTAGCTGTGCCTTTCTTAGTGAGGCCGATACCGGATTTCTTGGTCGCGGCACTAGGTTTGGTGGATACTGCCGGAGAGGATCGATCGGAAGAGGACGCCTGGGAGGTTTCTCGGTTCTTGAGGCTGGCAATCTTCTTCGGAGTTGGGTGTTCATTGGGCAATGCTGTACCATCGAGCTGAGGGAGCCCTGATTTGTGGTCCGGCTCATGATCAAGAGGAACGCCATTCAACTCCACATTCGACGGTTCGGTCTTCACTTGCGGTACGGGTGTATTGTGCTTCGTCGCGGATGCTGACTCGCCGGCAATGCTGGGCAGACCTTCATAGATATCGGCCCATACCACGGATACATTTATTGAACCCTCAACTTCGCCGGCAGACGCAATCTCAGGAATCCTGATGCGGCGATGTAATTCGTCCGCCCGCTCAAGTCCAAAGTACCCGCTTTGTCGCCATCCAGTGATCCCGACCACCTGACCATTGTTCACAACTATATTGGCCGGGATGAGGTTGTTATGTACTAGGGCAAGTCGTTCGCCTTTCTTCCTCTCGCGAAAAAGAACATCCTTCTCGACTTGCTGGACGTCGGGCGGAAACTGCACATTGAGGCCGCTGCAAACATATGAGGGTCGGTCGGGAGCGGCGTCGACGTCTCCTAAGCGCTGGGATATGCGGCGACACTGTTGCTTGAAGTTTTCGATTTGATCAGCACTGAGATACTTCCAAGCAACGTCCAATGAGACACCTGAGAGTCTTGACTCCACGGTAACATTTTCATTATCGATGGTGCCACAGAAATATATCACCGGAACAGTAATGTCGAGATCTCGAAGGGCGTCCTCGGCTTTCCTTGCTGCGCTGAGCTCATTCGCATTGAGGCACGAATACGTCTCCGCTGCGGCATCGGCTTCGGGCTCACGGTCGACTCTAATGATGACGCTGCCAGCAGCGAAAGCGTCTCTTGCGCCCGGAACATTCAGTGAGTTTTCTGGCTTGCAAAAACCCTTCACAATGCCTTCCCAGTAGGACTTGACTTCTGGATCCGACTGGCACCAGTACTCATGGCGAGGCTTGAAGTCATTGTCCGATGGCGCATACCGCCCGTAATGCACACTTCGCGCAAGAAAAAGGTCATCGTCAGGAATGAGTTCGGGGTTGGTCTCGTAAGGGTTTGTTGGTCGCTTCTCGTCCACCGAGCCGTTCGCCTGGCTCGAGACGGCAGGAGGTTGTTGGTCTCCAGCCATCCCCAGAGCACCTGCCAGGGGCTTGGGCTGATCCCAAGCACCTAACCACTGTTACCTCGTCTATGTTCCCTCGGCAAAGCTCGTAGAAAGCCAAACACGGCGTCTCAGAGGTGGGCCAGGGTTCTACCCAGGGAGAGGGGGAAAGGAAGAGGTCTAGAACACCGGACGTATTAAAAAATGAAGCCCGTTCTTGTCAAACACCTGACCATGATGTTGTCTTCGATCCTTACAAGCTATCGCAAAGTTTGGTCGAGAATGCGACGCGATGAATCAGGAGTAGAGGAATGCGCTGCGTAGCCTGTCACTTCTTTGTCAGGTTGTGGAGGACGGGGATGGCGGCGGCGTTCGGCGAAAGATGCGAAACGGTGGTAGGGTCACAACGCGGTCTGCAAGCCCCGAGGATACATAAAATGAAGAGTAAAACTCCAAAAACGTATTTCGCAATTCCTCAGGCGCCGTTGGTCTGGGCCATGGGTGTGTTTGAGAGAGGCACGCGATGGGTGGGAGGTTCAGAGCTCTGCGGCAGCGCGGTCGGCGACGCGGAACAAATTATGGGATCAGTTTTAACAGCCTGGAGGCCGTTTGCCTCGGACTTAATCCCAAGGCGGTGAGAATTAACGCCGCTAGCTTGCAGCCTCAGGCAAAGACTGTTGTTGGCCTCAGGCTCTGGAAGTTTAACCTTAAGGCCTCGACTTTCAAGGTTTCGAGCCTCTCCCATTGACCATGTTTTGTGGCTGCGCTTCTCCAGTTCGACAACCTTTGACTTACAGTTCTTCAGTGTTCCTTCGTAACCTCCACACGAGTGCATCTCTATCTATCTAAAACATTCGCTCGCACCCCCTCAGCCAAGCGGCAATCCTTCTGGCAGCAATGGCTCTATACCCTTTAAGCTTATTTCTACTTCAGCCTGACAACACGGAGTCTACTTTATTCTTCGTATCAACGAATATGCCCTTCCCACTAACAACTTCAGGGTCAAGAATACTTTACCGCAATCAGCTAGCCTGGTCCCATATCTGCACCTGCTGATGCTTACGGTTCCTTTTGCTTATCATCCTGAAGAACTCTCTCGCCTTTAGACTGTCTTTCGGTCCACAAACCACCCTCGGTGGCAGTCCGTTCATTCGTTTCTGCCTGACCTTGAACCGAACGGACCAGTGGGGATTATTCCGGAACTGTTGAAACGGCCCCAAAGTTTTTTTCTTCTGGGCAGAATATTATAGATGGTTCAATGATCATTTCCCTGTGGATCTGCAGTCAGCACAAGGTTGATCTCGATTTTATCAGATAATCCGGTGCACTTCCCTTCTCCCTCACGGAGTCCTTCACTACTTAGCTCATTCCTCCTTTTCCACCCATCTCAGCCCACACTTCTTATATTCTGGTGGTGCCACCCAAATCCACCTGGCCCTGTCATACTGAGGTCTCCTCTTTCCCTGCCAGGCTGCCACACCCCCGTTCCTTGCCGGAGGCGATCCTGCAAATTTATTTTTGGATTTTAGCTTTCAGTCGTCGATTTGGCCCCATTTGCAGCTCGATCCCCTCGATCTGCCCTTACACCCTGAATTCATGCCGTTGTGACTGCAAAGCCTCCTTCAATCGTCACTAGCCTGGATGCATTATCCGCCAATATCTTAGGTTCTCTTGGTTGTCATACCGCTGGTCCCTTGTCCGGCTACTGAATGGCCTTCCCGTACTGGTATAAATCAATTCAAATCGAAGTGGATTGTCGGATATCGTGAATACCCTCTTGTCCGGTGTCGCAGTGGTCCGGCCGACAAGCCCTCTCATCTCATTGCGGCCTACCTCCGTGCTCGTTTCGTTGAACTTCTTCGGCTAGCGTACTACCACGGTTTCTATGACAAGATCATTTCATCGCACTAGTCCCGACTTTTCTCTTCGCTCAACAAGCATACACTACGAAGGCCACGACGGCAAAAACGTCAACTCGAGTCATTGCTCAAAAGAACCGCATTGCGGTATCCCAACCATCCTACAACACATATTCATTCTCTGTCCGGGATCCTCGGCTCAGAATCATGTCCCCTGAACCTGACAAATCAAGCACAATCGAGCCCACGGCAGGCTCTTCCCAAGTACGGTGGCAGTTCATTAACGCCTCGGGTAACAGCCGAAATAATCTAACTCAAGTCAAACGTCATGTCATGCAAGAGTATATGCGACAAAAGCGACAGGCTGCAGGCCAGTCTGACATCGATCCTGATGACACCATAGGGGAAGGCGGCCGCAAACCTTCCAGGTCACGTCGGAAAGCCAAGGATAGCAGCCACCGCGATGACCCCGCCGACAAAAGGCCCAAGGTAGAGATTGGCGAAAATGCTGAAGATACTGCGGCCAACATCGTGCACCAACATGGATCCGAAACAACCTCAAGTCATCCAACCAGTGAACACAACATCACCGAGGTCGTGGAGAGCTTTGATGCAGAATTCGGCGCTTATCCAGTCTCCGAATCGTCCGTTTCATTACCGATCCGCGACAGTCAAATGTCCAGCTACAGCAGCTCCTCGTCGGATTCCCAGATATGGTACTCGGCGACGTCGCAAAGCAGTAGCTCCGAGCTGGGAAGTTTGACGCCACGGTCCTCCGCCCCGACATCCCCATATGAAGTGGCGCTATCTCCGAAAACAATACTCAGCGCCGCACGTACTGATCCTTTCAACACCTTACCACTGGATTTGGACCTTGACAGCCAGCGGTTGTTCGATTTCTATGTCAACGAAATGCCCGCTTGCTCTTACGGGAACCATTTTCGATCCTCCAAAGCGCACAATTGGTACACAGCAGTCTTCGTTCCCGAAGGGATGAAAGGGCCGGTGGCGTTCCAGAATACCATCCTTGTCCATGCAGCTAACACATGGACCTGGGTTCGCAATCAGGAGGTGGACGAAAGAGGACTAATTCATCGCGACCGGGCCATTTCCATGCTTCGTGAACACCGTGAGAGACACCCTCATGACTTCTCCGATGAAGTAATCATAGCTTGTCTTAGTGCTGCCGGACTTGAAGACTTCGATCCCCGTCCTGGACGCAAGCAAATCAGCTGGCTTCATATGCGAGCTGCAAGAGAGATGATCCGAGCCCGCGGTGGTCCCGCTGCATTTCATAATACTCGACTGGGAATGCTGATCAATTGGCAAGATTACATCCTCTCGGGCTATGAAACTGACGGACCGAGTTTCTTCTTTGATGCTGCACCACCGATGATACAGCCAAGTGAGAGGCGTGCCTCCGAGCAACAATCGGCTACAATGGCCCGGCCTATGATGGCTTCATACCCTGTTCCGGTCGAGCTAAGCCTCTCCTGGCCTCGACCATTACTTCCATACGAAGAAATTCAGAATCAATGCGATGAGTTCATAACCTTTCTCAAACGGTGTCAACAACTTTCGGCCTATCAATCGAGCACTACTGACGCCAGCTCGCTCCAAATGCGCCACACTGCCTTCCAGGAGGGGTCACTACTACACCAAATTCTTGCGGCGCCTCCCGGGGCGCGCTTCACTGCCTCTGGCAACCGCAAACAGTTCGTTGCGCGGCTGGTTGCCCTGCTCATGCTCAACGCGGCCCTCTGGGACTACCGACATTCCGTGCCGCACAGCGAGACTTTCCTCCAGACGCTGCAGCAGGCGGTAGTGGACAGCGAGGTGAATATGAGCGGTTCCGTGGAAGCACTGCTGCAGATCTTGCTCGAGTGCAAGGACGGTCATGTCAACACGACCAGCGACAGCTGCAGCCAAGGACCAGATTTCACGCAGTACTCCCAGACCGCAAACGCCCCATACGATCGGCCATGGTTCGCTGGCCGGATGCTCAAGGTCGCCAAGCGTCTCAGTTATGAGTCTTGGATGCACGTCAATTATATCCTCTTCTCTTGCCTGACCATGCAACCGGGCATGCCCAATGTTGCTCTGTGGGAAGATAGCCTTCAACAGGAGATTCTCAACGCGCCGCTCACCAGATATACCATGCCCTCATTGGAAGAGCTATGACACCAGCCCACGATTATATACACTCCTTTTTTCCGTCAGACTCCATATGGATATCTGCAACACCCTGCCAAGTCTTGGGTTTAATCCAGGTCATCGTTCATTGGAGTCCTTCCTGCACTTTCCCTCTTTCTTGTGATCCATCCTCATTATATAGACAAGAGCCTTTCCCCGCTCATTCGCCTGCAACAGCACTATACATTCCTGGATGAAACCTTCTCTTATATATATGCTTCTCCGTCAGATCACCCATTGTTTCACTGCGTGTTATACCCCAGCTTGTACCAACGAACTCTGAAGCCATAGATTTCTTTTTGCTTTTATTCTTCCGATACTGGACTTGATTACCAATTGGAGCATCTCTATATGACATGATTAATATTATACATCTTGATCGATAGCTTCGACTGACTCGATTTTGCCATCATGCAACACTAACTGTACAACCCATTGCAGAACCCCAATGCAGAATGCAGCCAGCTATTATATACAACAGGAGATTATTTATAGATATATATAGGATGCTTGCAGTTCTTCAACTCCACCTCGGGATTTGGGTCACCTGTGGTGTAGGGGATTTGCACTCGCCTCCGCCGAAGAAACCATGGCTAACCCTCCTTTCCTGTCCTGCTGGAGCTCCAGCCCCTGGTGATGATCCCCTTCATCCTTCGATCCTCGACGATCAAAAACATGCTCGGCCTCCTCCAGCGACCGGCCCGCGGTCTCGGGGTAGGCGAACCAGACCAGCAGGGCGGCGGCCCAATTGAACGCGGCGAAGCAGTAGAAGTAATTGAAGCCCATGCGCGAGCGCGCGATCGGGGTGCACTGGGCGAATACTAGGTTCAAACTCCAATTTGTGGCTGTGGCGATTGAGCCCCCCCGGGCGCGGATGGCGGTGGGGAAGATCTCGGACTGGTAGAGCCAGGAGATGAGGCCCAGGCTGGTGAAGAAGACGGAGAAGACGAAGAACAAGGCGATGGCGGCGCGGACGGCGGTCGCGGGCGCGGGCGGGTCGGTGGTGAAGTTGCGGTAGGCTTGGCCGAGGGCGGCTTCGATGCACATCGTGGCACCCATGCCCACGAGAGAGGGGAGGAGGAGGGTGCGCCGGGGGACCCGGTCGATGAACAGGACGATGAAGACGGTGTTCCAGAACTGGGCGAGCGCGCCCCAGATGCCCTGGATCATGAGCGAGGTGGTCTCGGACAGGCCGAGCGAGCGGTAGAGGCTCGGGTTGTAGGTCGAGATGATGTTGGTGCCCGAGCACTGCGTGAAGGCTTGCATGCCGCAGGCGAGGAGGATGCGATGGCGCCAGGTCGCCGAGGTGAAGAGGAGAGCACGCCAGGTGCGCGGGGCGCGGCGTCGCTCTTCGGCGATGCTGGCCCGAATTTGCGCATATTCAGTTTCGATGAGGGAGGCATTGACCGCGTGAAGGCGGGTGAGCGTGGTGCGGCCTTCATCAGTGCGACCTTGTTCGATGAGCC